ACTTGGAGCACCCGGGAAAATCAAGCGCTTTTCAGTTTTCCCAACCTATTCAAACAAAAACAAAAAAACCAAAAATTGAAGGCAAAATTTTGTAGATTTTTCTACATCCTCCATTTTTCTATGTTCAAAAGATTCTGAACCTGTCAAAAAGTTTTCACTTAATGAAGGTTTTGGAGTTTCTTTGCCGTCAGTTAATTGAGATGAAGTTTTTCATTGCCAGAGAGCCTGGGGGTGAGCGCTATTCGATTCTAGTTTGTAGTCTCCGCCTCTTTTTTTCCTCACTCACTCATTTTTTTCTGTTTTTCGTACGAATTATCGCAACATCGGCTTCTAAGCTTTTTAATTTCTAGGCACCTGAAATCTTTTTACGCTTGTTAAATGTCACATGAATAAACTGAAAAAGGCTTGTTGAAAATGAAGATTTAATCATTTTTCTCATTTCCCATTCAATTAAAATTTTATGAAGTACTCTGAATATTTCAGTAAAAGCCATGAGAAAAACATGTTTGAAAGCCAAAACGCAACTTTTTCCGTTGAGATAATATTTTCCAAGTCTTAAGGTCCTCAGGGTGAACGCCACTCAATTGTCATTCATAGCTTTTTCTCTCTCGCTCTTTTACTTTTTCAGCTTCTCTTTCAAAACATCGCAACATTGGCTAAGCTGCTTTTTTTTCTCCAGTCCCTAGGCTCTCAAAAAAGTCAAGCATTTTTCTAGTTTCTCACTGCTTTCATACTCTATTCAAGTTTAGGAAAATGCGAACTACAAAGGATTCGAACTTTCGGCGAAATGTGTTTATTTTTGCTTTTAACTCTCTCAACGCGGAATGAAGCACATGAACAGGAACTTATTACTACCGGAAAAATCAGAATGCTTCTAAAATTTACATATCAACATTTGAAAAAAACAGCATTATCTCAAGAAAATTCAAAATTTTAAAGTTTCAAGCTTCAACTATTTAAAAACGCTCGAATATGAAGTTGTCCTATTTGCTCGAAATTTTCAAGAGCTCATTTTTTTTATCTCTGTGAGATAGCTCAGCTTCATAATTTTTTTTTTCTCACTCACCCACTCACTTTTTTCTTTCTCTCAATAGAAATATCGCAACATCGGCTTAGCTTATTATGAAGCTCCTTTTCTCCCATCTCATGGCTCATTTTTCAATCTGCTTTTTACTTCTATTTTCACACTGCGTCTAAGTTGCGAAGACGCTTTTTGTGAAGGTTTGATGAGCTCAAAATTTCGCAGTGCTAAACTTAGCGAGCAAATTGTTTTCACTACTCGGGAGCCTGTGGGTGAGCGCTTCTAGGTTTTGCTACAAAGTTTTTTACTCTCTTTCTCTCGCTAACTTACTTTTTTTCCTTCTCCTCACTTGAAATATCGCAACATCGGCTTAGCTTATTATGCGAGTTCCGTTCGTTTCTCTTCTTTTGCGGCCCCTCCATCTAATTTTTTTGGAAAAATTTTTTGATTAATGGAAAATGTGTCAATTATGAAAAATAAAAGAAATATGGCATTATTATTTTTCAAAATAGCCTGATAGCCTCTTAAAGAATTGTCTCAAAACGGCTTTATCTACACTAAATAAGCCATAAGCTTTTCTTACTTCATTCGAACATAAGATGAGTTTTGGGTTCAAGTACACAAACTCTGAGGAATGGAAAACTGTCAGAAGTTTAGCTTTTTATCATAATTCTTGAATAACAGATTAAGATTGAAGATTTTTTTCTGTGCAGAAAAAAAGACAAATGCCACGAGTTTTTGAGATCAATCTGAGGGTATAAAAATTCAAAAAAATAATCATTTTCATACTTTTTTCGCTACCAAGGGAAAAAAAACTACAAGGACAGTGAAATCTCATCTTTTTCCATGTAAAAAGCACCATCAAATCCCGAAACTCAAAAAATTAGAAATTCTTTATACCTCGTTGAAAACTGCTGATTTCTCTGAAATCCTGCAATTCACGACGTCTTCTAATCCTTTCTTGTTTATGCTGATGTACTTTGAACCTCAGCTTCCAATTGGTGGAACGCGGCTGAAAATTGAATTCGGTCCGGCTTGTCAATTTTTCATAACCTTCCGAAGCCTAAATATCGATCCCAGAGGGCCAACTGGAAAATGTGAATAACAAAGAATCTCTTCCGTTTTTCTGGCCAGCTCAGCGCTAATTAGAAATGAGGCTTTGTGGGATATATGCCAACTTTCGAAGAATCTTATGAGCGTGAAATATTATTTTCCTTCTTGTCTTATCAGCTCTGTTTGAATTTTGCACACTCATTTTCCTAAAACAAGTTTCCTACTGGGTGAAGCGAGAAATCGAGGTTATTCGACGGTTTCAACTGATAACAACATTTTTGCCGTATTTTTATTCCTCTTGTTCCTCAAACATGATGACTTCATTGATAAAATTGCTCACTACGGTTTTCAAAATCTATTTTTCAAGCTACAAGTTTTTACTCGATCTCGTTTTTCCTTTTTAGACGCTTGTGGTCTTTGACTGATTATCAGAATCTTGAAGATACGCCAAAACTGTTTAGTTCCAATTCAAGTTCAAGTTTTAATGGAAGAGTTTTATTCACCGCAAACTTTGGAAAATCATCAAAATCCAATCAAATATATTTTTCATGTACTAGCTGGACATCCTGAGAGTGTCAAATATTCATTTTCTGAGCACGAACGCTTCAAAGTTCTATTTTCTTGCTCCATGACCAAAAAAGCAACCTTTGAGGCTTCCGCTCTCAAAAATAGGAAGTTTTGCAGTTTGAGTCTTTTAGGTTCTCGATCCACTACATCAAAGAGTATTCATAGAATATTAGAAATTCCACATAGATATCTTGTAAAATGTCCACTTTTTGAATCAAGTTCAATTTTAACTTCCACTTTTGGACAATGCTTTGAACTAGGGTGATGGGATTTCATGAAGTTTGAAAAATGGAGTTTTTGGATTTTTTTTGGTCCTTTTTCTTCAAGATTCTCTTATTCGATTTCTATTCTCAACTATCAGAAAAGAAATGCGATGGAACTGGTTTGCCAGATATATCTGTACATCGAACAGCATTTTTCAGGCCTTTAGTTTTTCTCTTTAGTCTAAGAAAAATATAAAAATCCAACTTTCATGAGCAAGTTCACAGTAACCTTCGAATGGAATCAATTTGAGGCGGGTTCCTATTTTGGGCATTTCATGTTTGTTACTCAATTATCCCGACGCTTCCTTCAGTTGCCAGCAAAATAACAAACTCTATTCGGCCTTTGGTCGCTTTTTCGCAACATTCGGCTGATGTTGTTCCAAGGGAACGCTCCCATTGACGCGGAGAAAAAGCTTTTCAAGGGGTTTTTGCTATTCTTTCTTTTTTTTTGTGTGGGGGTCAGTAGACAGCCTTTTTTGACACAAATTGACAGGTTTACAGCTCTCATGGTGTGATTGTTTGCTTTTGCTGTGTCTAAAAGATGAAGAGTCAATCGCCTCATTATCAGCGTGTAAATGGTCGGCGTTATCTTTTCTCGTTAAGACCCACACACCCAACATCGTCCATCACCACATTACGACCATCGTTGCGGAGACACTTGTTTTCTGGATCTGCCTTAGGGCAATCATTCATTGGAAACGTGGAGAAAAAGTTCGAGGTGGAACAACTTGAAGGAGGTCTCTGACTGCGGAAAACGGCTGCAAACGAGAGACAAGCTTTCAACATTGACACGATGAATGTAATTGGATTTTAGCTTCTGAGTCACATGGGCGAGGTCATGATTGACAAATTTTTGAGAAAAAAGTATGGAAAATGTCTTTCAAAGGGAGGATTTATCAATAATCCAGAGCTTTCATGCTTTTTTTTGAAAGTAAAAGGGGGAGTATTCAGTTGAAACTACAGCAGCAAAAAATATCCTCACGATTTGTTTCAGAAAAATTAGAGATCTTGAAGAAATCTTATTACTCTTGAAATTTAAAAAAAATCATCTCAGAATTACCTGAGCTTTTTCTCACCTAAAAAAAAATTCTGGTCAAAAGTCATGCATTTTCGACTTGATGTTTGTGTATGACAAACCCCTGGGAGTGTGGGACGGCAAAAACGAATTTTTCATCTTGAGTGACGTTTTTTGAACATATTGCTATTTGCAGTTCATTTCGTGGTCAAGTCAAGGCTTCACTAATCTTTGAGGTTTTTGTTTGAGACTTTTCGGCTGCAAATTTATAACTTTGTGGAATCAGGGACATTAATTTCTTTCATATTTGGGTTCCAGGCCCTGAAAGTATTTTCATAACCACCTAAAAAACTATTATCAGGTAATAAAAAATCATACTTTATCGCTTCGAAAACCTCCATCTTTCATTTTTCCATTATTGTGATCATCAGCAGCATCTTCTGCTTCAATCAAAATCTTCAAAAGTCGTCGAAGATGTGAGAATCAACAGTTGGCCTTTGTGCGGAAGTGTGTAAGCAGCAATTTATCCTGGTTCCAGGGTGAAAACTGTGGGAAACTGGTGTAACTCTACGGACATCTGCAATATTTCAAATTCCTGGTTAGAATGAAGACTACTTAGGAAAAGTTAAGATTGAGAAGAGACACGTTTTTCCAGAAATTTCCTTTTTTTTTCAAATCTAAAACTACCTCATTTTCCACCATTTTCTATTGATCTGAAATTCGTTCCTCTCATAATTCTTGAAACTTTCCTGATTTTTATTTTATTCCCATGAAAGAGAATAGTCTATTCAACATTGCTAAAACTAGACAGTTTCAAACTTCTGACTAAAACTCATATGAAAGTCCTCTTATTAATGTTTAGAACCTATCTCATTTCTATTTCCGATAACTTGTTACCTTTTTGGAATCGTCTCCTTCAAACTCTAGAAATTTTTTTAATGATAACTTCAGACTCGATTTTTTTTTCAAACTCTGAAAAATTGTATTTTTTTTCTAGAAACCTTCCCTTGAAAAACTTTTAACGTTCAAACTTCACGAGACAGGAAAATAATAAATCACATCCGAGAAAAAGTTGGGGGCAATGCATTCTGTTCCTATAAGTACCATCATCGATCTTTATTGTTGTCTCGTCGCCTTTCCTCTAACCCACGCTTGTGACCACCCACGTTGGTTACTGTACTGTACTCCGAGTCCTCTCCTGGATAGTCATTACATCGAGTTTACAGCGTTTCTCGACGACTTCTCCGCGGTCCAACTTCCCATCATATTTGATGACCTTCTGCTCGAAGTATTGCCGATTCAACCAATAAATCTTCCTACCGAAAAGTGAGCCTTTTTCATTTCTTTTTTGATATGTGTTGAATCTGTTCGAAATCCTTTCTTGGATGAAAAGAAGCACCTTTGCCTGTTCAAAATGATAAAAAAAAGTGAAAAATTCTTCAAGATTCATTTGTGATCTTTAGATAAAGAAAATTTAGTAGTAGGCAAGTTTTTTCAAACAATATATAATTGAAAGCAATGTTTTTATTTTTGTCTTTTTTTGAATTGGATAAATCAGAAAAAAATGGCTCTATTATAATTTGATTCATCATCAAAAAAATTTAGAAGTGTAGTTTTTTTGAAACTGGATAAGAGCGCCATAATTTTCAAGAAGCTATAACCGCGTTCGATTTTGCACAAAGCCAAAAAAATTCGTTGAAATTGAATATTGCTTTTTTTAAAAAGTTCATTTTAAAAAAATATGAAACTTTCTTTTTTAATTAACTTGTATATATAAAAAAAAGTACGAAGTTACTATAAGTTCTTTTGTTTTGGCGCGCCATTTTGCCCGTCGTGGCGGGACCAATTTTGACAAATTCAGTGATCTTTATGTTTATTCGACTCAATATGGCGGTCAAATTTTCTTTTTCTTTATTGAAATGTTTCATGTCTATCTACAGATTCAGTCAAAAGTAAGAAGAAATATATTTTCAGGGAAAAAATTGAAAAAAACATGGAAATAATAGCTTTGCGCTTGGCAGCATGAGAAATATGATATGAGGAAATAATTTTTTTATTATAAAATAATATTTCGCAAACATTTTTGTTCGTGTCATTTTTTTCACAAATTGATGTGTATTTTTCTAGAAGATAAAAAAAGAGAATATTAAAAACTCATATTTATTTCTGCTTTAACGTTTAAAAAAACCAGCGGAGAGAGATAGTCAAGAAGTTCCTTCACTTGATCATCTATTCTTCAATTATTTTTTTTTATGTTAAATAATGGCAGTGAATAAACTATCTATTATTATTAAGTAAACCACTGAAATATCTTGATTTTTTGATCCTATTTCCAATCTTGTTTTTCAGAGCGATGCCAAGACAAAAGGCGACCCGAAAGAAGACAAAAACACCAGGTAGTCACCATCTGGCCAGCAACATCGCTGATAAAGACCTGCCCCTCGACAGTATCACGGAGTCTCTGGCGAACATGCAGATCGAACTGGCACCAGGATTCCGAAATGGAACGCCCAGAGATGTGAAGACGGCCGACATCATCAGGGCTCTCAACAACTTGAAGAAGTTGGAGCACTACATTGAGACGAAAGGTCCAGACGCTACAATTTCGGACCTCCTGGAGCATTTGGTCGTTAGCAACAACAATAACAACATCATCCAACTCGATTTGAAGCAAGACGAGAAGATCGATTCACTCGAATTGTCCCAATACAACGACTTGGTCTCTCGTCTCTTGCAGTACCGCAGAAGTTTCCAGCGGGCCTGTCGAAGACTTCGTGCCGACAAACAACGTCAAAGGAACGCCTACCGTCGATTCCTGGTCTTGCTGAGCCCTGGAATCACCGTCAGCTCCAAGTCGGCCTTCAAAACTGTTCCCAGTCAAACTGAAGAACAGCAGCAAATTGCTCTGCAACGAAAAATCGACTCCTCCAAGTTCATGAAAGAGCACAAACAGCAGATGCTCGACTACATGGAGCAGGTCGGATATCTGAAGGAAAGCTTGCAGATGGACCACATGGACACGGTCACCTTCATGCGGAAGATGCAAGTCGGACCCATGAAGATCGGAAGCACCAATCCCACCTACGCTCCGTTTCCAGGAGTCTCCGCCTTGTCTTCCAGAAGCAATGGGCCTGTCAGTGAACAGGCGGTTCCTGTTTGGTGTCATCTTGCCAATATGTACGCCGGAAACCCGAATTGGCTGGCCAATCCAACTCAGAAAATTTCGAAGAAAAAGAAAGGTGATACATCCCCAGAAGCTCCATTGTATCCCGGCCTGAAACCCTCAATTTTCCACTCTGTCGAAGAGCTTTCTGGAGGATCATCAAGCAGTTCAGAAAGTGGAGTCACTCGCCCTGTTCCTCGTACCGCGAATTCGCAAGCTATTCTCAAGATTTTGAGCGAAGGAGGAAAAAAGAAGAAAAAACGGCTCCAGAGACGTGTGTACATTTTCCAGACTCCGACTAAAGAAAAGTGCCATCCTGTTTTCGAACTGATGCAGTCGAAGCTGAAAGAAAATTCTCGAGTTCATCGTAAAGAATTTTCAAAGAGATGTCAATTGAAATGTGCGCCTGAAGTGATTGAAGAAGAACGGCAGCCGGAACTCCACGATTTTCCGGATGTGACTTTTGAGGGAAGCTCCACACCGACGCCAACTCCATCGGTTCGTCAACACCGCAGAAACGCACGTCGACGTTGCCAAAGAGTCTTCCACTTCAAGAGATTGAACCTCCGTCACAAAATGGTGTCTGAAGCCGCGCTCACTTTAGGACTTGGAGTGAAAGTCGAGTCGAAAGAAGGCTACGAAGCTCTTTTCTACGCGATCACCAAGAAAACAAAGGAGTGGAACGTCTACTTGGAGGAATTTCCAGCTCTTCACTTTGTCGACATGATGTTCCCTCAGTTGATCGACGTCTTCGATGACCACGGCCTTGCTATCAGCGAGTTTATTCGATGCAAGAAGTCTCCGAATTGGATGAAGTACGTCAAGATTTGCGACAGCACCAACAGCGCTCGATCCAAAAGCGAACAGATTCCAATTCCAGGTTAATTTGACCTTTTGAAATCCCTTTCACTTCATTTATTCCAGGAAGAGTGCAGCTTCTCAAACCTTTGTCCCCAGCGGGCAGCGCTCTCCTTTTGGAAGACTCGAAACCAAAATTCATCGTTTATCAGTTTGGGGAAGACGCCCCTAAGTTCAGAGGTTTGAAACTTTTGTTCATTATCGAGATTTTTCATTTGATTGCAGATCTGGACGGTACTGTTCTGATGAACAGAGCTTATGCGGCTGAAGATCTTTTCGATACTAATGCACCAAGCGACACGAGTGAGTATTTATTGATCACTATTTTTTTCTTTGGAAACCTATGCACATTCTTCAATGAAAAGCACTAGTTCGACTTTTTTGCAGTAATTTCATTATTTGTGAACTTTCGAGTAATCCGTATTGGGCGATGAGTGAGACAAGGTGTAACTAAAAAGCATTTTCACCTTTTCAGCGCTCTCATTGGTAAATTAATTACTACTGTAACCAATAAACACGCTGAAAAAACGAGAAACTGCAAAAATCAAAAAATATTGAGTGCGTCATAATTATTGAAACATCAATTTTTACGATTTCCAATGAGTTTAGTGGAATTTTTTCAAATAGTTATCTTTATCATTAAGTTTTACTTTTTTTGAAGTTTTATATAAACTTTGCAAAAAAATAAAATTTAATGCCCTAATCGTACTTTTGTCAGGCTCTTCCGTCTGCCCTTCTCCTGAAATCGACGTCGTTCACTATTGAAAAACAAATGTATATACATTCTTTCTTTATTCCTTAGTTTAGTTTCAAATCATTTATTGCTTGTTTCATATCAGCCTATCATATCCTCCTTCTCAACCGAAAAACCTCAGCCGTTTTGATTGATGAATTCATTATTGAAGTTCAAAAAACAGCGTTTCTTACGGCGTTCCTCCTGCCTCCATCTTTTGAGATCCATCTTAATTTATTATTTTATTTTGCTTGCATCAAGTAGTTTCTGTGAGAAAAAAAGCACAATCCACCAAATACCTCCGTTTTTTCTTTTTGTCGCTTTTTGAAGATTTTTTCCTGTACGATATTCCTTTCATTTAGTCAATTTTGTTTTTTTTGGTGATTTTTGGCAGTAATTGTAGTTTTTTTGTTACCTGTGTATTTAATAAACCTCGAAGCAAAAATTCGGTTGACAGCTGTAGTTTACACAGTTTTTGCAGCTGTGTAAAATAAAAGGATCCCGAAAAGATCAAAAAATTTCAGGTTTTTCAGAATAGGTAACTAAATTCGAAATAGGATTTGAGAATTTTAACCGGTAAACTTGCTAAAAAAAGTTTTTGAGAGAAGGCTTTTTCTTTTTACTTATGTCACAAAATTGAGAATAGCTAACTTAAAAAAATTTTTCAGTTCAACTGGCATTTGTTGAAAAAAATTTATTTTTTTGATGAGACTGCCTTAACTTTTTATATAAGGCAATCATTCAGCAGGTAATGCAAATGGCGTTTTGAATTTTTTTAAAATCATTCTTCCATTTAAAAAAGACTTTTAAAGCAAAAAGACCTAAAAACTCACTTTAAATACCCGAGATCTCGACATTTGTTTATTATAACTTCTTGCATTTTTCACCCAACTCTTAGCCGTTTTCCGAAAATACAACCCATCATATAAAGTATGAACTCTATGAGTTCAAAAGAACTCTTCAAACAAGCCTATCGAGCAGGTTTTGACGCTCAAACTTGAACCCTGCTCTCTAATCTTTACGCCGATTTTCACAGTTGCGCTGTAATTTCTACAGGCCTCACCCAATGACAAACATTTGACAACAAGTGCTTATTTGCACTCGGCCGGTTGCGTTTGCGTGAAAGATTATGGAAATTCGATTTTACGGTCTCTCAATAAAAAATTTGTTGAGAAACAGAACCGGATGTGATGGTTGTTTTGGGTGAAGCTGGTGCTTTTGTGCGATCGTTTGTTGTTTTTTTAGACAGAATTAGTAACGAATAGCCGTTTTTGACGTTTTAAAATTCAAACAGAGCGGTTTCAAAAGAAAAAAAATTCGAAATTTGCTTGAAATACAAAATTTGATTTCAAAACACTTTTGAATTCTGTTTTTCGCAGTGAACACCTCAGACATCGCGCGGATCGAACGGACGCTCCTACAAGCCTTGCTTGAGTGACTATTGAAGAAGACCAAGTGGCCACTTAAGCGGAATTTTTTTCATACACCTTAGGTATCACGAAGAAAAAAAAGCAGAAAAATCTTTCCAAGCCCCTAAGTGATCACTAGAGAAATCTGAGTGGTCCGTCAAACGAAATTTTCCTCTTCTTAGGCAATTAGTGATCACTCAAAAACGTTGAATATTTATTTTTTATGAAGAATCTACTGAGATAAAAGCTCAAGGTCTGAAACGGTATTAAACAAAATCCCCATTTTTTCCTTTTTTCGACTAAATTCTAAGAAAAGTTTGCACCCTTCCATGAGTTCCACGCATTCGACACTCTTCAAACTTGTTGAAATATTTGAGAAAACTGCTCATTCAGTGTTCGCAACAATTACGTCGGACCCCACTTAGGGCCATTCAGACCCCTTAGTTCGGAAGTCATTCAAACTCCGTCAAAGACGGCTATTACGAGTGAAAGTTTTGAATAATTTGCGTTTTTGGCTTCGCTGTTTTCGAAGTTGTAGAGAAGTTTCTCTGGAAATCAAAAAAAAAAAAGAAGATGGGAAGTTTTTTTCTAGCTCTTCTAGAATTCCAATTTTTTTCAAAATTTTTCAAAAAAATTGGTATGAAAAACTAGGATTTTTGACATAAACAAAAAAATACGAATTTTTCTACTAACAACAACTGACCTTTTTCTCATTTATTCAAGATTGCCGATTTTTTTAAATTTTTTTGAATTTTTTTGAAATTCGATTTTGAAAAAAAGTTTCAAGCGAACTTTCGTTTTTCAATGCAAAATAAGAAAGATTCTCCATCTCAGAATCTCAATTAAAGCTTCGCACAGCTGGAAAGGAAAACCCATATCAAGTTTTTTTTCTATCCCAGCTGTGTTGTTATTTCATACTTTTTGGGATAGCACTTAAATTTTTTTTTTTCTGTTTTGCAGTAAAATTCATGTGGCAGATGTTGAGTCGTCATTAAACGTAGGCTTTTTTGGCCGATCTCGAAAACATTTCTTTTTCTATTTCTTCATGGGTCGCTGGTTTACTGTATCTTAGCTCTTCTTCCTTCTAAAAAAGAAGTTTCCCGCTAGTTTCGAGATAGACATGTTTCGTGAAGATCTTGACTTTCATTTTATTTTCGTTTCTATTGTCCTCTGGTCCTTATAATCGTAAAGAAACGACTTTGGTTAAAGTTTTGCGAATTTTCTTTAGTCTTTGATAGGTCAGGCTAAAAATCAACTTTCATCGAAGTTGGTTTTTTAAAATTCAAAGTTTCTTTTTCCCCGCTTCAAGGAAACTAAAATTTTCAAGCTTAATGCTCTAAATAAGAAATTTAAGTTTAAATTTAAACTTAAATAAAAAAATCTAAGTTTAAATTTTTTGAGGCTGGCTTTTTGTGACCAGATTTTTTTGAGCTTCATCTAATTATTGAAAAAAAGGACGTAACTGTATTGAAAAAGCTTACTAGAGAACTACGCAAACTCATAATTGCGGATCGATTTCAAACTTCAGTGGTTTATAGATCAGAATACTTGAAAACAATAGAGAATATCTGCTAAACCCCATAAAAAACTTTGAAAACATTTGTAGAAAATATGCAGATTGAGCCTGAAAATTTTCAGGATACAGCTTTTTCACCTTGTTTTATATTTTAATACAATCGCCTTGAATGATCCGTCTGTGATAAACTCTAAAAAACTTTTTTCCAGTCAGAAAAACAGAAATTTGATATTTTTCAAGCCCTTTTCAAAAAACTTTTTCTTGGTACCTTATTGACGTCTCTCACGTCGGTCGAGTGTCTTTGAAAGTCTCAAAGAATCATGAAAACTCCCAAGTTTGGGACAGGGTACCACCTTGTAAGGGAGCTAAAAAATAACTTTGATTATTTTGCAACATTTAGTAAATTTTAAACGATTCAAGAACCAAAACGACCCCATTTCAGTACCGGTTCCGGTTTTCTCTCCTTATGATTTGAAAGTTGCGGGCACTTGATTCCTTTCGCGATTCATACAATTAGTACGCGAGGCGCGCGACCCAAGAGCGTGACGTGAGGCGTTTCGTGCACTCAACAGTCCATCTGTCAGTCAGTTCGACTCGCCGCTCTTTCCTGCTCGCCGGCGTCGACCGGAACACCGTGAAAACTCACATCAAAAAATGACGAGCCCTCATAAAAAAACGGCTCTCAAATCGAATAGTTCATAAAAGTCATAAAACATGACGATCGCAGAGTCAATCCGGTTTTATGCGCTTTCGAATGGCTTTTTTTTTGATTTGAAAGTTTTTGGCTTGCTTAAAATGTCCTAGAATTTACTTTATGTGGTTTTTTCATTTGAAAGCTTCTTGTTTGATGAATAGTCGGTTTTAACTTTGAAAAGTCATCAGCTATTCATTTGGTAGCAGTGAGCTTTTTTCTGTCTTCAATATTCTTTTTAGCCCATTCCGTAATTTTTCTCTCTTTGTCGGACATTTTTGAACCTTTTTTCAAATCCATAGTTTAAAAAAAAGTTTTCATGCATTTTATTTTTTATTTTTTTGTATTGAAATATTTTTGAACGCTTCTGAATTGTATAATATCTTTAAAAGCCTTCTGAGGTTTGCACAATTTTGATATTTTTTCTAACCATATATTCGTTTTTCACAAACGTTTCCCTTTTTCCTATAATTTTCCTACCAAGTTCTTCTGAACCTTTTTTGTGAAGTTTGGTCATGTTTGAAATTACCCCCAGCCTTGTTTGATGGCAAACTCCTAATGAAATCAGGCAACCATATCTTTGTCTTCGACATTGAAGATCTTCTTTTTTCGGTCTTTCAACGTTTTCGGCACTTTGTTTTTTACGTAATTTTTTTAAAAAGAAGATTTTTCCTATATTATTCAGGTTTTTTTCAAGAAACTACCACAAAAAAATCGTTCTTTTAATAATTATAGTTCTCGTCCGATTTTTTTATTACTTTCTATAGCTGTAAAAAAATTATTTCATAGTCGGAGTTTTTTTCCAACTCTTTCCATGAAGCGTTATTTTCCCATTTTCACTTGCTCATATTTTAAATCGAGCTGTCACCCTTCTCATCACTTTCCGAACACCATTTCACACCTGTTCCAGCTCTGAGAAAATGAAGTCTCCGCCTTTTTGCCTCATGCCCGCCTTTGGGCTTTTCATTGTTCGTCATTTTTTATCTTCTTCATCATTTTTTTTAGTTTTCTATTTGCTCGAATTATCCAAAACGGTACTGTTTCGGAAAGGCTGAAGAGAATTATATTTTGATTTTTGTTTTTCAATTACAAGTTCTGTAGCCGTTCAAAAGTTTTTTCAACTTTCGAGTCTACTTCTTAGCTTTTTTTTTGCAAAATCTCTTCCTTATTTCACTTTTTTGAACTCACATATGTTCCTATGGGGAAATTATCCTCTCCGAAAGAATAAAACAAAATTTTTCAGTATTAGACTGCATAGCTTTTTTCTATAATCTCTCCATTTCTTGCGATTTCTGGTAACGCATCCAAATCATCTTTCATTTTTTTCAACATTTCCCATCCCCCATTATTTTTCTCTTTCTTGCAGCAACCTGAGCCGCGCTGTCACAATTTTCGAAGATTCTCTCCTTTCCTTTTGAACACCAGTTCTTCGCGCCTTTCCTGGTTTCAAAATGGACTTTTCTCACCACTTCCTTTCTTCGGAAGTTCCAGATTTTGTATTGTAGGGATCCTCGCAACGAGACTCATTATATGATGTCTTAACTTTTTTTAATTTCCAGCCTTCTTTCAATATAAATCTATTGAAGGCCTATTGAAAAATTTATAAATACTTCCGGCATTCGCTCTGAAATCATTGATCTTTATCACAAAAAAGTTTCTGATTTTATTCCTTTCAATCGATTCATGGAGCTTAGGAATGTCAAAAACGGTTGTTTTCCCTAACAAGGGAGGTCGTTTTTCTTTGCGATTTGAAATTTCCTGAAAATCGGCTACAAATAGTCTTAACCTACTAAAAGAAGATTCTGGAAGGTTCAACTTGCACAACTTTCCAATTTTTTTGAAAGAAAACATCTGAGAGTCATAGAAAACCTCAAAGTTCGTTGAAATCAGCCATTATGGGATTCGAAACCTTATTTCTCTGAACTAATAATTCGTGCAGGTTGAAAAATTCAGAATCTTTTTATAGTACGATAGTGAGTTTTTCGTCCAAGTTCAAAAAAATTCAGCACCGCAAATTTAAAAGAACTTCCTTGTATTTTAATAACGAACAAACTTAAAGGCTTTATCGTTTTGTAAAAGGGAAGCTTGGAATATTTTTTGCGACCTTGAATAAAAAAAATCAAATTGAAATTATGCAAACTTTTTCAAATTCTCAGCAGGCAAACTTTTTTTTAACCAATTTCACACCATCTCAATTTTTTTCTCAAGATCTCACCCCAAAGCTCTCAAGCTCAAAACTGGACAGTTCTCAGAGGTGAGCTGTCGAGCTTCTCTTTTCCTTTCCCGAACACCAGTTCTTCGCACCTTTTCATTTACTGTCACCTGCATGTGGGAATGGAATACCGCTCGGAGAGAAATAGACGGTTAGCGGAGGAGCGCATTTGGCGTCTCGTGTTTGAGAGGGCTAGAGGGACCGACTGGCTACTTAGAGGCGACCGAGGGAGAGGAGGCCTGGCAAGTAGCCAGCGTTCGCCTCGAACCTCCTCTCTCGTCGTATTCGGTTTCTTTATTCCACTTTCCTGCTCCTTCTTTGAGCTTTAACCCGTTTTTTGTTTCTATTTCAGTTTGTGGATTTTGTTAATAACGCATTTTTTGGCTGACTTTGAGAATGACCTCATTCCAATATGTTCGTGAATTTTGAACGAAAAAAAATTTTTTTTTTGCAACGATCAGCTTTATTTTTTTTCTCATATTCACAGGTACCTCATTCTTTCAGGATTTCATTTAAAGCTCTTTTTTTCAAGTTCATTTTTAATAATTTTTAAACAAAATTTTTCAATGTCTTTGCATATTTTTTTCAAATCAAAAATTTTTAAACTTTTTTTCGAGCTATCAACTTAGAGGAAAGTTTAGCGAAATAAAGATTTAAAAACTGCTTTTTGAAACTTTGTGAAAAAAACAGCAGCTGCCTTTTTTTATTTATTTTTTTACATTCGAAAATAAAACATTCCAGTGAATTTTTTTACTCATAGCTCAAAATTTTTTTTATTGCAAAAGTTACTTTATGTAAGAGAATTGACTCTCTGGAGTCGGTCAAGTAGCACAACTTCATTATTTTTAAGAAAAAAATCACACTTTGAAGGTCATTTGTCTGGATCAGCAAATTTGAAAATTTCATGCCGATTTGAGAATTTTTTAAGATTTCTAACTTTTTTCTCTAACAACTTGATCATTTTTGTCTTAATTTCAAGGATGTCGAAGTTGCAAAGTATTTGAACCTTTTTCCTCCGAAGTTGATATAGAGTGTCGCAGTAACTCGTACAAATCTAGGGAACAATCTCAAAACGTTCGAAGAACCAGTCTCGTGCAACTTTTTTCCATCGAATTTCTATTCTCTTCTGCTCAAATGAATCACGTTTCCTGCAGAAATATTCCGTTTTGCGCCTGCAAACGTATTCCTCCGACGCGAAACTTTTTATTGCGCATATTTTATGGGTTGAGCAGCATATCTCCGCGCATCTGCTTTGTTTTTCTTAACGTCCATGCGCCGCAATCGTTTTATCTCAACCCCATTTGCGGCCCAACTGATCGTAAATTTCTTTCGTCCTAGGAAAGGCCGACCGGGGGTCCATGGCAGTTGAGCGGACCAACGACTGAAAACCTGGACGTGCTGTAAAACGGCTATGCCTGTCATCGGCCAACACCATCCGGCAACTTCATTTTCTTCCTATTCGGCTGTTTTTGACGGGAACTCGGTGCTTTTTGGAGTCGTCAGTATCGTCATGCTGGCTTCTGTCGTCAGTATCTGCACTTGCTGCGGGAAAAAGCCCAAGAAAAGGTCAGTTCTTTTTTTTTTGATTCCAATTGTTTTTTATATAGAATTATAATGCTCTAAAGATTTTTCTTCCGTCTTAAAAAAAATGGCTCTGAAAACTTTTGAAATATTTTCTAAAAATCGAGAGAAAAATACAATTTCATTCATAAAATCAAGCTCATTTCCGATTTCTCGCTCCAAAACTCTAACGAATATTTTTTCAGAGAAGATGAGGAAGTCTACGGAGTTTACAGCAACCCTGTCGTACCTCCTACAGCTCCAGGCGACAGTCCAACAAATCGAACCATCAACTTTCGTTCTTTAACGAAAGCTGCCCGACTACACGACCGTCATTCCCAACCTGTTGGGCCAAAAGTTAGATTTTTATGATTTTTAATGGAGTAAAAAAATTATTTGATTGGATTTTTGAAAAAAATTTGAAAGAGGCTGTTAGGCTTGAAATCAAAGCAAAAAAAATCAGAATCTAAGTGTTGAAAATGCTCTATTTATCAATTTATTCGATTTTTTTCCAGGCTAAAAATATGTTTTTTTTTTTTTTTTGTAATTAAAAGCTGATTCTTCAGATAGTGCTACTCCAGTTTTTCAATATATTATTTTTTATTCACAGAGAGGAACAATGAGCGCCCGAGCGTCAGCTCCTCTTCCAACTGGTCGAGCTTTACCCCAACTCCCGGCCGATTTATACACTCGTAAGCTTTTCAGTTTTTCCAGACGTTTTTCAAAAGTTTTCAAATACAAATTTCTTGTTTCAGCAATCGACAAAACACGAAAAGCCGATGATATCTCATTTGTCGACGACTCATTCAATCGAATGTATGAGTGTATCGATGTCGAGACGGATTCCTTTGCAGATCCGCTTTATTCAAAGGTTTGCAACGTTTTTTTCTCCACTTTGTGGTTTTTGAAAAAAATTTTTCAAAAAAATTTAACTTATCTAAATTTACAATGGAAAAAAATCCCCTGAGGAGTTATTTTTTTGAATGAAGGCCAACAGTAAGTAAAACTAGTGGTTTTTATTTTTTCTGGTTTCGAAAATGGCTCCTGTGATTTTCCTTTTGAAGTCTTATTTTCCTTCGCAAAATGGGAAAAAATATTGTTTACTTAAATTTCAAATTTTAAACGTTTACTCACAAGTTTTTTTCGCGTTTTTTTCAAAGTTTCACAGAATTTACTATAGTTATAATAGCCCGAAAAAAATTCCGATGAAGAAGTATATTCGAAGTGTTTTCTCTTACAATTTTTCGCCATTTTTGTCGTCCTTTTTTGTTTTAGAGCAAAAAAGCCTTTTATAAAATTTAACGTTAAAAATATTTCGATGGTTACCGATCGACTTTCACTTTTATTTCCCTGAATTTTACCAGTTCTTTTGAACAAATTTCTCATTCAGGTCGGCGAAACTCGTCCAGCTCCAAACAGAGAACGTCGTTACGACTACCCGGTGTTCTCAGGTCGAGTTCAGCCAGTGACGGCTCGACCTCGCGAATCGACCGATGAGAATCTCTACCAGAGCGCTTCTCAAATCTATGCCGCCGGGAGTGAAGATCCATACAGGTATATCTTTTTTTTCCATTTTTTTTATTTCTCCATGTTCCAATAACCACTACAGAAAATACCCGCTGCTTCGTTTTCCACGCTATTCGCTGACTTATTTTCCTCGGACTGAGCGTAGAGTTGTCCGATTCGCTGTTAAAGGGTGAAAGGAGTGAAAAGTAGAAAACTGTGGATGTTGATTCGCATATTGTTATTTTTCACTACTTTGTGGCACCACTTTGAGTGAGACCTTGAAATTTTTTCCACATATTTGCACTATTTTGCTTAAAAATAACTAGGAAAAATAATGAGCCTTTACTCGTACGGTCACTGCACTCTAATGTGTGATAGTTCGGTTTTTTTTTTCAGTTTTTGCAATGACTCACTATGTTCTCTCCAATTTTGCTTTAGTTTGACCCATTTTTCACGTTTCAGTTCCATAAATTCTGAGCCAAGCCGGGCCCCTGTTGCGGATATTGACGGCGATACCAGCAGTGCCTATGATCCAGGATACGCAAAAGTAATCTTCCTATTTTCCCTTTATCGATGCAACTTTTTAATATTTTCAGGTTCAACCAACAGCCCAAAAACCTCAAAAAAGTCGCGAAAAGCTCGAGAAAACTGAGAGAGAACTGGATCTTTTATATTCCAAGGTTCTGGAAATTCTTCAAAAAAAATTTAAAAATGAATCTGATTTCATAGATCCGTCGAAATAATAAGGAAGATGAGGTCGATTTTGCTTCTCGACCCGGTCCTTCGTCTTTCCGGCCTCCAGTTGTGGCGGAGATTCCGCTACCTCTTCCAATTGTCGAGCCGATCGTGAGAAATGTAAAATTCACAGTTTTTATTCTAGAAGTCTCGTTATACTCGTAGAGGAGAGGGTTTTTAGAAAATTTGGTGAAGTAAAAAGTTCAGAAATATCTTGTCATAACTTGAAGGAAATATTCAAAAATCAGAAGACCTCAAAAAAAGTTCACAAAAAATTTGATAGCTGCTCCAATGGTCACGGAATACACTTCCATTTTTTTCTATTAGAACATCATAATTTTTTTTTGAACTTCCAGGCCTTCGATGAACAATCCGTCTCCAGCCGAGAGCCGTCTTACAGATACATCACCATGCGGTATGATTCATTTCAATTTTTCAAATCTGATTGTTTCATTTTCAGAGAAAACGCGGACATTGTCCGTGAAAGACTTCGACAGCAAGGCCGACTTGGTCCCCCGATCCGAGAACATTATTATTCGACCATCGGAAATGAATATGAAGTCGTGAGTTTTTTTTTTAGATTTTTTTTTTACTGTGAATTCAAAATCAGAATTTATAAGTTAGTTAAGGTCGACGCGAATTCTGGAGTTCAACCTGTGAGGCCAACTGGACTACCGGCTCCACTCGTTGAAGGTATTTCTTTGATTCATTTTTTTCAAGGATTTTTCAATTTTTTTCATTCGATGTTTTTCCAAATATATTGGAGATAATAAAAAAACCTATACTAATTTTTTTGAATTATCGTAGTCAGAAGCAGCTGGAAAATAACCATTCAAAATAAAACTTGAAATTCAAATTTTTTTGACTTTTTTTAGAAGCGACATTCTTCAAAAATTTCTCGGTTTATAGTTACAGTGGAGTTAATATAATCATTTTTTTTCCAGAACGCATCCCTCCAACAACCGCTCTGAACATCACTCTTCCTGACGTGGCTCCTCCGCCGCCGACTTCCCCAATTCCCGACCAAGTTCCAGCCAACATTAGCATCCAAAGTAGAAGCCGAGAAGACGTCCGTCGCTCTCCAAACCCTATAGAGCACACTTTGAACGGGAACGCAAATGTATGCCGTCGTCAGCAAGACACACAAGAAATACGGCAACGAAAATGGATCCAGACCAGTTTCCGGTCTCCAACCGGAAATCCACTATCCCATCTTGAATCATTCCCCGAGAATGTCTGGAAGAGTCCCGGAGAAGTTATTCAACAACAATAATGACGCTTTGTATACGAGTCTTTCAAGAGGAGGAGGCTCTGGGAGTGGAATTCATCCTGGTAGTCAAGGTTGGTTGATTTTTTATACTCGATTAGTTGAAAAAATAAACGTGAACAGTGGTCGAAACTCCTTCAGGATGGGCTTTAAAAAATTCATCGAAAAAGGGCTTCTAAATTTGCAAAAGAATCATTTTTTGATCATTGACGACTTTCCAAATGCTCAAAGCCTACGACGTCTTTCAAAGATCGCAAAAATGTTTTGTTTTGTATTAATTTTTGAAGTTCCCCGAAATTTCAAAAATTTCATTGAGTGAAAAAAATCATTTCATAAATCTAAAAAAATTAGAAAAAAATCTCTCCATTGGAAAAAAATTTATTTTTTTCAGTTCAAACCACTTTTTCCCGCCTCTCCCACCCCATTTGGCGTCCGGTCGACATATGGAGACACTGCAAAGCGTACGTTTAACATTTGATTCCTGAATAAAATCATTTCTTGTTCATTTCAGATATCCAAGAGTTCATGAGACGTCCAACCCTCCCTTACAACAGCATGGACACTTTGTTGGGACGAAGAACAGTAGAGGAACGTGAGAGGATCGTTGAGAAGAGAGCGAGTATTACGTGGGTTTTACACTCTTTTTTTTATCCCGGATTTCTAAAATTTCCTTCATTTGTAGTTGAGGCAAAATCTTGAATTTTTATGAATGAGAGAAGAAATTGAAGTCTTGTCCAGCTGAAGATTTCGAATAATTTATCATTTTTTCAATCCCTATCGATAACTTTTTTAGTTCCGGCGTGGGCATCAACATTGATTCCAACAGCCAGTCAGGCCAAATGTCAAAAAGCTTGGATGGTAAGTCTTCCGCTGACATACGGCGTAATATTTGAGCCTTATTGCAGCATCAAATGGTTCATGGAGACAAGCAGATGGCCGAAATTTGCCCCACGACGACAGGATCTACCAGGTCGAGATCCAGCGTGTGCCGGCCAGTGGTCGTTCCGCTTTTGGTATGAGTTTTTTTCCGGGTTTTTTGAGGATAGGGAAGTTTTCAGAAATTGGAAAAATAAAAAATTCAAGATAGGAAAAAAAAAAACTTGCTCATTAGAAACTTTCATCAAAGGAAACAGAACTGAAGAATTTTCGCATCATGAATTTGCGAGTTTTATGGAGAGAAAATTTTTCAAGTAACTGTGAGTAATAATATAGAAATATAACTTTAAAAAAATTGGTTTCCATGAATACAATAAATTTCAAACTACAAAAAAACTTTTTATAAAATATTACATAACACAAAAATTTCAGATCGGATTCCGACTCCGGAAATCCCACCGCCTCCTCCAACTTCTGAGATCCCACCAGTCACATCACCTTCGAACAAATCTTTTGTTCTGAACATCAAGCCCACCGATTCTGGAAGATCTGAAACCCAGAAAAATAACCAAGGTCAGAGTGTTCTTCATCTTAATTTTTATGTAAACTTGATTTTTCAGCAACTCGATCAAAAACAAACGTTGACTTGAACGAATCCGGCGGTTCAACTTCCAGCAGAACTTCGGCCAGGAAAAGCAAGCCTTGGAAGGAGGAATCGGAAGGTTTGTGAATTTTCAATTTTCAAATGACGGACAAAAAAAACAGTTTTTCAATCTACACGAAAGTTTTTACGAAGTTTTGTAAAATTAATTTAATTTCAGAAGAGAAAAAACGACGTCTGGGAACTATCTACACTGGGAAGGACTACGTCAGTCCCATCGATTTCAGTGACCAGAGACCTTGGCCAATGGTTTCGGGATCAGAAACCGAAGAAGCCAAGAACAAGAAAAATTAATCATGTTCCAGATTTTTATATATTGGCACCTTCTAAAGTAGGATTTTTTAAAGATTTTATTGTTATTTTTTTGATAATTTTTGAGAAGTTTAAAAACTTCTATATATGATTGACTTCGGTTCGAAAAACTGCCATTTGCACTGGAAGTCGCTTGAAGTTTGGCAGTACAAATTAGATTATCAATTTTCGTTTTTGGCGATAGAAGTCAATGCGATAGAGTCCTTGTTTAACGTTAAATCATTTTCCTTGCGACCCTTTTTTCAAGCTAGCATGAACATAATGTCACTGAGAAATCTCGTAAAATGTCCCAAAGAATTCACTTTGTCCCAACTTATCATGAAACCGGTGTCGCTTCCCTACAATTTTTCTAGGCTTGATCTCAACTTGCTTTAACTTTTCGTCTTCCTTAAATATATCAAAGAACTGTTTTTTTCTCGTTTGCGTCATTTACACACCGTTCTTTCACTTGGTCTTGTGCACGGCCGGGTTTATAGCTGTTTTGTGAGCTTTTCCTCCTTTTTCTTTGTTTCATAATTGTCTTGTATCATTTCTGTGTTTGTTATTAATGAACTTTTTATTCAAAAAAATGAATACACAACAAAAAACACGTTGATTGAGACATTTCTAAAAAAAGATCCCGTTAAAAAAAACACAGTAAAACAGCACAACACAAGAAGAACAAAACTTTACAGATTACACTTTTTAAGATGATTAAACATGAAATGAGTTACTTTTTCAGAAAAATAACTTTAAAAAAAGAAAAAAAGTCGAGAGGTATTTTTAAGCTTTCAGTGAAAGCCCATGAAACAGGAACATTTTACAAGTGAAACGTGCAAAAAAATCACAAACATTTTACAAGTGAAACGTGCAAAAAAATCACATGAGATTGAAAAGGGATTAGAAAAGACTTACAATAAAGTTACCGATTGTTGAAGCGGTATTGTCAAGTTGGAGGTTAGGAAGCGATTTTTCACATGCACCCGACATTCTTGTGACTTGCGCCTTGTTCTAAGCGTGAAGCGTTTTGTTCGGAGTACACAAAAGCCTTACCGCTCTTGGCAAAAGTCGTGAAGGTCAAGCGCAAGGAAAAAAACTGAGTTTAAAAATTTAAAACTCAAAAGTTTTGGATCATGGACCAAGTCCAAAAAAACCAAAAATAAAACAGCAACAATAAAAAATCATGCAAATCAACAAAAGCTGTATATTTTTTTTACTTATTTTGATGAGAAAAAAACTTTTAACAAGATTAGGAAAATGAATAAATAACAAATACAGACGGACAAAGACAACTTCCCGCAGATTTTTCATTCATTTGAGAAAGAAGATTCTGCAGCCGTTCTCTTTCTAGCTGTCCTGAAAAAAACAAGCATTCAAAACATACATGCCATGCGGTGTTAAAATCGAATCAAATTACAGTTACAAAAGAAAAAAGCTAAGGTCCCCAGTTCAAAGAATCCTTGCAATGTTAGAAAAAGGGAGTAAAGTCGTTATCGGGCTCAATTTTCATCTGCTCGATCTCATTAGGCAGCTGGGATATCATATTCTCTGACCTCCTATTAGAATGCGTCATTTTCGGCTTGATTTTGTGGATTTTGCGGACATTCGCCGTCCTAGGAGTCGACGATTCACAGCGCATCGCTGAGAAGTTGCTGGGCGGAGGTACAGGAGATTCGGCTGATTCTCGCGGAGATTTGAAATAGGGCATTTTGAGGGCTCTTTGAGCCGTCGGACGGCTATCGGCGGAGAATTTGACGCATTCTCTGACTACCGCGGCTGCCTCCGGCGAAAGGCTGGGATTGAGTCTGAAAAAAAAACTTCATTTTTGTGATGAATTTTTGTATAAAATAATTAGGAGAAGCTCACGTTTGAATGTCTCTCGGATAAGCTGTCCTCTCACTTATGAACGCTTCTCTCTTGACGATTGCATCGTGAGGCCACTTGGACTCTTCAGGAACACCTTGTTTTCTGAAAAATTTGTTTTTCCAATGCAATTTCAAGTTGAAGCTCACCCTAAAATGTCCCAAAGTTGGCCGGCTTCAGAATCCCCGGCAAATAGAGGTTCTCTATGGTAGACTTCGCTGATGATACAGCCGGCTGACCAGATGTCTGAAGAACTTCCGTACTCGGTTAGGAGCAGCAGTTCTGGAGCTCGATACCATAGTGTCACTGCCTGGAAAATGAACAAAAAGTGAATCTCGGGAGGCTCGAAATCAGGCACCAAAAGTTCGTCAGAAATTTGATCAAGGGGTTCGATTTGTTTTTGGGTCGGAAAGGCTGGTCGTAAGTCTTGATATAAATTAAATTCATTTCATTCTATGAAGCTTTACTGAAATGAGCTTTTAAATTATAAACTTTAAAACCCCTTCCACAGAGATCAGCTTCACATTACGATCAGATTTCACTGTCAAAATATGTAGAAAAGGTCAGGGAAAAGCTGAAATGTTTTCCTCATTTATCTACAGTTCAATCCAAACTTTCGGCTGAGTTTAGACTTCCAATAACAAAGCTTCAAGTTCAGAAACTGAATTTGAGCTTTTTCGGAGGTTTGAACAGAGTGATGAACTTTTAAAGAGTTAAATTCGAGAGAAAAAAATAGTTTCAATTTTAATGAGCTTGAATTTTTCCTGAGGAATCGACCAGAATACTTACCACAGAGGTGAATGCGCTAGTGTTAGAGTACATTCTCGACAATCCAAAATCAGCAATTTTGATCTCCTGGTTCCGGTTGATTAAAATGTTTTGTGGTTTCAAATCCCGATGGATGATGTTGTGCTCATGCAGAAAATCAAGCCCAATGAATATCTAAAATGATATTTTTTCCACTTTTTACACCTGGAACAACTAACCTGCCGTGCGATATGTCTACACTGCTTTTCCGGACAGTTTCTTGGAATTCCTTTGAGGAACAAGTGCAGATCCCAGTCACATTTCTCCACAATCATGTTGATTTTCATGCCTTCTTTCTTGCCCAGAAGTGTGTGGAACACATTTACCAAGCTGAAATAAGAGTTTTTCAAAGAACTCAAGGTTTTCAATCACCCTAAAACATTTGGATGCCTTAGAGAGGTTAGCGATTTCATAACGGAAAGTTCTCGAAGAACACTTTGAGGGATCCCCTCTTCATTGACGGAGACGTTGATTTGTTTCAAGGCGTACTGAAAATAGTTTTCAACAGAAGGTTTTATTTCAGAATTTCTTACTTCTTTATTTGTTTTTATTTCTTTGACTTGATAGACCACGCCATATGCGCCCTTGCCAAGCTCCTGAAATTTAAAAAAATTTAGTTTTAGAAGCTCGGAAAAATGTTTTTCGTAACCTCAGAAATTATGTAGTCTGATAATTGACTTTTTGGCTTCTGTTCATAATGTGAAGTTGAACTGACGTTGCTCCGCCTTTTGGTAACGTCTTGGAGGGGCGCCGGCATCGTCTGAAAATGTATGTATGAAAACGTTTTTTAAATGAGAAGAGAAACGGCGAGAAAAAATCATAAAGCGTTGTTGAATAAGCAGAGCTCGTTTCAAAACCAAAAAAAATTTAGCTTTTGAAGCGGATTGAAGGGCAGAAGAAGACCTGCTTCACACCGAGTCAGTTCGAATAAACTTGAAATATTTGGCGTTTCCACGGCAAACTTAGACTCTGAGCTTTCTAATTGAAATGATTTTTGAAACTCTCAGCAATCCTAACTTCTGCCAGAACGCTCCGATTCAAAAGATTGGAAGACTTGGACGCAAGAAAATAGAAAAATCGAAAGCCCAGACTGAACGAGAGGAAAACGAGTCAAATATCGAAACGAGAAGAGACATTCAGCCATTGGGATGGCCTTGATTTGAATCTCAGAAGAGGCGACGGCGCGAGGGTAAAACCCGCCACAAAAATCGTCTCTCCAGCGATTTTCCCAATTTGTCACCGCCGGCGACGACGGTGACAACAAACGTCGGCGACATCTGGAGCCCATTGGAGATGAGAAAAAAGTCTTGTGTTTGAGAGAGAAGAGGAAGAAGAAAAAAAACTGATTCCAGGGGAAATTTTTCAACTTTTTGAAATACTCAAAAAAGGATCTACCAAAGTTCATCGGAACAATGTTTTCATTTTGTTTCAAAGAGTTTCTGAGCGTTTAGAGACCCCAAACTGTAGCGCTGATATTTTGGCGAATTTCGAAGGCGCTTACTGTATTTTGTGTACGGTTTAAAAAAAATTTTCAAGTTTCTTGGAAGCCAAAGAAATATTGAATAAGCCTTATAATGAACTTTTTCAAATAAATATGAAAGACCTTTAAAAACATAAAATTAAACCAATCCATCAAAAAGTAAGAAAAAATAACTGAAAACTTGTTTTGCTATTCTGAATGCTACAAAACGGAGATAAAAAGCGAAACTTTCACTGCGATGTTCTATTACTTCTACAAGTATCACCCACTTTTGCAGATATATACTCATACTATTCAAAGTTTAAACCTGAAAAAATCGTTAGACAACTCAAGAGAACAGGTGGCCAAGTAGAGAATATGGCACCCGAGACATGGCGCGCAGGTATCTGGAGGTGTTGCGCAAAAAAATCGCTCAAGAAGTTCTTTCTTTGTCTCGGGTGGGAAACCGTCCGCTTGCCGAATGAGGCCGAAAAGGAAATAAGATTTGCTCGGGAAAAATATAAAGTTTTATTGAGATTCGGTTATATTCAGGTGTGAAAAAAGATTAAAAACATTGTGTGATTACAAAAATGGAAAAAAGTTGAAGAATGTATGAAAAGAATCATCAGAAGACTTCGAAAAACAATAGTATCAAAGAAAGGGAAAATTTTTTTCAATACAAGTGGAGATTGACACAAAAAAACTGCAGGTAACATTTATTTAACTTAAAAATAGTTCTGAAATTTTATAAAATCCTCGAAGTGAAGATTCAAACTGGATTGAGCCATGAGATAAAAAAATATTTTGACAGTTTGAGATATAATTTTTTTGGTGTTTTTAAATGAAGTATTCAGAACTTAAAATTACTCGTCAAAAAAATGAATGTATCACTGAAAGTTGAATAAACCGAAAAAAACATTTTTTCAACATCAAGAAAACAGCATTTAAAAATTAATCTGAGTCTCAAAAAAGATCGAAAACCTCGAAAATTAAAAAAATATCGGTTCAGTCGCCGTAGTTACTATGATTTCGGAACAATCTGAACAACTGCGAACCCCAGAATGCCGCGAGTCTCATGCACGGAAGACAATGGCGACGTTGGTGTCCAAGCACAACTCCGGTGGTCGTTACAAAAAAGGATCCACGCGCGCAGCAGACAAACTTGCAACAAAAGAAATGAGGTGCGCGTTGAGACGAAACGAGGCAGAGCGTGACCTGTTGAGGATGGCACTCAGTCTGGCTGATGACCTTGCCGGTAACACCTCCTTTTTTGATCAATAATGAGGCAAAAATGGAATGGCTCCGCGTGTTTGGTCTTTTGCTCCAGTGAATATAAAACATATAAAAGTGACTTTTTTGAATCTACAAAAGTCTTCAGGTGCGCCAAACCTTTTTGGTTGATTTCAAATCTAACAAGTTTACCAGTTTACCTCTTATCTTCATTCATAAAAACCTCAAGTTGACTCATTTCTCAGATTTTGATCACAAGGATATTGACAAAAATAACATAAGTGCATAAACGGAACATTCACAAGAGTTTTTGACTTCTGGACATAAAATTTGAAGAAAGTAGAAGGTTTTCAAAAAGGCATACCGTACATTGATCGGCAATGGAAGTTCGTAGATTTGGGGTAAAGAAAAGATTGCAAAGGAAAGTGAGCATCAAGGCTAGAAAATTTCCCAAAATTTCGTTTGAAAAAAGTAAAAGTTTTCGTAACCTTCGGATCGTAGCGTAGTGGAATTTTTGATTTCTAAAATTCGCAAGGACCACGTTTTAGGATCGAAACAAAAATTCTGAGAGCAACCATATGAAGGAGAAAATAAATGAGAAAAAAAAATCTTGAAAGGTGTTTTTTTGTATGAAGTATTAAAGACTACTAAAGAGTAGGTTTTCCTCTTTAAAAAGTATAGGTTTTCAAATTTTTCTAAGAGCGAAAAAAATGAAATAAACAATGAGAACTCCTTCTCACCAGGTACATCGAGAGAAGTTAGAAAGGACAAAGTTGAGGATCGCAAGAGTCAAAAGAGGAAGGTCCGGTCGGCACCGAGCGGCCGCGCAAACCTAGACAACGAGGCCATAAATCTGCAGAAGAGTGAACCGCCGAGGGCCGTTGAACAATTTCTTGGGAAGTTACCGCTCCTGGCTTTTTTACGAGCGCAAATGTTACTTTTTACGGCTTTCTTAATGCGTTTGTTTTTTCGTGGAACAATGCAAGCTGCGACTCATGAGAAAGGATTTGCACTTCTGAAAGTGTGGTTTGGTCTTGGTTAAGTCTAGACGTGTTTTCGTGCTGTCACCAGCTCAACGGTTGTTTGGGGTAACTTTCAAAGGATGAAAAATTTCAAAGGCTTGCAATTGTTAACTGTCTGAAGCAAGAACTTTAGAATTGAAGAATGAAGAGTGAAATTTTTTGGGGCGCGCCGTCGCGCAACAGGTTGTGTGGCTGTCTACGGTCCACATGGTCACAAGCTCGATCCCCGCCTTGACCCAACCAAGGGGTTTAAAAAATGTTGGTAGTGGGAAACCACGGCTTCATAATTTCCAGCCGTCACCCACAAGGACGGATATGTCACTGGAGCCAGTCCACTGATATCAGGATAGGACCTCGGCTAATCGACTTGGGGCGCCGACACCGCTCAAGCGGTACGAAGGCGTAGAAAGAAAAAGAAAAATGAGGAGTGAAATTCAATGGAAGGTGGACGTTTCAAAAAGCCTCTAATGGTTCATCCTAAAATTCATGATGAGGTAATTTCATACTTCTTCATTTTTTTGCTTAAAAATGATTGGGCTTGTATTTTATTAATTAATGCTTTACAAGGAGTGTCAAGCATTTGATGAAACCTTCTTGTAAAAAATTTCAAAACCCCCTGATTATATTTTTAACCCTGCACCTTTTGTATTTTAGAAGATTCATAACTTCTCAAATAGGCTGTCTACGATTCGAAGTTTCAAAAGTTCGATCCCCTCCGCTGTCCAACCAAGAAGTTCAAGGAATGTTGGCACTCAAAGACCTTCAGATCAATAGAGTCCGTATACCGATTCTCACTGATCTCAGGATAGGACCTTGACTTTTCATCGGCTTGAGGCGGGGACATCGCTCGAGCAGTACAGGCGTGAGAAAAAGCAGAAATTTTAAAATTCAAAGTCTCCTGAAGCGTATCTCACGAAATTTCCTTCATATCCACAAATTAACGCCATTTAAACTTTTTTTCAAACACCATTGTTTCAAAATCATCTGGAAAAATCTCCACTCAAAGCAATTCGAATTCGAGCTCAATCATCAGGCCCGAAGAGAAAGAATGATTGTAGCAAATTTTTTTCCGCGTAATCCGAAGAAGGTTCACCACAGTTGATTTACAATCAGATACAATTTTTCATCAACAAAAAAAGTTTATTGCCGCAAAACTTCAAAAAAAGCTTGCGTCAAAACGGAAAAAAAATTCGAATTGTATGTAAGAACGTTTCGTACCCGTCTGCCTAGAAAAAATTTGATTTCAAAATGAATAGAAAACGGTCTGAAAAGTCTCCGCTTCGCTGACAAAAAGGCTCATTCACAGTTGGGATTTCGCGAAACTTGGCCAAAACACTCTTTGATGTGCCAGCAGACGATTTTCAAAGTTTCAAACTGCTCAACTTCCTAGGAGATTAGTACTTTGAGACCCAAGATTATTTCAAAGCATTCCGCGGGTTTCTCTAGCTTTGAAGCGTTCACCGTCAAAAACTAGATACAGTACCGTCCGAAAAGACAAAAAAAAGCGACATTGTTCGCAACTTTCTTGTGAGGACTTCAATTTACTGAAAGTTTTTGAAGCTGGAACTTTATCAGAATGTGTGCAAAGTGAAGTGACTTCCTTTTTAAGAACTCACAAAAGATTGAAATATTTGGGTCTCATCGGATTGAACGTATCATCCTTACAACCTTAAAATTAGCATCTTTCGATTCTAAATGAGCAATTGACAACTGTCATTATTGAAAGTAATCAAGAATAAAGCAACATTAAAAGGCGCGAGAATGATAATTTTGACGACCTGCAAATAATATTCTTATCTCGTGCCGCTCTGTGTTCGAGGCTCCGATTCCGTCATTGGCGCCGAGTAACAGACTATTACTCAAAACTGGTAGAACATTGCTGCAGAAATTTGAAAATCTGCGGAAAACAAAGCGTTACTGACCCTTTTCAAGGTACTCAAAGTCACAAAGTCATATCAAGAGGTCAAAACCAAATATTAAAAAAGTTAGAAACTTCATTTTTCCAAGGCATTTGAGAGCCGAAGAATAACTTCTCAAACGGACTAGTTGCTTATTTGGAAAATTTTTTCACGAATAGCTGTAAAATTGAGTTTCAAACTGTAATAAAATTGGAATCCGAGACGAATTTCTATAGAGTAGCCGTTTTAGGAATAGGCCACGGCTTAAGGTTTTTTTTTCTCAAGCATCAATTTTTTTCTATAATTTCTTAGTGCAGAGTTATAGCCTCTGTACCACGAATTTCCCCAAACGACATTCCGCTTTGCCGCTACGCGCCTTTGCGTACCTTGGTCGCGCTTCAAATTTTTTAAAATTTTATAAGGTACTCTGATTTCATGTTCTCCCACAGCAATACCAATCAATTGAAAGCTTGACCTAGAATCGAAAGACGCTTCGCGAACACACGCAGCGGAACAGCGGAATGTCGTTCCGTGAAATTTCAATTCGTGGCAAACAGACTAAATTTTTAATTTTTCTTGATTTCTTGATAATTTCCGAGCTTTTTATCCGGTGTACGAAACACTCCTGTTTCGCGATTGAATTTTTTTCTGAGTACAGTTTAGATTTTTCCAGTTGTTCCACATTCTTCGAAAAATCCCGAGCCTTTTGTTAACTTTCGAAATTGTTTATCAGGTTACGAAAATACTCTCTGACTACAATTTTCTTCACCAGAAAGTTTAGAACTTTATGGATCTGTGTGGAAGCATATACTTCCGGCCATCTAATTCCAGAACATGATTTTTTCATTTTGCAACAGTGCTTTGAATATTGTCTTTGGTCATGTCATTCGGGGAAAATTCGGTTTCCCGGTTATTTAAAAGTACAATAACTTGGTTAACTTCAATGAACAGACTCAATTTTGATGGATATTGCGTCGAAATTGGTGAATTTGTGCAGTTATCGTTTTATTATCTCCTTATGGGAGAAATCCTAAAACTGATGGGCAGGGAGGCACCAGTTGTTTGGAGATCATCCTGACATCATTTCTTTTTGAAATCAATGATATTGATTTTTGAGAAGTACCCTTTTTGCCAATTTAAATTAGGATTTGCAGTACTCAACTTTTATTTTCAATTTTGTTATGCTTCAATCAAATCATCAAATCATTTATTTTGTTGGTTTAGTCATAGATGTATCGACTAGGCGGTGAACAAGAACTTTGAAAGCTATAACGAACAACCGCCTTTGGCGAGCTAGAAGTCCAAACGTGTAGTCGAAAGAGTTGAAAGCATGGTCTTACGATCCTTCGTCTCGTCCTTCTGCGCGTAGTGTATCCAGTTGCGCCTTGACGAGCTCAGAATGTAGCGGATGTTGTGCTGGAGCCCGGAGACCGTGCTCTAGATGGAAGCCTCAGAATGAGAGCTACCACTTCGAGTGAAGATTTTACACGGAATTCGAACAAATTTTTTAAATAATTTGCTGAATTTTTAAGGCTCCCAAGGATTTTCCGATCAGTTTGCTATAGCCAAATTCTATAAAATTTTCAATCCCATCTTATAAAAATTAACTTTCTAACGACTTTCAATTTCTTTGTCCAACCTGATGGAAAAAGAAAGTGCGCTCCACCGCACACGAGAGAAAAAAGAAACGGGCAGCGGCATCATCTGTCGAGCGCATGGCATTTTCGCTTTGAATCTGTTTTTTTAAAAGGTTGCCTCGCGCTTTTTGTTATCATTTTCTCTTATCTTTCGTTTACACATTTTTTTTTAAAGTTGAAATATTCTAATTATCTTGTTTTATACTGGATTTTCAGGAAATGTGGTCTTCGTTCCGCTCTTGTTTTTCCTTTTTTTGAGACCCTGTGTTGATTGGGAAAAACACGAGCTTTCCCAGTAACGTTTCCTACTCGCATTTCAACTCGCCCTATACTCCAACTGTCCGTCTTGATGTTGGTAGAATGGGTTGGTTTTTTTATTTTTTTAATTTACAGTAAAGTCTCTAAATTTGTGGGAGAAAAAAACTTTCAAGAAACTCATTTTTAAAAGATTCCTTAGAGTTTTTGAAAAAGGGTTATTACGCTGAATAATCAAATGTTTGTTGCTTAAAATTACTAAATAGCTTTTTTAATATTTTCAACAAAAAAAATCATTATGCTTACAAATATCCTAATTCAAGCAAAAACGGAATGAATCAATAACTATGACGCACTTTGTGATGATTCATATCATTTTTTCTGAGATTTTCAATTAGCACAAGAATATTTATTGTCACAATGTTAACACTTTGAAAAATTCATAATTTGTTTTCAGGAAAAGATGTCGTGATCCTCAAGGAAGGCGAGCGGATTTGCGGAACCGGCGGATCGATCGCCACTGTCCCGATTGTCCAAAATAAAGCTTACTTCCAAGTTACCATCCAGCAAACAGGTTTTTCCATTCTATATAGCTTTCTTTCAACTTATGCAGCTAATAATTAGTTTGTGTTTTTTTCAACTCCTTTTTTGGGTGAATATTCTTTTTTTGGAATTTATAGACCGTTTGAATTTTGATAATTGGTAGATTAAATGTTTGAATACTTAGAGGGAATTTAGCAGTTTAAGCTACAATATTAATTTGAAGTCTCAAAGGAATGACTTTTCTTTTTGAAAACTTCTAAGGGATCAAATTCACAAAGTTTTGTGTGTAAGACAAAATCAAGCAAACCAAAATCGTCAATTTTTCTTTTTCATGAGTTTTATTCATCCAGGAACCTGGGGAATTGGTCTCGGACATAAGCAAACACCTTTGGACGACGTCCCGCCGAAGGAACAATTCTGGGGCATCGCTGAGAACGGCGACATGATTTGCGATGGCGTCGTCAAGATGAAACTGCCGAAAACCGTCGAGGAGGGCGATACTGTCGTCAGTTTTTTATGCCAATGATTTTTCTTTATACACTTTTCGACGGAAATTCTTGACAGAAAAATCAAGGAATTCTTGGACTAAAAGAAAACTTATCTTAATAAGCATACTAATGACGTTAAAAAAATTGAAAGCTAACCCAACTTTTTTTAACGTTGTGAGACAATCGCCATGTGTCACATCATCAAAGTTTCTCAGTTAGATTTCAGTTGGACTCCGAATGTCGTTGCATTTTGCTATTTCTTTTTTAGCGGTTAGATCAACAAAAAAATTTAAAAGTTAAGCGCTATTAAAGGATCAAGACCCCTCGCAATTATTAATCGACGCGATGAAAGGCTGCGTTTGAGGGGCGGAGTCAGCCGTTTGACATTTGAAACCTGAACTTAAAAGGAGCCTTCTTATTAAATCAATTCGAGTGCGGAGTATCTTCATGGTCAATCCAGGAAAACTTGAAAGTGTAGAAAAATCGATTGAAGTTGTCCGTTTTTTTTTAGTAGGAAGGAATTTCCAAAGATTGAATTTTTGAAAAAAATCTATTTGCGGATTCTTGTCATTTTTTTATGTAAAATCCCAAGTTCTGCACTTATTCCGTAGCGCTAGGAGTTCCACAATCAGTTATGATTGTGGTTGTAACAAGAAAAGAGAGCAAACGCCCGCTGGCTGGTTTTTTTTTTTCAAGAGCACATGTTCACACAACAACTTCTTTTAACCTTTCGGGAATTTTTTTGGGTTTGATGAACGGCCGGCTACAAAATGGCTTTGAAAGACAATTAGTAGCTTTTCGAAATATTTGAAAAAAATTCTCATAGTCTGTTTTTTTGATTTGTACTCCATTCACCTATAAAATTATCGAGATAAAATTATATAAACCTCAAAATTGAGGCGCAAATACATACGGCCGTTTGATAAATTTTGCTCATTTTTTTTTCTTTCCTGTGTGAAGGCCTTTTCGAAATGTTCCGCAAAAGTTCTTCCTTGAAAACCTAGGGATAATAAAATTCAGGCCAGAAATCATGGGAAGTTAAGAAACAGCTTTCCTTTGATTTTGGAAGGAACTCTTTGAATAAAAAAATAGAGTGATTAAAGCAATGATAAAAGTCAAATCCTTATCAGCATCGATTTTCAGGGTGTTTGCTACGATCACGTCGAACTCACGTTCTTCATCAACGGAGTACGTTGCGATGACACGCTGACTGGTATCAAGGGACCTGTAAGTTTTTTCTTCCGTCATGGCTTAAAAGGAAAAAAATGGGAGTGAAACTGCAAAGTCGGGTTGGCTTTAAGGTTTAATCCTTGAAAGACTCTTCTTTGGCGAGCAGTTTCACATTTGAAAAAGAGGGGTTGAAACTGCAATAAGATTTTAAACAGCCTGAATAGCAGTACGAAATTCATCAGAATGATTTTGAGTCCTTGGAATGGTTTTTTCTAAAGTTTTATTTTCAATGAGAAAACTTTTTGATTTATCTCTAGAAGGTTGCTGATATTCAACTTAATTGAAAATTACTCAAATTATGTTTTTCAGGTCTACCCAATGCTCTACGTCGACGACTCGGCCATCCTAGACGTCAAGTTCAAGAACTTTTCCTACGATCCTCCTTCGGGCTTTGGCGAGATCCTGGTCGAGCAAACTCTTCTTTGAACTGTCCAGTTTGTACAAATCCACAAGAAAATTCACCAAGTTATTCTGAGTGTCTGCTGTCAAATACACTAACCAAGAAAAGTCTACTTTTTTTTATTGCATTAAATGAAAATTAGATTTTCTAGTCATTTCAGGCTTTCTTATCACATTTTTCATGTTTCAGAAGTCCCAAATCCTTTTAAATTTTATTGCCTACACAAATTTAGTTTTTTACACACTAACTCCTTATCAGTTTTTTTTCTGACCCTGACTTTTTTCTTGAATATTTTACTCTGATTATAATGGATTACTAAAAGTACCCTGTTTCTATTGCTCTCAACTTGCCCCCAATTATACCAAGAGTGCTTCTTTAGCTTTAATCAAAACTAACTGGGTTCCAAAATTGTGGCCATTTTTCACTTGATTATAATGTGATTGATTATTTGCAAGTATTCTCCTCCACTCCGTATAAGGATTATTTTTCTTAACATCGTCTAATTGAGATTTTATTACCTTTGTAAAACTATTTTGTATTCAGAAGGTGATGATGGAATCTGATGAAATTATTGTATGATTATTTTTCCATGGTTTTATGAGAGAATGAAAATTGTACTAGCAGTTTGTTTTATGTAGAAAGGCTAACAAATAATAAAAGCTAAAAGTCCATTTCTCAGAAAAATCCAGTAGAAGATAGGCTACAAATTTTTTGAGTGCAAAAGTACAAGGATGACTTGAAATAACTTTGAAATAAATTTATGGCTTTTTGGTTTATTGGAAATATTGTTCGATAGCTTTTTGGGACTTCCATAAATTATAAACCAACTGAACAGCGCAAGAAATTCAATTTTTTATTTTCTCAATTAAATATGCATCAATTCAAAGCACAGATCTAATTCTGAATCGATGGCAGGAATTTTTAAAAAACAGGGTCCTGTTTGAGTTCTGCACAACTTTCTGTAACTTTTTTGATATCCCTGAAAGCCTATCAAACAGTTTGGATACACACCAAGGTTTTTCATTATTATGTTTTCCATAAAAAATGAAATTTTCAAGCCTTTCATTACTTTTCTCTAAAAATGATTAGGATTCCTGAAGGATTGTAGATTATTTTAATAGTTATTCCGGCTCAAGAAAAAGTATTTTTCGTCTTTTTTTCGTCTTTATTTATTATTGAAAGCTGTTTCTCACAAGGTAAAAAAATTAATTAATGCAAGGAAACTGTAGCGCTAAGTATTGCAGATTCAGAAAAAAAATTTTTATAAAATCATTTATCAGGTAAAAGTTCGAAAATTCTCATAACTTCGAGCACTATCAATTTTTAAGGGATCCCATAAACCAATAAGTTTTTTTTTTGCGATTTATCAAAAATCAAAAAAACGACATTCCATTTAGTGATTTTCAAGTTTTAAGTAATCCAAATAACTTCGTCCTTTTTCAAAGTTCCTCTTCACACCAACTTTTTTTACAACTTTATTGTCCCAATTCCAAATAACACAACATGGGAATATATTAGTGGACAGAGTAATGCGAAGGGGAGTACAATATATAGGAAAGAGTAATAGCGAGAGAATAAATATGGGAATCAATAACATTTTTTTTCGGTCCATTGCTTGGATTCGGACCATCGATCTCCTCCGAGAAGTTAGACGCCCTGGTTGGCGGACTCGAGCACAGAGGCGGCTTCGTCGACCTGGAAAATAACAAAGGTTAGTGTAAAGTCGGGAAAAAAGTGGTATCTGACCTTCTGGCGGAACAGCTCGTTGTCCTGGAGCATCATGATCAGCTCGGAGTTGTCGATTTCGAGCATCATGCCGGTGATCTTTCCGGCTTCCTTGTGAGCGGGGTACATCTTGTCGATAAGAGCGTAGATACGCTCTCCCAAAAAGCTGCTTTTGCTCCTGAAAATTGAAGATTAAAAAAATCAAGTTTTATCAAAAGATTTTTTTTTTGGGTAGGCTTTCAATTTTATTTCATTCTTACCTGAGGAGCGGCCTGAGCCAACATGTGCGAGGTGAGCGGCTCCTGTCCGCTGATGACGATTCCGCTCTGAGCGGGACGCTGCTGAGTCTGCGGGACTCCTCCGAACTGGTAGATGGCGCCAGGCTTGCCCATCACTTGGGGACGTCCGCCCTGGAAAAATTGATTTTGGTAAAATTATAAATAAGCTCTTGAGAGCCTTATAAAGGAATTTTTGCAAGTCTAACAAAGTCTTTCGAACCTAGTTTGAAGAGACTTTGAAGAAATTTAAAAAATTTTTTTGCACTTTTTTTATTAATCACTTCGACTTGTTTTAGAACTTCTCTTGATTGGTCCAATCAAAGGCTCCAAAAAACCTTCGGCACGTCAAAAAAGAGCTCTCCCCACCCTAATCCCTTGCCCATTGCACAAAATCCAAAGGCCACGACAGATGTCGCTTTTAAGCCGGGACTGACGTCCTTTTCTTTGATCTTTTGTCTATCCTCTCTCGCCAGGTGTTCTCTTTCTAGTGACTCATCTCAACAACTTTTCAGAGGAGAGTTGTTATCAAACGACTTTTTAAGATTGGAATCATCTTATTACACGTCGGGTTTGATAACCAGCGGTCTCGGTGATAAGAAATGATAAAAGTGTGTTTTTATGCCTTTTTTTACAGCAGAGGAAGAAGTTTTGGAAGATCGGTAGCCTTATGAAATGTTCGAATAAATCATGAAGTTTCAATTTCGTTTTCCAGTCCGAAACAAAATTTTTGAAAAAAGGTTTTCTTTCTCAATCATTTTAGAGTTTAGGTTCTTGAGCTTTCATTGGGAAGATGAAACAGAGACCAAAAGTTTGAATTCGGATTTTTAAAATCATTAAAAACACTTGAAACTATTTTTCGAAATATTTTTTTCTATACACTAGGCAGTACTCAAGTTCCCTCCTAATGAGTTATACAGTATGACGCGCGATTCTCATGATAAGTGCTCCAATCGACCCCTCTTTCCATTCTCTTGCTCGCTGTGAGCACATAATCTAGGTCACCCACCCGCTGCGCCGGACCGGCACCGACTCCTGGCGGCATGCGCTGGCCGACGCGGTTCTGCCCCATCGATTGGCCGTACTGTTGCGGGCGGCCAGCGTCGTTGGTGTTTCGCATCAGGCGATTGCCCTGCAAAACACACTATTGATTGAAAGCCAGGAGCAGAACTTGGTAAATAATGCTTGGATTGTAGTTTTCAGTGTTGAAAAAAAAACAAATGGAGGGGATAATTTCGTTTTGAAGTAGAAAAAAAAGCTTCGAGCTAAACTTTGCTTCATTAAAAAAAACCTTCTCTTCAAAAACTTTTGGAACACAGTCATAAAAATGGGCCTTTTTTTCATTTTTTTGGTGAAAATCCAGTCAAACGAAAAATAAACAAAATTTAAAACTGGAATCATATCTTCCTATGTAAACTTTTTCTTTAACTGACTTCATTCAAGGGCAATATATTTTTTTTTTTTGCTTTTTTTGCAATGAAATTTTTCCTTTTTACACACCTGGTAGACCTGACCACGCGGGTTGAATTGGTACGGCATCTGAGCGTACTGGGTCTGCACGTTCCAGGCCCTGTTTCCATTGCGGATGTTGGGCGCAACGCCCTGAGCCGGCAGGAATCCTCGCTGCGGGCCCTGCAAATGACAACTCGGATTAGTGGGAAAACAATCAACGCTAATCTCACCACTTGCAGCGGGTTGGAGACGTAATAGCCTCCCTGGCCAGGTGTGAAGACAGCAGGTCCAGGAACCGCCTGCGAGTGCATGCGGAGGCTTGCCAGCCTCTGCATGTACTGCGAGGCGAGTTGGGCTCGCCGGTCTTCTTTGCGCTGCGCCAGAGCCACGTAGAGCGGCTTCGTGCAGACCATCTTGGAGTTCATCTCCGTCACGGCGCTCGTCGCTTCATCAGGCTTTTCGAAGCAGACGAAGCCGAAGCCCTTGGACCGGCCGTTCTCGTCGGTCATCACCTGAAAGTATTGCAATCAGGAATGTTCCTGCTGATTTTTTTAAAGATACGGTGAATTCACCAGTGGAAAAAAATCAAGCAGACTACTCGAAAAAAATCCTCAAAAAAAACTTTTTTTTATTATGTAATACATTTTGGAAGCTTCAAGCTTGTTCAAAAACGAGTTCGCTGAAAACGTTTTCATTCAAAAGTTGACTCCGATGCAAGTTTATCAACTAGTTTGGTTGATTAAATTTCATAAAATTCCGAAAAAATATTACCTTGGCAGAAGTGATGTTTCCGAACTTCTCGAAGACCTTGCGAAGGCCGTCGTCATCAACAGTGTCGTCCAAGTTCTTGACGTACAAGTTGACGCCCTGGTAGCGCTGAAGGCGTTCGGCCTTCTGAGCCTCAAACTTCCGCTTGAGCTCAGCCTGGCGCTCGCTCTTCTTCTGGGCCGGGCACACCGCCAGCTTCACTTCGGTTCCTTCGATCAATTTTTCGTTCATCTCTTCGACGGCCTGAAATGTTTATTATAAGTAATTTGCTCAAAATAATCGAATTTCACCTTGGCGGCATCTTCGGGCTTCTCAAAGGCCACGAAGCCAAATCCTTTTTGCTTTCCTTCGCCGTCCACCGGCACCGCCGACGAGGTGATTTTGCCGAATTCGCCGAAAAGCGCCTCCAGCTTCTCCTTGTCGAGCTCCTGGCCAAAGTTCTTGACGAAGACGTTGGTGAACATCTTTCCGGTATCGCCCATCTCACGGAGGCGCTGAGCACGCGGCTGGAACTTGCCGACGTACCTGGAAACATTTCAATGAATTTCATAATTTTTTTTTGTGGTATTTAAAAAATTCGAGAAACTTACACTTTCTTTCCAGCCAACAGCATCCCGTTGACTTTTTCGATAGCGTTTTGAGCAGCGTCTTCGGTTTCGAAATGGACGAAGCCGTAGCCGCGGCTGTTTCCTTCGTCGTCGATGGCGACCTGTAATCAAATCATTGAATTTAGAAATTTAACCAAAAATGGCTTTGGCTAGTTTTGCAAATTCAATTGCAAAGTTTTGAAATTTCGAAAATCAGAAAAAGAGTAGGAATGTTTTTTTTTGGAATCAGAAAGACCTACAGTACTCTTTAGCGAAGTTTCTTCAAAAGTTCAACTTGAAGCAGATGAAGTAATTTAATTTAAAATTTCAAAGATCGTACCTTGCAAGACAAGATGTCGCCGAAAAGCGAGAACGTGTCGTAGATCGACTTGTTGTCGATGACCTTGTCCAAGTTCTTGATGAAGATGTTGCCGTTTCCGGAGCGACGGACGGCGGGATCGCGCTGCGACCACATGATCCGCATCGGCTTGCCGTGCATGATGTCGAAGTTCATCGTGTCCAGAGCACGTTCAGCTGAAAAAGTTAGAATTAAAATGATTATTGTGGCTTTTTTTCAAGTTTCAAGAAATTTCAATTTTTCCCATTTATGTTTTTGAATTTGGAATCTCAAACTTGAATTTAAAAAAATTTATATTTTTTTGACTGGAAAAAAACTTCCCTGCTTTATTATATATACCCTATGTCCCTCTTTTTTTCAGATCAAAAAAACGATTTCATGACCAGCAAAGTCGTTTTATTTGTTCAGGTTGTTTGGTTTGAAATGGATCGAATGTTTTTTTATCCTCGTTTTGAGGCTAGAAAGCCTCGCCATAGTTTTTTTAAAAATTACAGTTTCTCATTTTGATCTCAAACAATTTTTTAAAAAAATTCAGAAACAGAAAGTTTTGAAAGCTGGAGCCTTTTTGAAAAAAATTTTTGATTGTTTTTTTCGGTGGCAACACCTTTTCCTTTTTAAAAATTGAGAGGATTTCTATGATCAGAAAAAAAAAGTAGGAAGTTTCACAAAAAGTGTTGCATGAGAAGTTCAGTGATGACGTTTGTTTGAAAAAGATAATTTCGGTTATTTTTTTGTGGAAATGCAAAAATTTCAGGCTCACAAGGGAGCAGTGCGGATCTGGTCCCAGTTTCTGTTGTAGGGGTGGCAAGTTTGAATACTCGAAAAAAAAAACTGTCTGCTAGGCGCCATTGGATACTGAGAAATGGCTCATCGAAAATGAATCACGCAAAAAGTTGCTTTAGAAAATAATGAACCGTAGATAAAACTTTTTGACCTTTTTTTACATGTTCGACTCGCTATTTATCAAAACACAATAACACTTTGCCTTTTCGAAAGCTAAAAGCTTTCAAAAAAGTTTAGACCAGATCTAGAACGCTCTTTACTTTTCAGTCAAAGTTTTCTTCAATTCAAAAATACCAACCATCAGCCGGCTGCTGGAAGTTGACGTAGGCGTAGCCGAGCGACAAACGGCTGGTGTTGTCGCGGCAGACGCGGATCGAGAGAACAGGTCCAGCCGTGCTGAACTTCTCAAAGAGCATCGACTCGGTGACCTCAGGATGGAGGTCGCCGACGTAGAGCGACGCCATCGAGTAGGTTGTTCCGCCAGCTCCCGGGGCGGTGATCAGAGCTTGGGCGCCAGGGGCAGCGGCAGCAGCGACAACGGGTTGAGCCATTTTTTAGTCTGCAAGTAGGGCGAACTAGTTTGGTCAAGATCCTGGTATGTTTGTTAGATTGGCCAGCTAGAAATGAGTGTTATGATTATTTATTCGTATCTTTTTCGAAAAGGAATTCTTGAGGACAATTTTCCTATTTTTGTAATTCCTTCAAAACCAAAGACTTAGGAAGGGAACTAGTTCTTTTCATGGACGACAATGAACAGAGTCACATCTACCGTGTTTCTCAATTTCACAGTAAAATAGGTGACCCAGAAATAACACCCATTTCTAACTGGCCAACCTTAGAGTTCCCAGTTGCACAGTGAGTGGTTTGTTCTTTGGAACTGATAACCAAAAACGATTGCGCGATAGTTTTTTATCTATCAGTCTACATAATGGACTATAACCTTGTTTGCAGAGAGTACTGTATACTTGGATATTAATAAAAAATCGTTAATATGATCTTTGGAAAAAAAATAAAGTTGGAACGACCCAAAACTGTTTTCTATAGCAGAAACTAATGGTTGCAGCTTTCTGAAGTTTTTCTCAATCTTTCTAAAAAAATAGTTCTTATCAAGCCTGAAAACATTTTTTTCTTGTCAGTTTTTTTATTATGAGTCAAAATAGAAAAAATTTTCTCAAGAAATATGTTTTTTTTTTTCTAAAGATCGAGTTCTCGGACAAGGTTATTTTTTTTAATCTTGATTTCAAAAGAAAGCAGGAGATTTCTTTGAAGGGTTTCTTAGGCTCTTTTTTCGAATTGAATATCAAAATTGGGCTTCTCACATTTCTTTTTTTATCTGAAAACTCGGAAAGAAGAGTATGAACCTCTAGATCATGTTTTTTTTTTCTGAGTTTTAATTTACTTTCGTTTCTGTTCTTTGATTTTTATTCAGAACTTTCCAATTATTGTTGATCTGTCTTGAAATGCCATCACAAAAACAAATGTGCGTCACCAAAAAGGCCATTCAAAATGCAAAAACCCCTTAAGAAGCAAAGACCAAATTGCCAGAAATATCTTCCGTGCAATCCCTTCTTTCTCCCTTCATTTCTCAGAAGACTCTCGCAGAAACAAAAAAAATGGCCGTCCCGACGCAATTCTCACGCGTGATCGGGCTGTTGACGGCCTTTTTGGCATGAAAAACACGCCGCGATTGCGAAATCGTGGTTTGGGAAGGAAGGAAGGAATATCAAAACGCGATTTGATCGATGAGCTACGAAAGCGAGTCGAAAAATTCTTCTGCCAAGGGCGGAGAAGCGAAAGCGCCGTAGTTTTGGCCTAATTTTGATCCGGAGAGAGAAAGTCATAAGATATGAGGGTGGAGGAGGAAATGGAGCGTGTGAAGATCGAGAAGCTTCTGATGAGAATCTGTCGTAAAAAGTCGAAAACAACTTTTTTTGGAGTTGAAGATTCAAAAAAACATATCTTCGCTTCGGCTAAAACTTTTTATATCTCTGGACAAGTTCATGAGATTTAAAAGGAATAAAACATAATTAAAGCTGCTTCGTAATATCTAAAGCTGACAAAGTTTATTTTGAACCGATCCGAAAATAGTAAGGCTCTGAAAGTTTCTGATGTCTTTTGCAATGCTTTTATCATTTAAAAGGGTTTGAAAAAGTCAAAAAAAGCTATCAAAAGAAACAAAAGAGATGGAGCCTTTTAACGGCTTCCTGCATTTTCCAAAACGGAAGAAAAGATTTCGCAATGACTCGGTGACTCACAGAGAGCGGAAGAAAAATAAAGTATATTTTATTCGCTGCTTGGAACTTTATCAAATGAGAATTTGAGCATAATTAGCCGAAAATTTTGCCAGAAGGAGATTTTGGACTCACTGACTTTATTTTCAGGCTCGCAGTGAATAAAGGATACTCGGGAAGGAAAAGAAAAACAGAAAAAAAGTTTTGAGAACAACGAACAGAAGCTTGATTGTTCCTTGAAAGCTTCTGTCCCAGTATAATCCAAAAATTCAATCATTATCAGTCTATTCGGAAACAGACTCATGCAGGAATACAAAAAACAAGTCCAAAACATAATAAAAGACCAACCTTTTTCGTATTGATTCAGCGAATTAGCAAATACTCGTAAAGCACTGGGCTGTTTTTGGGTTTTGGAAGCTTTTTAAAGTTTTTTTGGTTTTTTTGAATAAGTTGGAAGCTGGGACAAAAACGACCAACTATAGATCGGTCCACAGACACCACTGAGGTTTTCCGCTCGCTCGTCGCACGCGGTGACCTAGGGGCGGAACCGCGACGCGTCGTGTGGGCGGAGCCACGATTCGGGTCCTGACGGGAAGAGACATGGAACGTTGCCAAGATTGGATCAGGCTTGCTTTTTATTGTCTTTATCAAGGCTTATGTTATCGAGTTTATCCGTTCCAATGATTGACAGAGAACTTTGGTGAGATCGGAAAGATGCGCCAAGGTCGAGGGAAATGGCGTTTTTGTTCGTGGCGTGGAGCGATTGACGTGGAATTAATGATAAGGCATTTTCGAAAATGACGTTGTGCAACATTTCGCATTATGGCGTACCTATGCGCTGTGCGATTTTTTTTCCGTTTACCCATTAAGTTCTTTTTTTGCCTTCCTGCTATTGATACTTTTGAAAAGGGTTGTGAAATTTCTTTCATTTTGAAATAACAAGCTCCTCCTCCACTAACACAATCGAACAGACTTGTCAAGAGATGGTGAAAAACTGGACAATGTCAGAATTTTTAATAAATTCTGCAGATTACAAGTGATTAATAAGGGATCTATCAAACTTTAATCCTTCAGGAAAAAAGTTGTCTATTTCATTTACGAAATTGAATGAATAAATTCGATTTGCATCATAAAGACTTCCCAATTAGTTTCAAGCTAATTATAGATTTTTTTAAATGAGGATCATAAATTTGATAAGTGGATAATTAAAGTCTAACCAGGAAAAAAATTGAATTATTCTCAATGGAAGCTTTCTAATAAATTTTCAGTTGTACATAAATAGGGACTTATAATTCTCTTTATTACTTCATTAGTGGATAATTGCTTCATTCAGCAAATAAAAAAACCTGCTTGTAGTCCAATGGAACGAATTTACCGGGACTCTTGTTTCTCGTCAAAATTTGAGATTAGTTGACAAGTTTCTTTCAAAAACTTTATAACTGAGACAATGCGACAAAATGAAAATATGAAAAAAATTATTAGAAAAGTGGGTTACCTAAAGACTTAAAATAAAAAATGGGTCTATCAGCAAAATTAAACAACTTTTTTCACATTGTGTTGGATCAAAACAAGATTATAGAAGCAACACGATTCACTTGAGATTTTCTTGGAAAAAAAGTTCACAATTTTTCATTGAACTTTATTTTTGCAATAAGAAACTTCATCAAACGGACATATATAGACTAACAAAGTTACCTGGCGTGAGCCCAAATCCCTCTTTTTCGATCCGGTTCTTTGAAAGTTTCGAGTAAAGATCAATCAAACATCGATCAAATTATTTATTCAATATCAATAAGACGTTCAACGAAATTAAAGCTTATTTTCAGGAATTTAGATGCCTTTTCCAGCAAAATATATAATTTATAGTTTCCTTTATTTTTGTTAGAATTCATTATTTAATCCTTTGATCAAGAAAGACCCGAGACTAGAAAAAAAAATTAAGGAATTCTTGGAATCCCATTAGAACTGGAAATTCTCACAAGTTCTCACATTAATTGAAGTTCTTGCTCCTTATTTACAAGATATACCCGTCTCGTCATTTGTTGATTAATAGGCTGAGCTTAAAGTTTTCCAAGAATTTCGGAGAATGAATCGAGAACATTTTTGCTCCAGCGGCATTTTAAACATGATAACCATTTGGTTTTTGAATATCTGATTGAAGAATAGTTGACCCAACCGTGTTGAAGAGCTTCAAAAACTTTTTTGAAAAACCAGTTTTATCAAGTGACGAAGTATGAAGACTCTCAAAAACGCCACAAAAAATTGGACAATAAAAGCCGTTTCGGAAGATTCTCAGCTTGAATTTTAAACTCTCTTTTGATTTTGATAGAGCTATGAGTTTCAAGAGAAACTGAAAAATAAAGTAGAAAAGCGATTCGACTCAAAAAAAGCTTTGAAAATGGATATAATAACAAGCTTGCTCATACCAGCCAACTTTGTAGTTTTTGGTCAACCTAACGGAGGGAAGAGAAAGGAAAGATAAGGCCATTCAGCTTTTTGCTCTCACTAATGATACCTTTCTATTTGGTCAGGCTTTCATGACGCCCAAACTTGATGGAATTTAATGATTTTGTCTTTTTTTTTTACAAAGATGTAACCTCATCTGAGTTTTTTTTTTGAGAAAAAGCAGTCATGAAGATATTCCCCCCTCTGCTCTTAATTTTTGGAAGGATTTTAAGGGTCAAATTTTTTTTTGATTTCAGTGGATGTCTAGAGAAAAATTTCATTTTACTTGAAGCCCATCTCAGTCCAAAAGTGGTAAAAAATGAACCAAAGTTGAACTGAGAAAGAAAATATTGCATTTGAAAGTCCTAAAACAAGCTTTAGTTCAACTTCAGAAATTTACTTTACGAGTCCGAAAGTTGAACAAAATTCGAAAAATGCTTTATTAGGAAAAATTTCAGTTGGTATTGGATACATAAAGAGCAGGGAATAGGGGGAAAAATCGCTAGAGAACGGAAAAAAAATATAACTTCAAAGATGACTTGAGAAGTTTTTATGAATTCGCCAGAAAGTTCTCGAAGCATTTCTTTAATTTGAAATTTACAACAACTCGTACTTTTGGCTCGATTTATATAGTTTATGTTTGACTCGAGGTCACGAACATTTTGAAACTAGTCCGAAACAAGAAAAATGCACCCAAAGATGGGAAGTTAGTTTTTTTCTATGAAAAAATTTAGAAGGAACTAACATTTACAGCTAAATTGATCTCAATTGTAAGGACCAAATAAAACACAAATCATACTAACTCCGGATAATGCTATTCGATCTTTACAAGGACTGGAAGATTTGGAGCCCATTCTGCTCACGATAATTGCTTGCTCATTAGCCTTTCATCCAAGTCGGCGTCCTATCTCGAGTAGATCGACGAGAGGAGACTGTAGGACGCCAGATTAGCCTCTCTAAGTAACCCAGCGACGCTCTTCTGTGGCGTCCTAGTAATTATTACGATCATCGATCAGCAACTCGGAGATATGGGCCAGATGTTCCTGTTCTACAGATCAATGATCAATTCTTGCACCTGTCCTCTTTTTATGTCCTTTCACTCGAGAATGTCGTTTATCTCAAAAAAGAACGGAACAATTTTGACAACTTCCTTTCAGGTATGCATGTAGGGGTCAACGAGGCAAATATTGGAGAGTCGAAGGAATTTAAAAACGAGGGTGAGAATGATGTTAAACCGTGTCCACCGAATCGCCATCAATTTCAACGCGATCTTTCGAGGATTCACACCACCATAGATGGCACTAAAGAAGAGGTTACGGTTGAACTTTTTACCGAAAAAGTGGGGTTTTTTGAGCTTTTCATTCGAGCTTTAGAACTCCATCCATGCAATTTTCTTTTTCAACGTTGACAGCAGTGTTTGATTTTCACAAATGTAACATTCACAATAAGGATAAAAATATCAAAAACAACGGAATATCTGGCATTTTTGTTGTTTTGCATTTTAAACTGCTCATTTACTCTTCAATCTCGTATGTTTTTCAAATAATAGAAAAAAACTTGATTTTTCTGCCTGATTTATGAAAACATGGTCCTGAAAAGAGCCTTTTAGACATAAGTCATGAAAATGTCTATCTCGTTTTTTTTTTTGAAAAGGGACGACGCCTTGTTTTCGCGCCAAAAAAGTTCAGACAGAAGAATCGGTGTTCACGTGCTCTATGCCTACATTGCGCGTAACTCTTCCAAGCCAAGAAAAGAGAAATATTTAAAAAAAAGGATAAATATAGAATAGCTTTTTTGCTTCAAAAACCTCGGTTCAAGCATTGATAAAATAAAGATTCAATACAACTTAACATTTAAAATCGATGATTTGAAGACAAAAAGCTTTATTTCAAAGCTAAAAAAAACGAAGAATAAAAACCCTGTTCATTTCTTAATTACATAAATAATTAAATTTCAGATCCGAAGAGAGATCGATAAATGTGTGGCGATGAATCCCCAACGAGAAGAACTTCGAATCATCCGACGAGATCTTAGCACAAAAATTGAATCCCACAGAAAAGAAGATATCAATTTGAAAACGGCTCTTGATGAATTGGTATCAAAAAATTTTTTATTCGGAGAATTTCAAAATATTTCCACACAGAAACGAGCTCAACTGGATTTGGAGAAGGACTGTAGAATCAGACGTAAAGATCAACTCGATGTCTACTTGGCCAATTTGGAGACAAGATACACCAATGCAAATCTAACAATCCGAGATGAGCAGTCTCTTATCCAAGAAATCGACGCTCTGAAAAGGAATCGTGGCAAATTGGAGTAAGTTCATGAATTTCAAAAGACTGAAAATAACTGCAATTTTTCAGCAAACTTGACGAAATCGCGAACCAACGCAAGGATATGGAAAAGAAAATCGAAGATCTCAAACGTCAGAAGCAGGTATTACCTATTTTCATCATATTTTCGGAGAACCTCACGTTTTTAGGGAGCTTATCACGCACTGACGACTGTGAAAATCCAAGCCGCTGAGCTGCTGAAAACCCGGAAAAAACACGAGAACCGCATAGGAATCTTGAAAATGAACCTGAATGACATGTTTTCGGAGAGAAGAATCTTGATATCTGGCTATTCTCAAAATAGAGCAAGCTATAGCACTTGGTTGGTTGTTAACAAGGTGAATTGATTTTGGAAATTAGTCTGGATTTCAAATTTTTTTCAGAAACATCCCTCAAAAAATGAAGCGTTTCCTTCGACATTTCCAACTGCAAATCGCCACAAGAAAACTTGTAAGATTTGAAAGTATCTTTTTAAATTTTTTAAAAATGTGTATGGAAATTTTTTCAGATACTTTCGTGGAAGATGAAGAGCTGGAGCCGTTTTTCGAGCAGAAAAGGGATTGCAAACGGCTCATTGGCTATTTGGAGCAACTGAAAGCAATGCTTCCACAGGAGGAAACTACTCAAACTTATATTTTAGTTAGTCTTGATTATTAAGTTTTAAATTACAAAACAATTCAGCCGCAGCAAATGAGCACGGATGATGATTCGGCCGACGAGTTGCCTTCCCATTTGGCCAAATTGTCAACTTCCCCGCCGAAAGCCATCATCACGATTTCTAATAGGAAACAATTTTTGAAGAAAAGCAAAACTTCCCAGGTTTTTATTGCTTCTTTTCATGAATTACCAAATATTTCCAGCCGATTTCCCATCAAATTGAAATTTTCAAAATGTTCGGCAACGTCGAAGTCGACGCCCCCAAACTTTATTCTGATGTTCCGGCTATTTTGGAAGAGGTTATTTTTGACTGTGATTTCAAAATTAAGTTATTTGGATTCCAGGTAAAAATGAAACTTGCCTTTTTCGAGCAACAAACCAACGAAATCGAATGGGACGATGAAGATTTGCAATTAGGTTCGTTTCTTTTTTTTTTCTTTTTCCGCTCTATTTGAAATAGCAGTGTTTTTTCAGATCGGGTAAAAAAATTGATCATTAAAAGTTTCCATTTTTTTGAAAATAAGAACGTTGATTCATAATTATTTACATCGAAGTAAGGTACAAGATCAAAACATTTTATAATTCATTTTTATGTTTCACTCCTCTTTCTAATCTCCCGAAAAAAGGCGATATTGTAACTATTTTAAATCGAAGCTTACAAAATTAAGAAGATGACGTTACAGCTATATGATGATTTTAATGCTTTGTCGAAAACGAAATTTGAATTTTTATTATTAATTTGTTAAAAATAAAGAGTTATGAAAACAGCTTCAAGATTTTTCATGTTCTCTTGATTAATTCTTTGAACTTTTCGATAAACTTAAAAGACAGTTATTCATAATCTTTGAACTCGAGGCTGAAGACACAGAATATCAAATTTATTGAACTTGATCATTCTTTTGATTGCTTGAGTTTTTTTTTCAATTTTAAGGTTCAATGTCGGTTTCTCACACGGCAAGCGAATTCACCGATTCCTTTTACGATGATTCCTCGGACGCTAACAGCGTAACAAGGTAATTTTTTCTTCATTATATTTTTTCCATAATTTCTTGAAGCTCCACTAAAAGAAGTCGTTCTTCTCGGATTTCAAAGTAAAGAGTATTATCTTCTGTGAAAAAAATTCACAATTTTTTGAAGAAAGTATTTCCAAATGTTTTATGCCTGAGAAAAGTGCTGAAATAAATAGGAGTTCTAAATTCCAAGTTTTTTGAGTTTTGATTCGGAAGCTCATCAATTTTTGTCAATTCTCACAAATTCCCATTACAATGACGTCATTTTGAATTCCTACATCATTTTCATTCATTAAATACAGTTTATGGTTGTAGAAGAAAATAACGATTTCAGTGCGCGTCGCAATTTCAGTCGCGAGAGCTGTCAATCTCCACTGGCAGAACGGAAATATACTATCACCTCCGATGATTTCGATGCCGATGAAGGTTTTCCAGACTATGATTCTTTTTCAAAATTTTTTTTCAGGATGCTCCAGCAAATGAGTTCAACTACATAATTCATTCTTTGTACAGTTTCTTTTTCGAAGAAAACCGGAAAAAAAATTTCAAAATTCTAGAAAATCAAAAAGTTTTTTGTTATTTGTAAAAATTTCATTTTTTTCGATCTATTTTTGCATTGTTATTTTTTTCTTTCTTTCTAGTCAATTTCGATTTTCTACATACCTCTCTACATCGTGAATCTTTTTTTCACTGCACTTTTTTGAAATTTGCTCATTTCAACTGTCTTGTTTTTTGTTGTCATAATCGAGTCGAAAAAAGTCTTAAGCCTCACAAAAATAGTTTAATCACGGGTATTTTGTTGTTTAAAGAGTACATTTTTCACCTCTTTTGGGTAGTGTGTTTCTGCCAATATAATTTTTACGATGTGCTCATAGGTTCAAATTCTTTTCTTTTTTTTTTTTACTTTTTAAATTTGAAAGGTTTGAAATTTTAATAAAATTGACAAACCGAGCTTACAATCTTTGATAAACAAAAAAATGAAGAGCAGGGAAAAAAACCTAAAAACGCAAAGAAAACTGATTTTGAACAGGAATGAAGAATTAACTATTGCGTGCGAAAGTAGCAAAAATTCATTATCTCGAGTCTTGTTTGTGCATTTTTTTATTCTTTATTCTGAAGCCCAGTGAAATAAACAAACGAAGTCAAAATTCAAAATTTCATTTATTCCCTAAAAAACGGATGCAGACAGAAATTGAACTTATTTGAGAGCAGCCTTCTTGCAGATCAGGCAAAATGGAAATTTCGAGTACTTCAATACCGGGTTTGAAGCTGGATTTCCTGCGACAAGAAGTTCGTAGAGCCAGAAACTCTGGGAGCGGTTAATGATGACTTTGAGCGGGAAGGAAAAATGTTTTGCTGAAAAAAATTTCCCCTATTTTTTTGATTTCGAGCTAAAACTTACTTGTTCAGCCGTCGGCTAAAACGGATGTCCATCTTCCTAGACGCAGGAAGCCGTGAGGCCAGACGATGAAGAAACGCGTTGTCGCAGTTCGGAGGGGCTTGAAAATATTTTGCTGAAAAAATAGTTTTAGTTTTTATTCCGATATGAAACCAACCTGATCAGCCGTCGGAAAGGACGGACGCCCATCTTCCTAGACGCAGGAAGCCGTGAGGCTAGACGGTGGAGGAAACGCGTGGTCGCAGTTTGAAGGAGGCTTGAAAATATTGTGCTGAAAAAAATAGTTTTAGTTTTTTTATTCCGATATGAAACCAACCTGATCAGCCGTCGGAAAGGACGGACGCCCATCTTCCTAGACGCAGGAAGCCGTGGCGGCAGACGATGAAGAAACGCGTTGTCGCACTTCGGAGGGGCTTGAAAATATTGTGCTGAAAAAATAGTTTTAGTTTTTATTCCAATATGAAACCCACCTGATCAGCCGTCGGAAAGGACGGACGCCCATCTTCCTAGACGCAGGAAGCCGTGGGGCTAGACGGTGATGGAGCGCGTTGTCGCAGTTCGAAGGGGCTTGAAAATATTGTGCTGAAAAAATAGTTTTAGTTTTTATTCCAATATGAAACCCACCTGATCAGCCGTCGGAAAGGACGGACGCCCATCTTCCTAGACGCAGAAAGCCGTGGCGGCAGACGATGAAGAAACGCGTTGTCGCACTTCGGAGGGGCTTGAAAATATTGTGCTGAAAAAATAGTTTTAGTTTTTATTCCGATATGAAACCAACCTGATCAGCCGTCGGAAAGGACGGACGCCCATCTTCCTAGACGCAGAAAGCCGTGGCGGCAGACGATGAAGAAACGCGTTGTCGCACTTCGGAGGGGCTTGAAAATATTGTGCTGAAAAAATAGTTTTAGTTTTTATTCCAATATGAAACCCACCTGATCAGCCGTCGGAAAGGACGGACGCCCATCTTCCTAGACGCAGAAAGCCGTGGCGGCAGACGATGAAGAAACGCGTTGTCGCACTTCGGAGGGGCTTGAAAATATTGTGCTGAAAAAATAGTTTTAGTTTTTATTCCGATATGAAACCCACCTGATCAGCCGTCGGAAAGGACGGACGCCCATCTTCCTAGACGCAGGAAAGCCGTGGCGGCAGACGATGAAGAAACGCGTTGTCGCACTTCGGAGGGGCTTGAAAATATTGTGCTGAAAAAAATAGTTTTTAGTTTTTTTATTCCGATATGAAACCCACCTGATCAGCCGTCGGAAAGGACGGACGCCCATCTTCCTAGACGCAGGAAGCCGTGAGGGCTAGACGGTGGATGGAGCGCGTGGTCGCAGTTTCGAAGGAGGTTGAAAAATATTGTGCTGAAAAAAATAGTTTTAGTTTTTATTCCGATATGAAACCAACCTGATCAGCCGTCGGAAAGGACGGACGCCCATCTTCCTAGACGCAGAAAGCCGTGGCGGCAGACGATGAAGAAACGCGTTGTCGCACTTCGGAGGGGCTTGAAAATATTGTGCTGAAAAAATAGTTTTAGTTTTTATTCCAATATGAAACCCACCTGATCAGCCGTCGGAAAGGACGGACGCCCATCTTCCTAGACGCAGGAAGCCGTGGCGGCAGACGATGAAGAAACGCGTTGTCGCACTTCGGAGGGGCTTGAAAATATTGTGCTGAAAAAATAGTTTTAGTTTTTATTCCGATATGAAACCCACCTGATCAGCCGTCGGAAAGGACGGACGCCCATCTTCCTAGACGCAGAAAGCCGTGGCGGCAGACGATGAAGAAACGCGTTGTCGCACTTCGGAGGGGCTTGAAAATATTGTGCTGAAAAAATAGTTTTAGTTTTTATTCCAATATGGAACCCACCTGATCAGCCGTCGGAAAGGACGGACGCCCATCTTCCTAGACGCAGGAAGCCGTGGGGCTAGACGGTGATGGAGCGCGTTGTCGCACTTCGGAGGGGCTTGAAAATATTGTGCTGAAAAAAATAGTTTTTAGTTTTTTTATTCCAATATGAAACCCACCTGATCAGCCGTCGGAAAGGACGGACGCCCATCTTCCTAGACGCAGGAAGCCGTGGGGCCAGACGATGAAGAAACGCGTTGTCGCACTTCGTAGGGGCTTGAAAATATTGTGCTGAAAAAATAGTTTTAGTTTTTATTCCAATATGAAACCCACCTGATCAGCCGTCGGAAAGGACGGGTGCCCATCTTCCTAGACGCAGGAAGCCGTGGGGGCTAGACGGTGATGGAGCGCGTTGTCGCAGTTCGAAGGGGCTTGAAAATATTGTGCTGAAAAAATAGTTTTAGTTTTTATTCCAATATGGAACCCACCTGATCAGCCGTCGGAAAGGACGGGTGCCCATCTTCCTAGACGCAGGAAGCCGTGGGGCCAGACGATGAAGAAACGCGTTGTCGCACTTCGTAGGGGCTTGAAAATATTGTGCTGAAAAAATAGTTTTAGTTTTTATTCCAATATGAAACCCACCTGATCAGCCGTCGGAAAGGACGGGTGCCCATCTTCCTAGACGCAGGAAGCCGTGGGGCTAGACGGTGATGGAGCGCGTTGTCGCAGTTCGAAGGGGCTTGAAAATATTGTGCTGAAAAAATAGTTTTAGTTTTTATTCCAATATGAAACCCACCTGATCAGCCGTCGGAAAGGACGGACGCCCATCTTCCTAGACGCAGGAAGCCGTGGGGCCAGACGATGAAGAAACGCGTTGTCGCACTTCGTAGGGGCTTGAAAAATATTGTGCTGAAAAAAATAGTTTTTAGTTTTTTTATTCCAATATGAAACCCACCTGATCAGCCGTCGGAAAGGACGGACGCCCATCTTCCTAGACGCAGGAAAGCCGTAGGCTAGACGGTGATGGAGCGTGTGGTCGCAGTTTAAGGGGGTTGAAAATATTGTGCTGAAAAAATAGTTTTAGTTTTTATTCCAATATGAAACCCACCTGATCAGCCGTCGGAAAGGACGGACGCCCATCTTCCTAGACGCAGGAAGCCGTGGGGCCAGACGATGAAGAAACGCGTTGTCGCACTTCGGAGGGGCTTGAAAATATTGTGCTGAAAAAAAATAGTTTTTAGTTTTTTTATTCCAATATGAAAACCCACCTGATCAGCCGTCGGAAAGGACGGGTGCCCATCTTCCTAGACGCAGGAAGCCGTGGGGCTAGACGGTGATGGAGCGCGTTGTCGCAGTTCGAAGGGGCTTGAAAATATTGTGCTGAAAAAATAGTTTTAGTTTTTATTCCAATATGAAACCCACCTGATCAGCCGTCGGAAAGGACGGACGCCCATCTTCCTAGACGCAGGAAGCCGTGGGGCCAGACGATGAAGAAACGCGTTGTCGCACTTCGTAGGGGCTTGAAAATATTGTGCTGAAAAAATAGTTTTAGTTTTTATTCCAATATGAAACCCACCTGATCAGCCGTCGGAAAGGACGGGTGCCCATCTTCCTAGACGCAGGAAGCCGTGGGGCTAGACGGTGATGGAGCGCGTTGTCGCAGTTCGAAGGGGCTTGAAAATATTGTGCTGAAAAAATAGTTTTAGTTTTTATTCCGATATGAAACCAACCTGATCAGCCGTCGGAAAGGACGGGTGCCCATCTTCCTAGACGCAGGAAGCCGTGGGGCCAGACGATGAAGAAACGCGTTGTCGCACTTCGTAGGGGCTTGAAAATATTGTGCTGAAAAAAATAGTTTTAGTTTTTTTATTCCAATATGAAACCCACCTGATCAGCCGTCGGAAAGGACGGGTGCCCATCTTCCTAGACGCAGGAAGCCGTGGGGCTAGACGGTGATGGAGCGCGTTGTCGCAGTTCGAAGGGGCTTGAAAATATTGTGCTGAAAAAAATAGTTTTTAGTTTTTTTATTCCGATATGAAACCCACCTGATCAGCCGTCGGAAAGGACGGATGCCCATCTTCCTAGACGCAGGAAGCCGTGGGGCCAGACGATGAAGAAACGCGTTGTCGCACTTCGGAGGGGCTTGAAAATATTGTGCTGAAAAAATAGTTTTAGTTTTTATTCCAATATGAAACCCACCTGATCAGCCGTCGGAAAGGACGGACGCCCATCTTCCTAGACGCAGGAAGCCGTGGGGCCAGACGATGAAGAAACGCGTTGTCGCACTTCGGAGGGGCTTGAAAATATTGTGCTGAAAAAATAGTTTTAGTTTTTATTCCAATATGAAACCCACCTGATCAGCCGTCGGAAAGGACGGACGCCCATCTTCCTAGACGCAGGAAGCCGTGGGGCCAGACGATGAAGAAACGCGTTGTCGCACTTCGGAGGGGCTTGAAAATATTGTGCTGAAAAAATAGTTTTAGTTTTTATTCCAATATGAAACCCACCTGATCAGCCGTCGGAAAGGACGGAGGCCCATCTTCCTAGACGCAGGAAGCCGTGGGGCCAGACGATGAAGAAACGCGTTGTCGCACTTCGTAGGGGCTTGAAAATATTGTGCTGAAAAAATAGTTTTAGTTTTTATTCCAATATGAAACCCACCTGATCAGCCGTCGGAAAGGACGGGTGCCCATCTTCCTAGACGCAGGAAGCCGTGGGGCTAGACGGTGATGGAGCGCGTTGTCGCAGTTCGAAGGGGCTTGAAAAATATTGTGCTGAAAAAAATAGTTTTTAGTTTTTTTATTCCAATATGAAACCCACCTGATCAGCCGTCGGAAAGGACGGGTGCCCATCTTCCTAGACGCAGGAAGCCGTGGGGCCAGACGATGAAGAAACGCGTTGTCGCACTTCGTAGGGGCTTGAAAATATTGTGCTGAAAAAATAGTTTTAGTTTTTATTCCGATATGAAACCAACCTGATCAGCCGTCGGAAAGGACGGACGCCCATCTTCCTAGACGCAGGAAAGCCGTGAGGGCTAGACGGTGAAGGAGCGCGTTGTCGCAGTTTGAAGGGGGCTTGAAAATATTGTGCTGAAAAAAATAGTTTTTAGTTTTTTTATTCCAATATGAAACCCACCTGATCAGCCGTCGGAAAGGACGGACGCCCATCTTCCTAGACGCAGGAAGCCGTGGGGCCAGACGATGAAGAAACGCGTTGTCGCACTTCGTAGGGGCTTGAAAAATATTGTGCTGAAAAAAATAGTTTTTAGTTTTTTTATTCCAATATGAAAACCCACCTGATCAGCCGTCGGAAAGGACGGGTGCCCATCTTCCTAGACGCAGGAAGCCGTGGGGCTAGACGGTGATGGAGCGCGTTGTCGCAGTTCGAAGGGGCTTGAAAATATTGTGCTGAAAAAAATAGTTTTTAGTTTTTTTATTCCAATATGAAACCCACCTGATCAGCCGTCGGAAAGGACGGACGCCCATCTTCCTAGACGCAGGAAGCCGTGGGGCCAGACGATGAAGAAACGCGTTGTCGCACTTCGTAGGGGCTTGAAAAATATTGTGCTGAAAAAAAATAGTTTTAGTTTTTTTATTCCAATATGAAACCCACCTGATCAGCCGTCGGAAAGGACGGGTGCCCATCTTCCTAGACGCAGGAAGCCGTGGGGCTAGACGGTGATGGAGCGCGTTGTCGCAGTTCGAAGGGGGCTTGAAAATATTGTGCTGAAAAAAAATAGTTTTTAGTTTTTTTATTCCGATATGAAACCCACCTGATCAGCCGTCGGAAAGGACGGAGTTTCCTCTTCCTAGACGCAAGAAGCCGTGGGGCCAGACGATGAAGAAACGCGTTGTCGCACTTCGGAGGGGCTTGAAAATATTGTGCTGAAAAAATAGTTTTAGTTTTTATTCCAATATGAAACCCACCTGATCAGCCGTCGGAAAGGACGGGTGCCCATCTTCCTAGACGCAGGAAGCCGTGGGGCTAGACGGTGATGGAGCGCGTTGTCGCAGTTCGAAGGGGCTTGAAAAATATTGTGCTGAAAAAAATAGTTTTAGTTTTTTTATTCCGATATGAAACCCAACCTGATCAGCCGTCGGAAAGGACGGAGTTTCCCATCTTCCTAGTCGCAGGAAGCCGTGGGGCCAGACGATGAAGAAACGCGTTGTCGCACTTCGGAGGGGCTTGAAAATATTGTGCTGAAAAAATAGTTTTAGTTTTTATTCCGATATGAAACCCACCTGATCAGCCGTCGGAAAGGACGGACGCCCATCTTCCTAGACGCAGAAAGCCGTGGGGCTAGACGGTGATGGAGCGCGTTGTCGCACTTCGTAGGGGCTTGAAAATATTGTGCTGAAAAAATAGTTTTAGTTTTTATTCCAATATGAAACCCACCTGATCAGCCGTCGGAAAGGACGGACGCCCATCTTCCTAGACGCAGGAAGCCGTGGGGCCAGACGATGAAGAAACGCGTTGTCGCACTTCGTAGGGGCTTGAAAATATTGTGCTGAAAAAATAGTTTTAGTTTTTATGCCATTATGAAACCCACCTGATCAGCCGTCGGAAGGGACGGACGCCCATCTTCCTAGACGCAGGAAGCCGTGGGGCCAGACGATGAAGAAACGCGTTGTCGCACTTCGTAGGGGCTTGAAAATATTGTGCTGAAAAAAATAGTTTTTAGTTTTTTTATTCCAATATGAAACCCACCTGATCAGCCGTCGGAAAGGACGGGTGCCCATCTTCCTAGACGCAGGAAGCCGTGGGGCTAGACGGTGATGGAGCGCGTTGTCGCAGTTCGAAGGGGCTTGAAAAATATTGTGCTGAAAAAAATAGTTTTTAGTTTTTTTATTCCGATATGAAACCCAACCTGATCAGCCGTCGGAAAGGACGGAGTTTCCCTCTTCCTAGACGCAGGAAGCCGTGGGGCCAGACGATGAAGAAACGCGTTGTCGCACTTCGGAGGGGCTTGAAAAATATTGTGCTGAAAAAAATAGTTTTAGTTTTTTTATTCCGATATGAAACCCAACCTGATCAGCCGTCGGAAAGGACGGACGCCCATCTTCCTAGACGCAGAAAGCCGTAGGCTAGACGGTGGAGGAGCGTGTGGTCGCAGTTTAAGGGGGTTGAAAATATTGTGCTGAAAAAAAAAGTTTTAGTTTTTTTATTCCGATATGAAACCAACCTGATCAGCCGTCGGAAAGGACGGGTGCCCATCTTCCTAGACGCAGGAAGCCGTAGGCTAGACGGTGGAGGAGCGTGTGGTCGCAGTTTGAAGGGGGTTGAAAATATTGTGCTGAAAAAAATAGTTTTAGTTTTTTTATTCCAATATGAAACCCAACCTGATCAGCCGTCGGAAAGGACGGAGTTTCCCTCTTCCTAGACGCAGGAAGCCGTGGGGCTAGACGGTGATGGAGCGCGTTGTCGCACTTCGAAGGGGCTTGAAAATATTGTGCTGAAAAAATAGTTTTAGTTTTTATTCCGATATGAAACCAACCTGATCAGCCGTCGGAAAGGACGGAGTTTCCTCTTCCTAGACGCAGGAAGCCGTGGGGCCAGACGATGAAGAAACGCGTTGTCGCACTTCGGAGGGGCTTGAAAATATTGTGCTGAAAAAATAGTTTTAGTTTTTATTCCGATATGAAACCCAACCTGATCAGCCGTCGGAAAGGACGGACGCCCATCTTCCTAGACGCAGAAAGCCGTAGGCTAGACGGTGGAGGAGCGTGTGGTCGCAGTTTAAGGGGGTTGAAAATATTGTGCTGAAAAAAAAAGTTTTAGTTTTTTTATTCCGATATGAAACCCAACCTGATCAGCCGTCGGAAAGGACGGGTGCCCATCTTCCTAGACGCAGGAAGCCGTAGGCTAGACGGTGGAGGAGCGTGTGGTCGCAGTTTGAAGGGGGTTGAAAATATTGTGCTGAAAAAAATAGTTTTTAGTTTTTTTATTCCGATATGAAACCAACCTGATCAGCCGTCGGAAAGGACGGAGTTTCCCTCTTTCCTAGACGCAGGAAGCCGTGGGGGCTAGACGGTGATGGAGCGCGTTGTCGCAGTTCGAAGGGGCTTGAAAAATATTGTGCTGAAAAAAATAGTTTTTAGTTTTTTTATTCCGATATGAAACCAACCTGATCAGCCGTCGGAAAGGACGGAGTTTCCTCTTCCTAGACGCAGGAAGCCGTGGGGCTAGACGGTGATGGAGCGCGTTGTCGCAGTTCGAAGGGGCTTGAAAAATATTGTGCTGAAAAATAGTTTTTAGTTTTTATTCCAATATGAAACCAACCTGATCAGCCGTCGGAAAGGACGGAGTTTCCCATCTTCCTAGACGCAGGAAGCCGTGGGGCTAGACGGTGATGGAGCGCGTTGTCGCAGTTCGAAGGGGGCTTGAAAATATTGTGCTGAAAAAAATAGTTTTAGTTTTTTTATTCCGATATGAAACCAACCTGATCAGCCGTCGGAAAGGACGGAGTTTCCCTCTTCCTAGACGCAGGAAGCCGTGGGGCTAGACGGTGATGGAGCGCGTTGTCGCAGTTCGAAGGGGCTTGAAAAATATTGTGCTGAAAAAAATAGTTTTAGTTTTTTTATTCCGATATGAAACCCAACCTGATCAGCCGTCGGAAAGGACGGGTGTCCCATCTTTCCTAGACGCAGGAAGCCGTGGGGCTAGACGGTGATGGAGCGCGTTGTCGCAGTTCGAAGGGGCTTGAAAATATTGTGCTGAAAAAAATAGTTTTTAGTTTTTTTATTCCGATATGAAACCAACCTGATCAGCCGTCGGAAAGGACGGAGTTTCCCTCTTCCTAGACGCAGGAAGCCGTGGGGCTAGACGGTGATGGAGCGCGTTGTCGCAGTTCGAAGGGGCTTGAAAATATTGTGCTGAAAAAATAGTTTTAGTTTTTATTCCAATATGAAACCCACCTGATCAGCCGTCGGAAAGGACGGGTGCCCATCTTCCTAGACGCAGGAAGCCGTGGGGCTAGACGGTGATGGAGCGCGTTGTCGCAGTTCGAAGGGGGCTTGAAAATATTGTGCTGAAAAAAATAGTTTTTAGTTTTTTTATTCCGATATGAAACCCAACCTGATCAGCCGTCGGAAAGGACGGAGTTTCCCATCTTCCTAGACGCAGGAAGCCGTGGGGCCAGACGATGAAGAAACGGGTTGTCGCACTTCGGAGGGGCTTGAAAATATTGTGCTGAAAAAATAGTTTTAGTTTTTATTCCAATATGAAACCAACCTGATCAGCCGTCGGAAAGGACGGAGTTTCCTCTTCCTAGACGCAGGAAGCCGTGGGGCTAGACGGTGATGGAGCGCGTTGTCGCAGTTCGAAGGGGGCTTGAAAATATTGTGCTGAAAAAAATAGTTTTTAGTTTTTTTATTCCGATATGAAACCAACCTGATCAGCCGTCGGAAAGGACGGGTGCCCATCTTCCTAGACGCAGGAAGCCGTGGGGCTAGACGGTGATGGAGCGCGTTGTCGCAGTTCGAAGGGGCTTGAAAATATTGTGCTGAAAAAATAGTTTTAGTTTTTATTCCAATATGAAACCCACCTGATCAGCCGTCGGAAAGGACGGGTGCCCATCTTCCTAGACGCAGGAAGCCGTGGGGCTAGACGGTGATGGAGCGCGTTGTCGCAGTTCGAAGGGGCTTGAAAATATTGTGCTGAAAAAATAGTTTTAGTTTTTATTCCGATATGAAACCAACCTGATCAGCCGTCGGAAAGGACGGAGTTTCCCTCTTCCTAGACGCAGGAAGCCGTGAGGGCCAGACGATGAAGAAACGCGTTGTCGCACTTCGGAGGGGCTTGAAAATATTGTGCTGAAAAAATAGTTTTAGTTTTTATTCCGATATGAAACCAACCTGATCAGCCGTCGGAAAGGACGGACGCCCATCTTCCTAGACGCAGAAAGCCGTAGGCTAGACGGTGGAGGAGCGTGTGGTCGCAGTTTAAAGGGGGTTGAAAATATTGTGCTGAAAAAAAAAGTTTTAGTTTTTTTATTCCGATATGAAACCAACCTGATCAGCCGTCGGAAAGGACGGGTGCCCATCTTCCTAGACGCAGGAAGCCGTAGGCTAGACGGTGGAGGAGCGTGTGGTCGCAGTTTGAAGGGGGTTGAAAATATTGTGCTGAAAAAATAGTTTTAGTTTTTATTCCGATATGAAACCAACCTGATCAGCCGTCGGAAAGGACGGAGTTTCCTCTTCCTAGACGCAGGAAGCCGTGGGGCTAGACGGTGATGGAGCGCGTTGTCGCAGTTCGAAGGGGCTTGAAAATATTGTGCTGAAAAAATAGTTTTAGTTTTTATTCCGATATGAAACCAACCTGATCAGCCGTCGGAAAGGACGGAGTTTCCTCTTCCTAGACGCAGGAAGCCGTGGGGCTAGACGGTGATGGAGCGCGTTGTCGCAGTTCGAAGGGGCTTGAAAATATTGTGCTGAAAAAATAGTTTTAGTTTTTATTCCGATATGAAACCAACCTGATCAGCCGTCGGAAAGGACGGAGTTTCCTCTTCCTAGACGCAGGAAGCCGTGGGGCTAGACGGTGATGGAGCGCGTTGTCGCAGTTCGAAGGGGCTTGAAAATATTGTGCTGAAAAAATAGTTTTAGTTTTTATTCCAATATGAAACCAACCTGATCAGCCGTCGGAAAGGACGGAGTTTCCTCTTCCTAGACGCAGGAAGCCGTGGGGCTAGACGGTGATGGAGCGCGTTGTCGCAGTTCGAAGGGGGCTTGAAAATATTGTGCTGAAAAAAATAGTTTTTAGTTTTTTTATTCCGATATGAAACCAACCTGATCAGCCGTCGGAAAGGACGGAGTTTCCCTTTTTCCTAGACGCAGGAAGCCGTGGGGGCTAGACGGTGATGTAGCGCGTTGTCGCAGTTCGAAGGGGCTTGAAAAATATTGTGCTGAAAAATAGTTTTTAGTTTTTTTATTCCGATATGAAACCAACCTGATCAGCCGTCGGAAAGGACGGAGTTTCCCTTTTCCTAGACGCAGGAAGCCGTGGGGCTAGACGGTGATGGAGCGCGTTGTCGCACTTCGGAGGGGCTTGAAAATATTGTGCTGAAAAAAATAGTTTTAGTTTTTTTATTCCGATATGAAACCCACCTGATCAGCCGTCGGAAAGGACGGACGCCCATCTTCCTAGACGCAGAAAGCCGTGGGGCTAGACGGTGATGTAGCGCGTTGTCGCAGTTCGAAGGGGCTTGAAAATATTGTGCTGAAAAAAATAGTTTTAGTTTTTTTATTCCGATATGAAACCAACCTGATCAGCCGTCGGAAAGGACGGAGTTTCCCTTTTCCTAGACGCAGGAAGCCGTGGGGCTAGACGGTGATGTAGCGCGTTGTCGCAGTTCGAAGGGCTTGAAAAATATTGTGCTGAAAAAAATAGTTTTTAGTTTTTATTCCGATATGAAACCCAACCTGATCAGCCGTCGGAAAGGACGGAGTTTCCCTTTTCCTAGACGCAGGAAGCCGTGGGGCTAGACGGTGATGGAGCGCGTTGTCGCAGTTCGAAGGGGCTTGAAAATATTGTGCTGAAAAAATAGTTTTAGTTTTTATTCCGATATGAAACCAACCTGATCAGCCGTCGGAAAGGACGGACGCCCATCTTCCTAGACGCAGAAAGCCGTAGGCTAGACGGTGGAGGAGCGTGTGGTCGCAGTTTAAGGGGGTTGAAAATATTGTGCTGAAAAAAAGTTTTAGTTTTTATTCCGATATGAAACCAACCTGATCAGCCGTCGGAAAGGACGGGTGCCCATCTTCCTAGACGCAGGAAGCCGTAGGCTAGACGGTGGAGGAGCGTGTGGTCGCAGTTTGAAGGGGGTTGAAAATATTGTGCTGAAAAAAAATAGTTTTAGTTTTTTTATTCCGATATGAAACCAACCTGATCAGCCGTCGGAAAGGACGGAGTTTCCCTCTTCCTAGACGCAGGAAGCCGTGAGGGCCAGACGATGAAGAAACGCGTTGTCGCAGTTCGAAGGGGCTTGAAAATATTGTGCTGAAAAAAATAGTTTTTAGTTTTTTTATTCCGATATGAAACCAACCTGATCAGCCGTCGGAAAGGACGGAGTTTCCTTTTCCTAGACGCAGGAAGCCGTGGGGCTAGACGGTGATGTAGCGCGTTGTCGCAGTTCGAAGGGGCTTGAAAATATTGTGCTGAAAAAATAGTTTTAGTTTTTATTCCGATATGAAACCAACCTGATCAGCCGTCGGAAAGGACGGAGTTTCCTTTTCCTAGACGCAGGAAGCCGTGGGGCTAGACGGTGATGGAGCGCGTTGTCGCACTTCGGAGGGGCTTGAAAATATTGTGCTGAAAAAATAGTTTTAGTTTTTATTCCGATATGAAACCCACCTGATCAGCCGTCGGAAAGGACGGACGCCCATCTTCCTAGACGCAGAAAGCCGTGGGGCTAGACGGTGATGTAGCGCGTTGTCGCAGTTCGAAGGGGCTTGAAAAATATTGTGCTGAAAAAAATAGTTTTAGTTTTTTTATTCCGATATGAAACCAACCTGATCAGCCGTCGGAAAGGACGGAGTTTCCTCTTTCCTAGACGCAGGAAGCCGTGGGGCTAGACGGTGATGTAGCGCGTTGTCGCAGTTCGAAGGGGCTTGAAAATATTGTGCTGAAAAAAATAGTTTTTAGTTTTTTTATTCCGATATGAAACCAACCTGATCAGCCGTCGGAAAGGACGGAGTTTCCTCTTTCCTAGACGCAGGAAGCCGTGGGGCTAGACGGTGATGGAGCGCGTTGTCGCAGTTCGAAGGGGCTTGAAAATATTGTGCTGAAAAAAATAGTTTTTAGTTTTTTTATTCCGATATGAAACCAACCTGATCAGCCGTCGGAAAGGACGGAGTTTCCTTTTCCTAGACGCAGGAAGCCGTGGGGCTAGACGGTGATGTAGCGCGTTGTCGCAGTTCGAAGGGGCTTGAAAATATTGTGCTGAAAAAATAGTTTTAGTTTTTATTCCGATATGAAACCAACCTGATCAGCCGTCGGAAAGGACGGAGTTTCCTTTTCCTAGACGCAGGAAGCCGTGGGGCTAGACGGTGATGGAGCGCGTTGTCGCAGTTCGAAGGGGGCTTGAAAATATTGTGCTGAAAAAAATAGTTTTAGTTTTTTTATTCCGATATGAAACCCAACCTGATCAGCCGTCGGAAAGGACGGAGTTTCCCTCTTTCCTAGACGCAGGAAGCCGTGGGGCTAGACGGTGATGGAGCGCGTTGTCGCAGTTCGAAGGGGCTTGAAAATATTGTGCTGAAAAAAATAGTTTTAGTTTTTTTATTCCGATATGAAAACCAACCTGATCAGCCGTCGGAAAGGACGGAGTTTCCCTTTTCCTAGACGCAGGAAGCCGTGGGGCTAGACGGTGATGGAGCGCGTTGTCGCACTTCGGAGGGGCTTGAAAATATTGTGCTGAAAAAATAGTTTTAGTTTTTATTCCGATATGAAACCCACCTGATCAGCCGTCGGAAAGGACGGACGCCCATCTTCCTAGACGCAGAAAGCCGTGGGGCTAGACGGTGATGGAGCGCGTTGTCGCACTTCGTAGGGGCTTGAAAATATTGTGCTGAAAAAATAGTTTTAGTTTTTTTATTCCGATATGAAACCAACCTGATCAGCCGTCGGAAAGGACGGAGTTTCCTTTTCCTAGACGCAGGAAGCCGTGGGGCTAGACGGTGATGGAGCGCGTTGTCGCACTTCGGAGGGGGCTTGAAAATATTGTGCTGAAAAAAATAGTTTTTAGTTTTTTTATTCCGATATGAAACCCACCTGATCAGCCGTCGGAAAGGACGGACGCCCATCTTCCTAGACGCAGAAAGCCGTGGGGCTAGACGGTGATGGAGCGCGTTGTCGCACTTCGTAGGGGCTTGAAAATATTGTGCTGAAAAAATAGTTTTGTTTTTATTCCGATATGAAACCCACCTGATCAGCCGTCGGAAAGGACGGAGTTTCCTCTTCCTAGACGCAGAAAGCCGTGGGGCTAGACGGTGATGGAGCGCGTTGTCGCAGTTCGAAGGGGCTTGAAAATATTGTGCTGAAAAAATAGTTTTAGTTTTTATTCCAATATGAAACCCACCTGATCAGCCGTCGGAAAGGACGGAGTTTCCCTCTTCCTAGACGCAGAAAGCCGTGGGGCTAGACGGTGATGGAGCGCGTTGTCGCAGTTCGAAGGGGGCTTGAAAATATTGTGCTGAAAAAAATAGTTTTTAGTTTTTTTATTCCAATATGAAACCCACCTGATCAGCCGTCGGAAAGGACGGAGTTTCCTCTTCCTAGACGCAGAAAGCCGTGGGGCTAGACGGTGATGGAGCGCGTTGTCGCAGTTCGAAGGGGCTTGAAAATATTGTGCTGAAAAAATAGTTTTAGTTTTTATTCCAATATGAAACCCACCTGATCAGCCGTCGGAAAGGACGGAGTTTCCTCTTCCTAGACGCAGGAAGCCGTGGGGCTAGACGGTGATGGAGCGCGTTGTCGCAGTTCGAAGGGGCTTGAAAATATTGTGCTGAAAAAATAGTTTTAGTTTTTATTCCGATATGAAACCCACCTGATCAGCCGTCGGAAAGGACGGACGCCCATCTTCCTAGACGCAGGAAGCCGTAGGCCAGACGGTGGAGGAGCGTGTGGTCGCAGTTTGAAGGGGGTTGAAAATATTGTGCTGAAAAAATAGTTTTAGTTTTTATTCCGATATGAAACCCAACCTGATCAGCCGTCGGAAAGGACGGAGTTTCCTCTTCCTAGACGCAGGAAGCCGTGGGGCTAGACGGTGATGGAGCGCGTTGTCGCAGTTCGAAGGGGCTTGAAAATATTGTGCTGAAAAAATAGTTTTAGTTTTTATTCCGATATGAAACCAACCTGATCAGCCGTCGGAAAGGACGGAGTTTCCCATCTTCCTAGACGCAGAAAGCCGTAGGCTAGACGGTGGAGGAGCGTGTGGTCGCAGTTTAAGGGGGTTGAAAATATTGTGCTGAAAAAAATAGTTTTTAGTTTTTTTATTCCGATATGAAACCAACCTGATCAGCCGTCGGAAAGGACGGGTGCCCATCTTCCTAGACGCAGGAAGCCGTAGGCTAGACGGTGGAGGAGCGTGTGGTCGCAGTTTGAAGGGGGTTGAAAATATTGTGCTGAAAAAAAATAGTTTTTAGTTCTTATTCCAATATGAAACCCACCTGATCAGCCGTCGGAAAGGACGGGTGCCCATCTTCCTAGACGCAGGAAGCCGTAGGCCAGACGGTGGAGGAGCGTGTGGTCGCAGTTTGAAGGGGGTTGAAAATATTGTGCTGAAAAAAATAGTTTTTAGTTTTTTTATTCCGATATGAAACCAACCTGATCAGCCGTCGGAAAGGACGGAGTTTCCCTCTTCCTAGACGCAGGAAGCCGTGGGGCTAGACGGTGATGGAGCGCGTTGTCGCAGTTCGAAGGGGCTTGAAAATATTGTGCTGAAAAAATAGTTTTAGTTTTTATTCCGATATGAAACCAACCTGATCAGCCGTCGGAAAGGACGGAGTTTCCTCTTCCTAGACGCAGGAAGCCGTGGGGCTAGACGGTGATGGAGCGCGTTGTCGCAGTTCGAAGGGGCTTGAAAATATTGTGCTGAAAAAAATAGTTTTAGTTTTTTTATTCCGATATGAAACCAACCTGATCAGCCGTCGGAAAGGACGGAGTTTCCCTCTTCCTAGACGCAGAAAGCCGTGAGGCTAGACGGTGGAGGAGCCTGTGGTCGCAGTTTAAGGGGGTTGAAAATATTGTGCTGAAAAAAATAGTTTTTAGTTTTTTTATTCCGATATGAAACCAACCTGATCAGCCGTCGGAAAGGACGGACGCCCATCTTCCTAGACGCAGGAAGCCGTAGGCTAGACGGTGATGGAGCGCGTTGTCGCAGTTCGAAGGGGCTTGAAAATATTGTGCTGAAAAAATAGTTTTAGTTTTTATTCCGATATGAAACCAACCTGATCAGCCGTCGGAAAGGACGGAGTTTCCTCTTCCTAGACGCAGGAAGCCGTGGGGGCCAGACGATGAAGAAACGCGTTGTCGCAGTTCGAAGGGGCTTGAAAATATTGTGCTGAAAAAATAGTTTTAGTTCTTATTCCAATATGAAACCCACCTGATCAGCCGTCGGAAAGGACGGACGCCCATCTTCCTAGACGCAGAAAGCCGTGGGGCTAGACGGTGATGGAGCGCGTTGTCGCAGTTCGAAGGGGCTTGAAAATATTGTGCTGAAAAAATAGTTTTAGTTTTTATTCCGATATGAAACCAACCTGATCAGCCGTCGGAAAGGACGGAGTTTCCTCTTCCTAGACGCAGGAAGCCGTGGGGCTAGACGGTGATGGAGCGCGTTGTCGCAGTTCGAAGGGGCTTGAAAATATTGTGCTGAAAAAATAGTTTTAGTTCTTATTCCAATATGAAACCCACCTGATCAGCCGTCGGAAAGGACGGACGCCCATCTTCCTAGACGCAGAAAGCCGTGGGGCTAGACGGTGATGGAGCGCGTTGTCGCAGTTTCGAAGGGGGCTTGAAAATATTGTGCTGAAAAAAATAGTTTTTAGTTTTTTTATTCCGATATGAAACCCAACCTGATCAGCCGTCGGAAAGGACGGAGTTTCCCCATCTTCCTAGACGCAGGAAGCCGTGGGGCTAGACGGTGATGGAGCGCGTTGTCGCAGTTCGAAGGGGCTTGAAAATATTGTGCTGAAAAAAATAGTTTTTAGTTCTTATTCCAATATGAAACCCACCTGATCAGCCGTCGGAAAGGACGGACGCCCATCTTCCTAGACGCAGAAAGCCGTAGGGCTAGACGGTGATGGAGCGCGTTGTCGCAGTTCGAAGGGGCTTGAAAATATTGTGCTGAAAAAATAGTTTTAGTTCTTATTCCAATATGAAACCAACCTGATCAGCCGTCGGAAAGGACGGACGCCCATCTTCCTAGACGCAGGAAGCCGTAGGCTAGACGGTGGAGGAGCGTGTGGTCGCAGTTTGAAGGGGGTTGAAAATATTGTGCTGAAAAAATAGTTTTAGTTTTTATTCCAATATGGAACCCACCTGATCAGCCGTCGGAAAGGACGGACGCCCATCTTCCTAGACGCAGGAAGCCGTAGGCTAGACGGTGGAGGAGCGTGTGGTCGCAGTTTGAAGGGGGTTGAAAAATATTGTGCTGAAAAAAATAGTTTTTAGTTTTTTTATTCCAATATGGAACCCACCTGATCAGCCGTCGGAAAGGACGGACGCCCATCTTCCTAGACGCAGGAAGCCGTAGGGCTAGACGGTGGAGGAGCGTGTGGTCGCAGTTTGAAGGGGTTGAAAATATTGTGCTGAAAAAAATAGTTTTAGTTCTTTATTCCAATATGAAACCCAACCTGATCAGCCGTCGGAAAGGACGGAGTTTCCCATCTTCCTAGACGCAGGAAGCCGTGGGGCTAGACGGTGATGGAGCGCGTTGTCGCAGTTCGAAGGGGCTTGAAAATATTGTGCTGAAAAAAATAGTTTTTAGTTTTTTTATTCCAATATGGAACCCACCTGATCAGCCGTCGGAAAGGACGGACGCCCATCTTCCTAGACGCAGAAAGCCGTGGGGCTAGACGGTGATGGAGCGCGTTGTCGCAGTTTCGAAGGGGGCTTGAAAATATTGTGCTGAAAAAAATAGTTTTAGTTTTTTTATTCCGATATGAAACCAACCTGATCAGCCGTCGGAAAGGACGGACGCCCATCTTCCTAGACGCAGAATGCCGTGGCGGCAGACGATGAAGAAACGCGTTGTCGCAGTTCGGAGGGGCTTGAAAATATTTTGCTGAAAAAATAGTTTTAGTTTTTATTCCGATATGAAACCAACCTGATCAGCCGTCGGAAAGGACGGACGCCCATCTTCCTAGACGCAGAAAGCCGTAGGCTAGACGGTGGAGGAGCGTGTGGTCGCAGTTTGAAGGGGGTTGAAAATATTGTGCTGAAAAAATAGTTTTAGTTCTTATTCCAATATGAAACCCACCTGATCAGCCGTCGGAAAGGACGGGTGCCCATCTTCCTAGACGCAGGAAGCCGTAGGCTAGACGGTGGAGGAGCGTGTGGTCGCAGTTTGAAGGGGGTTGAAAATATTGTGCTGAAAAAATAGTTTTAGTTTTTATTCCGATATGAAACCAACCTGATCAGCCGTCGGAAAGGACGGACGCCCATCTTCCTAGACGCAGAAAGCCGTAGGCTAGACGGTGGAGGAGCGTGTGGTCGCAGTTTAAGGGGGTTGAAAATATTGTGCTGAAAAAATAGTTTTAGTTCTTATTCCAATATGAAACCCACCTGATCAGCCGTCGGAAAGGACGGGTGCCCATCTTCCTAGACGCAGGAAGCCGTAGGCTAGACGGTGATGGAGCGCGTTGTCGCAGTTCGAAGGGGCTTGAAAATATTGTGCTGAAAAAATAGTTTTAGTTTTTATTCCGATATGAAACCAACCTGATCAGCCGTCGGAAAGGACGGAGTTTCCTCTTCCTAGACGCAGGAAGCCGTGGGGCCAGACGATGAAGAAACGCGTTGTCGCACTTCGGAGGGGCTTGAAAATATTGTGCTGAAAAAATAGTTTTAGTTTTTATTCCGATATGAAACCAACCTGATCAGCCGTCGGAAAGGACGGGTGCCCATCTTCCTAGACGCAGGAAGCCGTAGGCTAGACGGTGGAGGAGCGTGTGGTCGCAGTTTGAAGGGGGTTGAAAATATTGTGCTGAAAAAATAGTTATAGTTCTTATTCCAATATGAAACCAACCTGATCAGCCGTCGGAAAGGACGGACGCCCATCTTCCTAGACGCAGAAAGCCGTGGCGGCAGACGATGAAGAAACGCGTTGTCGCAGTTCGGAGGGGCTTGAAAATATTGTGCTGAAAAAATAGTTTTAGTTCTTATTCCAATATGAAACCCACCTGATCAGCCGTCGGAAAGGACGGGTGCCCATCTTCCTAGACGCAGGAAGCCGTAGGCTAGACGGTGGAGGAGCGTGTGGTCGCAGTTTGAAGGGGGTTGAAAATATTGTGCTGAAAAAATAGTTTTAGTTTTTATTCCGATATGAAACCAACCTGATCAGCCGTCGGAAAGGACGGACGCCCATCTTCCTAGACGCAGAAAGCCGTGGCGGCAGACGATGAAGAAACGCGTTGTCGCAGTTCGGAGGGGCTTGAAAATATTTTGCTGAAAAAATAGTTTTAGTTTTTATTCCAATATGGAACCCACCTGATCAGCCGTCGGAAAGGACGGACGCCCATCTTCCTAGACGCAGGAAGCCGTAGGCTAGACGGTGGAGGAGCGTGTGGTCGCAGTTTGAAGGGGGTTGAAAATATTGTGCTGAAAAAATAGTTTTAGTTCTTATTCCAATATGAAACCAACCTGATCAGCCGTCGGAAAGGACGGAGTTTCCTCTTCCTAGACGCAGGAAGCCGTGGGGCTAGACGGTGATGGAGCGCGTTGTCGCAGTTCGAAGGGGCTTGAAAATATTGTGCTGAAAAAATAGTTTTAGTTTTTATTCCAATATGGAACCCACCTGATCAGCCGTCGGAAAGGACGGACGCCCATCTTCCTAGACGCAGAAAGCCGTGGGGCTAGACGGTGATGGAGCGCGTTGTCGCAGTTTCGAAGGGGCTTGAAAAATATTGTGCTGAAAAAAATAGTTTTAGTTTTTATTCCGATATGAAACCCAACCTGATCAGCCGTCGGAAAGGACGGACGCCCATCTTCCTAGACGCAGAATGCCGTGGCGGCAGACGATGAAGAAACGCGTTGTCGCAGTTCGGAGGGGCTTGAAAATATTTTGCTGAAAAAATAGTTTTAGTTTTTATTCCGATATGAAACCCAACCTGATCAGCCGTCGGAAAGGACGGACGCCCATCTTCCTAGACGCAGAAAGCCGTAGGCTAGACGGTGGAGGAGCGTGTGGTCGCAGTTTGAAGGGGGTTGAAAAATATTGTGCTGAAAAAAATAGTTTTTAGTTCTTTATTCCAATATGAAACCCACCTGATCAGCCGTCGGAAAGGACGGGATGCCCATCTTCCTAGACGCAGGAAGCCGTAGGCTAGACGGTGGAGGAGCGTGTGGTCGCAGTTTGAAGGGGGTTGAAAATATTGTGCTGAAAAAAATAGTTTTTAGTTTTTTTATTCCGATATGAAACCCAACCTGATCAGCCGTCGGAAAGGACGGACGCCCATCTTCCTAGACGCAGAAAGCCGTAGGCTGAGACGGTGGAGGAGCGTGTGGTCGCAGTTTAAGGGGGTTGAAAATATTGTGCTGAAAAAAATAGTTTTTAGTTCTTATTCCAATATGAAACCCACCTGATCAGCCGTCGGAAAGGACGGGTGCCCATCTTCCTAGACGCAGGAAGCCGTAGGCTAGACGGTGGAGGAGCGTGTGGTCGCAGTTTGAAGGGGGTTGAAAAATATTGTGCTGAAAAAAATAGTTTTTAGTTTTTTTATTCCGATATGAAACCAACCTGATCAGCCGTCGGAAAGGACGGAGTTTCCCTCTTCCTAGACGCAGGAAGCCGTGGGGCTAGACGGTGAAGAAACGCTTTGTCGCACTTCGGAGGGGCTTGAAAATATTGTGCTGAAAAAAATAGTTTTTAGTTTTTTTATTCCGATATGAAACCAACCTGATCAGCCGTCGGAAAGGACGGAGTTTCCCTCTTCCTAGACGCAGGAAGCCGTGGGGCTAGACGGTGATGGAGCGCGTTGTCGCACTTCGGAGGGGCTTGAAAATATTGTGCTGAAAAAAATAGTTTTAGTTTTTTTATTCCGATATGAAACCCAACCTGATCAGCCGTCGGAAAGGACGGAGTTTCCCATCTTCCTAGACGCAGGAAAGCCGTGGGGCTAGACGGTGATGGAGCGCGTTGTCGCACTTCGGAGGGGCTTGAAAAATATTGTGCTGAAAAAAATAGTTTTAGTTTTTTTATTCCGATATGAAACCCAACCTGATCAGCCGTCGGAAAGGACGGAGTTTCCCATCTTCCTAGACGCAGGAAGCCGTGGGGCCAGACGATGAAGAAACGCTTTGTCGCACTTCGGAGGGGCTTGAAAATATTGTGCTGAAAAAAATAGTTTTAGTTTTTTTATTCCGATATGAAACCCAACCTGATCAGCCGTCGGAAAGGACGGACGTTTCCCATCTTCCTAGACGCAGGAAGCCGTGGGGCTAGACGGTGATGGAGCGCGTTGTCGCACTTCGGAGGGGCTTGAAAATATTGTGCTGAAAAAATAGTTTTAGTTTTTATTCCGATATGAAACCAACCTGATCAGCCGTCGGAAAGGACGGAGTTTCCTCTTCCTAGACGCAGGAAGCCGTGGGGCTAGACGGTGATGGAGCGCGTTGTCGCACTTCGGAGGGGCTTGAAAATATTGTGCTGAAAAAATAGTTTTAGTTTTTATTCCGATATGAAACCAACCTGATCAGCCGTCGGAAAGGACGGGTGCCCATCTTCCTAGACGCAGGAAGCCGTAGGCTAGACGGTGGAGGAGCGTGTGGTCGCAGTTTGAAGGGGGTTGAAAATATTGTGCTGAAAAAATAGTTATAGTTCTTATTCCAATATGAAACCAACCTGATCAGCCGTCGGAAAGGACGGACGCCCATCTTCCTAGACGCAGAAAGCCGTGGCGGCAGACGATGAAGAAACGCGTTGTCGCAGTTCGGAGGGGCTTGAAAAATATTGTGCTGAAAAAAATAGTTTTAGTTCTTATTCCAATATGAAACCCACCTGATCAGCCGTCGGAAAGGACGGGATGCCCATCTTCCTAGACGCAGGAAGCCGTAGGCTAGACGGTGGAGGAGCGTGTGGTCGCAGTTTGAAGGGGGTTGAAAAATATTGTGCTGAAAAAAATAGTTTTAGTTTTCTATTCCGATATGAAACCAACCTGATCAGCCGTCGGAAAGGACGGACGCCCATCTTCCTAGACGCAGAAAGCCGTGGCGGCAGACGATGAAGAAACGCGTTGTCGCAGTTCGGAGGGGCTTGAAAATATTGTGCTGAAAAAAATAGTTTTTAGTTTTTTTATTCCGATATGAAACCCAACCTGATCAGCCGTCGGAAAGGACGGACGTTTCATCTTCCTAGACGCAGGAAGCCGTGGGGCTAGACGGTGATGGAGCGCGTTGTCGCACTTCGGAGGGGCTTGAAAATATTGTGCTGAAAAAAATAGTTTTAGTTTTTTTATTCCGATATGAAACCCAACCTGATCAGCCGTCGGAAAGGACGGACGCTCCATCTTCCTAGACGCAGGAAGCCGTGGGGCTAGACGGTGATGGAGCGCGTTGTCGCACTTCGGAGGGGCTTGAAAAATATTGTGCTGAAAAAAATAGTTTTAGTTTTTTTATTCCGATATGAAACCAACCTGATCAGCCGTCGGAAAGGACGGGATGCCCATCTTCCTAGACGCAGGAAAGCCGTAGGCTAGACGGTGGAGGAGCGTGTGGTCGCAGTTTGAAGGGGGTTGAAAATATTGTGCTGAAAAAAATAGTTTATAGTTCTTTATTCCAATATGAAACCCAACCTGATCAGCCGTCGGAAAGGACGGACGCCCATCTTCCTAGACGCAGAAAGCCGTGGCGGCAGACGATGAAGAAACGCGTTGTCGCAGTTCGGAGGGGCTTGAAAATATTGTGCTGAAAAAAATAGTTTTAGTTCTTATTCCAATATGAAACCCACCTGATCAGCCGTCGGAAAGGACGGGACGCCCATCTTCCTAGACGCAGGAAGCCGTAGGGCTAGACGGTGGAGGAGCGTGTGGTCGCAGTTTGAAGGGGGTTGAAAATATTGTGCTGAAAAAATAGTTTTAGTTTTTATTCCGATATGAAACCAACCTGATCAGCCGTCGGAAAGGACGGACGCCCATCTTCCTAGACGCAGAAAGCCGTGGCGGCAGACGATGAAGAAACGCGTTGTCGCAGTTCGGAGGGGCTTGAAAATATTGTGCTGAAAAAATAGTTTTAGTTTTTATTCCGATATGAAACCAACCTGATCAGCCGTCGGAAAGGACGGAGTTTCCATCTTCCTAGACGCAGGAAGCCGTGGGGCTAGACGATGAAGAAACGCGTTTGTCGCAGTTTCGAAGGGGGCTTGAAAATATTGTGCTGAAAAAAATAGTTTTAGTTTCTTTATTCCGATATGAAACCCAACCTGATCAGCCGTCGGAAAGGACGGACGCTCCCATCTTCCTAGACGCAGAAAGCCGTGGGGCCAGACGATGAAGAAACGCGTTGTCGCAGTTCGAAGGGGCTTGAAAATATTGTGCTGAAAAAAATAGTTTTTAGTTTTTTTATTCCGATATGAAACCAACCTGATCAGCCGTCGGAAAGGACGGACGCCCATCTTCCTAGACGCAGAAAGCCGTGGCGGCAGACGATGAAGAAACGCGTTGTCGCAGTTCGGAGGGGCTTGAAAATATTTTGCTGAAAAAAATAGTTTTTAGTTTTTTTATTCCGATATGAAACCCACCTGATCAGCCGTCGGAAAGGACGGACGCCCATCTTCCTAGACGCAGAAAGCCGTGGGGCTAGACGGTGATGGAGCGCGTTGTCGCAGTTCGAAGGGGCTTGAAAATATTGTGCTGAAAAAATAGTTTTAGTTTTTATTCCGATATGAAACCAACCTGATCAGCCGTCGGAAAGGACGGACGCCCATCTTCCTAGACGCAGAAAGCCGTGGCGGCAGACGATGAAGAAACGCGTTGTCGCAGTTCGGAGGGCTTGAAAATATTTTGCTGAAAAAATAGTTTCAGTTTTTATTCCGATATGAAACCCACCTGATCAGCCGTCGGAAAGGACGGACGCCCATCTTCCTAGACGCAGAAAGCCGTGGGGCTAGACGGTGGAGGAGCGTGTGGTCGCAGTTTAAGGGGGTTGAAAATATTGTGCTGAAAAAATAGTTTTAGTTTTTATTCCGATATGAAACCAACCTGATCAGCCGTCGGAAAGGACGGAGTTTCCTCTTCCTAGACGCAGAAAGCCGTGGGGCTCGACGGTGAAGAAACGCTTCGTTGATCGCGCCTCGACCAAACCAAGGGGTCCAAGAAGTGTTTGGTAGTGGTAAATAACAACTTCTAGACCCACACAAGGACCTATATATCACTCGAGCCAGTCCACTGATTATCAGGATAGGCCTTCGACCAACCAATTCGTGGCGTTGACGCCGCTCAAGCGGTACTAAAGAGTAGGGAGAAGAAGAGGTCAGTCGTCGGGAAAGCCGGAGGCTCATCTCCGCAAGAGGAAATCTTAAAAGTTTTGACCTCATAAAAAAATTCACTACCTATCTAAAGATTTATATTCTCATCGAATTTTCTGATGGTCATTTGAACTGCACTTTAATTTCTGTGACGAAGGTAAAAGCATAAAATCTTCGTAGATAACACGATCTGGAAGTGGACACTTTGGCAGACTTGTACTGCGCCGTTTATGTTCATAGAAAAATGAAAAAAATTTTTTTTTTGCTGATACTTTTTTGTGCGAACAGAGCTGACACATCATTTAATGAAAAACACAGTGCAAAAGAACACAACACGAGATTTCAATGATGGGGGCGGCCTTTTATGGCGGGCTGCTGGCTTTGCTCACATCCGTAGCCCGTTTCTTCGTCCTCGTTGAACACGAGGTCTCCCCGGCCACGAACTTCCATGCGGTTGACGTAGTAGACGTTGCCGCAATTGGCTCGCGCCTCGCCGTAGGAGTAGGAGAAGATGATTATTCCTGAAACATTTCATGTGAGGACTGCAGAATGGATTACTGACAAAGAAGTAATTATAACTTTGACTTCAAAACTTTTCGAGCTTTGAGGAAACTTTTTACGAAACATCAAAAATACCTATAACTAGGAAGAACAGCGCGAGTCTTAGAAATGGTGCCGTCGTAATCATGGCTGTCACGTCGCAGAACTGAGTTTGAAGCATTTCTGAAATTCGAAAACTTGAACTGAAACATTAAAGAAAGAAACGGTTCTATACAAGAGAAGCTAACGCAAAAATTGAAAAAAAGAGCGCTGGGCGAATGAATTTCTATCCTCACCAGTCGCTTATATACCTGAAAAGCTTTCAAAACCATTTGATTTCCTATTGTATGTAAAGTTCTAATTTGATAAACGTTATTTGTCATCTTGTTTGTTCGGGAGCACTTTGAACCATTTCTACTTAATTCGTTTATACACGGAAAATGCTTCTATCATATTTGTGTTCTTGGTCTCGATACGATTTCCCTCATACTGTTGCTATGATTCGAATTTTCTAGAGGCTATTAGTCATCTTGTTTGTTTGAAAGAAATCGGATTCATTTCGGTATGAGGAATGCTTTTCATGCCTTTTTGAAGAGCGGCCTTTTTATTACCGCAAAAAATTTCGAAAACTTTTCAAATTTTGGAATCCGAAAAAAATTATAGTGTGTATTCTAATTTTGTAAACCACACGGTTTCATAGCAATTGTTCAGATTTCAGTCTAAAAATATTTCATGGAAAGTTGCGCGATCTGGCAAAGGAAGCTTAATTGTACATTTACACCAATTTTCCCTTTTCAAGATTAATTCTTCGCCCGAGAGACAAACACTTTCACATTTGCAAAGAACGATATAAAGTGAGTCAAGACTCATTTTGAAGACCACACTGTGAGAATAGCTTATTCCCGAGAAACCTCTAGGAAGCGGAAATGATGAAGTCATTTTTCTGCCTCTTGCGCTTTTTTGGCTGACCATCGTTCTTATTATCCGATAAAATTCGATTTTCCCATTAGAACTATTTTTTGCAAACAAAGAAATCTTTATTTCTTGAAAAAGAAATACAGAATTTCAATGATGAGAATGGGCATGACTGGCATCCGCAGCGCGTTTACCAGTCGTCGTCATCGAAGAATTCGTCCTGGTCGTCCAAGTAGGCATCGTCTTCGGAGACGTCCTCCTGATGTAAATGTTCGTCCGCTCCGCCTTCTAGTTCAGCGACGTGCATCTCATCTTGAAGGAAGAAAACAACGAGTGTTGCTGAAAAACTTCACTTTATGATCGGAAAGCGTATTATTTTTAAGATGAGCAAAAGAGGTCCTTCTTTTCTGAATTTCAGTTTTTCGAACTTTAGAAAATTTCCCATCAAGTTCTGTAAACTTACCTAAAGCGAGTAAAATGTGCAAAATGGCCAGAATTGGGAAAGGTATCTGATCTTCTTTCGCAGTGCCGTTTCCATTCTGCGTAATGTTTGTTTGGATCTTCTGTAAATCGAGGTGCAAAAGTTATCAAGATGCATGCTGACCTGAAGAAACTCCCCGGCCCGGCCTTGGAGTTCCATTTTTCGGGCCTGAAAAACTGAAAAAATAGAAAAGGAACGGTTCAATACAAGAATAGCTAACGCGAAAATCGAGAAACAGAGCGCAGAGCGAATGAATCATTCCTATCCTCACCATTCGTTTATATACTCGAGATGCTTTTAAAACCATTTGGTTTCCTGTTTGCCTGATACTGTAATCTAATTTGAATGTGCTAGACGTTGTTTGTCATCTTGTTTTTTTCGGAAGCACTCCGATTCATTTTGGTCTGAGAAACGTTTTTTTTTTCTATTATGATGAATTCAAATTCAAATGCGATGAATCCGGAAAGTTTATATCACTCAAAAAGAGTTCAGAAATTTACAGTAGTCTATTAAAAAAATTCTGGAAAAAGTTCAGCGGTCCTTTGAGGATTTCTTAAAAGATTACTTGTGAAAGACACTGAATCGGTTAATCATATCGTCTCTAAAAATCGCGTTCAAGTATCCAGTGAAATTTTTCGTGGTCTCGTAGTACCTCTCAGACTTTTGAAGAGACAACAATAATCCCAAATCTGCGCCAAATTTTTTTGAAAGGGCCATATTCTTTAACAGTAATTTCCTAAGCTTTTATTTTAGATTATAAACTTTTTATAGCTCTCAAAGTCAGACGAGGACGAATAAAGCTTGGAAACTAAGATGTCAAAAATCGCGATGGAAGAAAATGATGAAATCCAAGACAGAAAAAAAGCTAGGAAATTGTTTATTCAAACACGATTGATATACGAATTGTCGGATACGAATGATTCAACTTTCACACAGTGCTTTTTGTTCCATTATTTAGCTTTCAACATTTTCTCGCACCGTTTTTAATTTGATTTGGTCTCAGACGGGCGAGGAGTGTGGTAGGAGCTTTCCTATCCGTAATTTCACTTGGACGAGAACGAAATTTGAATAGCGGACGATGTCGATTGGAGATGGTGGACAACGGCAGCAAGTGGTCGATGCAAATGGAAAAGCTCTTGAACATCTAATTATTTAAGCCGTCTTCTTAGATTTGAAAAGTATTACGAAAGAAAAAAATGTAACAAAAATCGATTAACCTAATGATACAGTACACAAAGGAAAAATTATAAAAGACTCCAGGACGCAGCCACTTTCTAGTACTGAGTGAAGGTCTTATAGTACTGATCTGCGCTCAAAAAGCTCGAGTGTAACCACTTTAACATTATTTTAAAGCCAACGCAAAAAAAAAATCAGAATCCGCTCAGCGGAATACATTGAACATTGAACCAATGGAAAAAAAACCCTTCATGGTCAGAAATATTTCCAAAGCACAAAAATTGGGACATAGAAAGTCTTTTTTCATGAATTCTACTATGAGTTGAGACTATTCCCCGGTCAACCAGCACAGCTTTCTTCTCGAGATAATTATTATAAAACTTGTTCACTTGCAAAAACAGCGGTGAAGCTTTGAAATCGATTCTTATGAAAATCGCTAAAAAAAATACAAAAACAACCTTCGATAAAGCTTTAAGGAGATGTGACGATGAAACAGTTGGGACAATGGATTTTCTAGACATGATTGTTCTCGAATTCACAAATCTATCAAAGATCTTCTCACAATATGGTGTTATCACAGTGAGTTGAAAACGGATCATGGAGGCTCTATAAAAAAATATTTAGTTTTTTTCACTGCAAGGTTTTGAAAAAAACTTTTAATTGAGGTTTTGAGAGACTCCGCCCCTTTTGAAGATTACGGTAGTCAAATAAGAAAAAAATCCATCTTTTTTTTTTCCGTGGCCCAAATCAAATAAAACTATTTTTCTAACGAAAGCCAGTGACAAAATAAACGTTTTTTGCATACTGACATTTTTTTGAACTTTTTTACACACCAAAACGTGTGATAAACTGATCAAGGAAACTTCATAAAAATATTTAGTTTTTTTCACTTCAAGATTTTTGAAATATGTCTGACTCTGACCTCCAGCCAGCTCACTGCCAAAATCCAATCGTTTTTTAGGAAGCCATACTGTATATATTTGTAACCCTTTGTACAAAATTCTGCGATGGCGAAGAACATTTTTCAGAAAAAATCATTTCTTCAAAGTGATCTCCGGAAAAATATCTCAATTTCCGACTTTAAAAGTCGTTTTTCAAATACATGCCGAGGTTTTCGAAGAAAACATATATCAGTTATGAAGATCTCCGTGTGAAAAGAAACTTTCGATTAGACTCCTTATATAACTTTTTTAAGGGTACGACACTTTTGGGCTTATTGGATCTGAAAATAAATCCACCACAATGAAAAAAAAACGCTTCTCGGACTAAAATGAATCAGAGTGCTTCCGAAACAAACAAGATGACAAACAACGTCTAGCACATTTAAATTATATAACAGTACCAAGAAAACAATCTCGAGACCAGGAAACCAAATGGTTTTGAAAGCATCTCAAGTATATAAACGACCGTTGGGGATAGGAGCGATTCATTCGCTCAGCGCCCTGTTTCCAATTTTCGATGTATCTCTTCTTATATTGCATCGTTCCTTTTTCATTTTTTGTACATGGTGTCTTCTTACAGTTTGCAGTGATGGATCCCCCCGCATGGGCTCATGAATTAATTGAAGTGAGCTTTCAGCGTGATAATTTTTGCACGTTGAAACCTTGCAGACAATCCAAAAACTGAGCATTTCGCATGATGAAGCTCTACAAACAATCGAACACCAAAGAGAGAGGGCGAGATGGACGAACATTGTGCTGTTCTTTTTGATTTTTGGTAATTATTTAAAGTTCGAAAGAAAAGTCTCGAAGTTCACAATGAAACGATCGTTTTGGTCGGGCGAATAGATAATCCATTTTCCAATCATCATATGAAAGTTTTTCAGGAATTGTCTTCCTGTTAGAGCTGCACAATGGGGAGGAAGTTCATCGTCAAGCGGAACAAAACGACGAGGACCGCTTGGGCGTGAATGACGAACTCTAAAATTCCTTTCTGTACTTTTATGAGAAATAAATCGTTCTGTGTTTGCAAAATTGTTCGGTTGGGAAAATCAAACTATACGGATTAAAAAAAGGATGATATTCTGTCAAAGTCTCATTTCTTTCCCGGACGGTCGGTCTTTCTTTTCGCTGCCGCCTGAGATTATTCCGACAACCGCCAGCCCTGGACCAGCCGTACTGTATAAACGTGGAACAGCAGTTGCTCATCGGAACTTTCGCAACTCGTTTGCTTCTATTTCGAGAAGGACGATATGACATATTCTTGATCAACGACATTCTCGCCAACCGACAAAAAATCTTTACTTATTTCACTCAAACACGAAAATACAGAGTATTTGAAAAGGGAAAATTTGAGTCAAGGGGAACTCGATATAAAAACGCCCTAATGAGCAATTTACCGGGATGGGAGACACGTATTGAATATTGAGAACAAAAATTTCAGATTTTTTAGAGAAGCTTGTTAGGCACACTTGCGAGTGGTTCATTGTTGTCGAGAGAGTCGAGAAAATTCCTGAAGCGGATGACAGAAGTGTTCATGTCGAATCTTGAGCCCAGTCTTTTCCAAATAGGAATGACTGTGCTGGAGAAACTGTTAAAATGAGGACCTCTCTGTATGAGTCTTATTGGAAAACAAGGTGCATTCGTTTTTCTGAAGAAATTATCTGCGCTTGGAAAGTGGTAGGAGCCCAGGACAAATTTTTGGAGAGTTAGTAGAGAAATTATTATTCTCCTTCGGAAAGCATGGACAGAGCCGAGTACACTGAGACGGTCAGAATATGAATCAAAACGAACATTTCTTCTAATAAACACCTCTCTGGTGAAGAAACGAAACGGTTTTTCAAGTTGGGAGGAATCTTCCGCAACTCCATGAATCAAAAAAGAATCCTCTCTGAAGTCTGAATAAATATGTGTATATATGCTGTCCAAAAAAGATATGACACAAGAAAATAACTTCATAACGTGTGCTTTTCGAAAGGACCCACCTATTACCTTTTTTTGCGGATTTCAAATGTAACAGAGTTTGTCTTTAGGACGAAGAATTAATCTTGAAAAGGAAAAATTGGTGTAAATGTACTATTAAGCTTCCTTTTCCTGATTGTGCAACTTTCCATGAAATCCTTTTTTGACTGAAATCTGAACTATGAAGCCGTGTGGTTTTCAAAATTTGAAAAGGTTTTCGAACTTTTTTGCGGTAATAAAAAGCCCGCTCTTCAGAAAGGCATGAAAAGCATTCCTCATACCGAAATGAATCCGATTTCTTGCAAACAAACAAGATGACTAACAGCCTCTAGAAAGTTCGAATCATAGAAACAGTATGAGGAAAATCGTATCGAGACCAAGAACACAAATATGATAGAAGCATTTTCCGTGTATAAACGAATTAAGTAGAAATGGTTCAAAGTGCTCCCGAACAAACAAGATGACAAATAACGTTTATCAAATTAGAACTTTACATACAATAGGAAATCAAATGGTTTTGAAAGCTTTTTCAGGTATATAAGCGACTGGTGAGGATAGAAATTCATTCGCCCAGCGCTCTTTTTTTCAATTTTTTGCGTTAGCTTCTCTTGTATAGAACCGTTTCTTTCTTTAATGTTTCAGTTCAAGTTTTCGAATTTCAGAAATGCTTCAAACTCAGTTCTGCGACGTGACAGCCATGATTACGACGGCACCATTTCTAAGACTCGCGCTGTTCTTCCTAGTTATAGGTATTTTTGATGTTTCGTAAAAAGTTTCCTCAAAGCTCGAAAAGTTTTGAAGTCAAAGTTATAATTACTTCTTTGTCAGTAATCCATTCTGCAGTCCTCACATGAAATGTTTCAGGAATAATCATCTTCTCCTACTCCTACGGCGAGGCGCGAGCCAATTGCGGCAACGTCTACTACGTCAACCGCATGGAAGTTCGTGGCCGGGGAGACCTCGTGTTCAACGAGGACGAAGAAACGGGCTACGGACGTGAGCAAAGCCAGCTGCAGGCCATCTACGGCCGTCCGTAACATCCAACTGATTCTTGGGTTTTTTACTCGTTCCTGAAGTAAATATTTTTCAAGCTGTTGGGAAATAATGTGTGCCCGTTGGTAAAACCAATTATGAAAGTGCTTCACAATGTTGGAACTGTACAGCGCCCCGCTTGTCCAGGGCCGAGGGGAGTCGGAAAAAGATTGTCGCAAAAGTGGATAAATCAAAAAATTTAACCTGATAAGCCGTTGGAAACATTGTGGCCCGTTCCCCCGATTAACCCATCTCCAGAAGTGAGTCGACGTTTCCAGACTGTACAGGAATCCGTTGTGCGAAGTGTTGAGGAGGCAGCCGAAATTTTGTCGATTTTTTTCTGATTTCGTTTTTTTTTGTATCCCTGTTTCGACCAACAAGTCTGCTGACTTTTTTTTCTTCGGCCTTATTTGGCAGAGAATTTTTTGATTTTTTTGTCGGCTAGCGTGTCTGTATCAGGTTCCATCCTGCTCTAGAAATTTTTTCCTCAATTTTTATTTTTTTCCTTCCTCCATTTTTGGAATTTCGAAAGCAGTTTAATTTATAATCTCAGCAAATCGTTTTTATTCATTATACCAATTTTTCTCCAGTCTTCTTTGACGTGACTTTTATTCACAGCTATTCGAGTTTTTTTAGAATTTCTTTTTTTCAGAACTTTTCTTTGTATTGTGATTATCTTTTTTTCATTGAGCCTTTTTTCTCTAAAAAAAATTGTTGCAACTTTTTTTGCTCAGGAACGTAAATATTTAATATTAATTTTTTTGATAAAGTGAGCTTCATGGGGATTCGAATATGGAGAATCGCAAATGGAATCTTTGTTATTGAAAAACGCAAAAAGGGGGCTGAAGCTGAAATGACACCTACGCATTTGGAACTTTTTGAGGTTTTTGAAAGGTTTTTTTGTTTGAAGAATTTTTAATATTCTCTCACAAAAAGTTTTTTTGTCATGAGTTTAAGGCAGAAATATTGGAACAAAAAAACCTTAACATATAATCTTGTTATCACGGCATAAATGTTAAGTGAACATTGTGAACTTGGTGAACGTATGAGTTTTAATTTGTAATGGTCTGAAAGATAAAAAAATAGTTTTTACGGTGTTTAGAATTAGTGCCGAAAATAAAAAACTTATCAGCAAGTTTTGAATTGAAATGCGATGTACTCCTCCAAGGAAACATTGTCTTGTTGTTAAAAAAAATTCAACAGATTTTTGATGATTTTTCAGCCGAACTTCCTATTTTCATGCTTTTTTTCATATGACATAATTATTTCATTATTAGCGATCCTCGATTTTATTTTTTACGTTTCTGACTGGCAAAAATTATAGTGACCACTATAGAGACTCGCCAAGGACTAGAGGTCACTAAAGTGGCCACTAAACTCACCTCTATAGTGGCCAATAGAGAGGTTCTCTATTTAGTGGCCACTTCAGTTTTTCACCCAGTATTCCTTCTATAGTGGCCAATAGAGAGGTTCTCTATTTAGTGGCCACTTCAGTTTTTCATCCAGTATTCCTTCCAGTAATTCTGATAATTTTGAAACAGATGGGACCAGTTATGTTGATCCATTGACCCCTAAAGTGGCCACTAAAATTTTGAGTGGTCTAGTAGTAGCACTTAGACCTCTATAGTGACCATTAACTATCAACCCTTTAAGTGGTGACTAATTTGACTACTATAGAGGCCCTTAAACGTCAAAACCCTATAGTGGCCACTAAAAATTTTCCCAAGAAAGAAACTAATTGGTAATCACAACTGTGTAAATTAAAAAACTCAGAAAGAGTTTTTTTTTTTTTGGAAAACAGAGTATCTAATGAGGTTCAACGAGCAATTTAGGGACTGAAATGCGACGGAATCGCAACATGAAGCCTTGTTATTGCAACGGAAAACTGAGCCCAGAAGAATGGATGAGCGAAATGAAAAGGCCGGCTGGCAATTGGGCACTTCCTGCGTCGGCACCCGTCAGCCCAGAATCCACGAACCCTTTCCTCCGTCGCCGAAAAAGCGCGTCTTCGCTGGCCATTCCCCAGTGTGTGGCATGCCTAATTCTCCAAATCCATAACTGCGCCTCGGAGCTCCTCCATTTCGCATTTCGGCTGCCTCGTATTAGGAACGACGGCCAACCACATTCCTTCGGGTCCAATTGCCTCAAATCTTGTTCTTCTTCTTCCTAATGTTACGGCTATTTACCCTCATCACCGTCGCCGGCCTTCAGCTTAAGCTCGTCTCTTCATTGAAGATCACCCGCACGGCGAAGGATCTCGAGAGTCAGCTCTACGAAGATCTCCTTTTTGATTATAACAAGGTCAGTTATTCTCAGCTTCATGAATGTTCCAAGCTCTTGCGCAAAAACCAAATTACAGCCGTCAGCGTAATTAAATTTGCAACATCTGCGTGAAGGAATGTTCCTCCTTTGCCAATACTTTGCACTTTGCCAGTTGATAGAGAGGCTCCGAATTGAGTTTTAATGACACTCGAAGTGTCTGAATCGCTTAAAATTGAACCATTTCTGCAAGAAATAAAGAACTTTTTCCCAGTCTTATTTGAAAAAAAGGAAATTGAAAACTCTTTCCTCTTGAAATAAACATTTCTTCGGCCGGATAATATTATCTTACTGACCTATTTGAAATAGTAAGTTGGTTTATCCTATTTTTCAGAGCAAAATTAACAATTTTTCGCCAAATTTTTAAATAACTTTCTTTATTATTTTTTTGGTAAAGTTGGAAAATTATCAATGCGCTTTTTTTAGAACTTTTTTTAAAGGAAAAAAACGTCTTTAGCGCAAATCAGATATTTTTTTCAGGTCCCTCGACCAGTCAAGAACAGTTCCGACATTCTGACGGTTGAAGTAGGAGCTTCGCTGATCCGAATAATCGATGTCGATGAGAAGAATCAAGTTTTAACCACAAATTTGTGGCTTGAGATGGTAAAATCCTTTCTAAAATGCCAATTAATCTTTTGTTTTCTAGAAATGGAATGACGCCAAATTAACTTGGAAGCCGGAAAAGTATGGCGGTTTGAAAACGCTTCATATTCCAAGTGATTTCATCTGGACGCCAGACTTAGTTTTGTACAACAAGTTTGAGTTTTTAGACGAAAAGCATGGAAAAGAAGATTTTTAGCGCCGCTGGGGACCCAGATATCACCATTTTGACAGATGCATTGGTCACGTACGAAGGCGATGTTTTCTGGCAGCCTCCAGCGATTTATAAATCTTTTTGTCCCGTTAGTTGTATTTTAGAAACTTCTTAGTAATGCAGAATTTTCAGATCGACGTGACTTGGTTTCCTTATGACCTACAGAGATGTGATATGAAATTTGGGACTTGGACCTATACCGGTCGATATGTGGATTTAAAACAACTTCCAAAAGGTTTAGAAAACCATCTCTTTTTAAATAATCCTCATTACTGTTAGAAAATGTCGTCATGGTGGAGCAAGAAGGAAGTGAAGTGGAGTTCATGAAACAAGGCATGGATCTCAGCTTTTTCTATCGATCCGCTGAATGGGATCTCCTTTCTTTGACTTCTGAACGACACTCCGTTCTTTACGCGTCGTGCTGCGGTCCTGAAAAATATGTAGATATCACTTATTACTTCAAGTTGAGGTTGGTTTTTTGAGTTGAAATTTTATTTTTTCTTCTCATTTCAGACGGAAAACGTTGTTCTTCACGTGTAATCTCATAATCCCCTGCTTTCTCATTTCGATTCTCACAACCTTCGTCTTCTACTTATCTGACCATAAAATCACCTTCTCCATCTCGATTCTCGTCACATTGACTGTGTTTTTCTTGGTAAGTTTGATTCATTCTATTAGAAAAAAAACTTGTAAAATTAATAAATCAGGTTTTAATCGACCTCATGCCACCGACATCGCTTGTGATACCAATGTTTGGAAGATATTTGATCACTACAATGATCCTTGTCGCATTATCTACGGTCGTTTCTGTGATTACTGTAAATTTCCGTTTCCGGTCCGGTTCGGCGCACAAAATGTCGCCTTGGATTCGAGCTTTCTTCCTAAAGTTCCTACCAAAGTCAGTTTTTTTTTAATTCTGGTTAATTCGGCTAATTTTTGCCCAAATACATTTTTTTACATGAGTTCGAATTTTAGTGTAATTTCCAATAAAAAACCTATTTTCACTGCGATTGTTCGGAATTTCGCCGGTAAAAAGCTTGATTGAGGTAAAATCATATCCCTGATTTTTTTATCAGATCAACGGAAAGGAAAAAAAAAACACCAAAAACAAATGGAGAGCCGGGGAAAAAGGAAAAACATAGAAAAAAATGCGAGTGGAGGCCTAATTTAACAAGTCGTGGCTCTCGTTTATTTTACGCGCCAATGCGTTTTACGGCCGCCAGATCTGTTTACAGTGGCCGCAAATTGTAAAATTAGGCCTTCGCTTGTTTTTTAAAGTTTTTTTTTTTGGTTGTTGGTGTTTGTTATTTTTATTTGCTTTGTGGAATCGTTTCTTTCCAATCTTTCAAGTTAACATTACAAGAGTTTTGTTTTCAACTTTTCAAATGACCTGGTAACATTGCATTGTAGAGCTTTATCAGGACCTTCAGACTTTGAATATTCGAGTAAAAAGTAAATTAGGGTGTTATTGGATTAATAAAATAAACTCTCGGCTCATTAAAAAAATTTTTTTGCGGAAGTAAAAAAAGATTATCTTAAAATTCAACGTCCCATTTTTCAGATTACTCTTCATGAAACGTCCTGAAAAAGACGATTCCAAAAAGCTGGATACCACTTTGGTTGACCCAACAACGCTTGTTGGTCCCAATTACGTTGCCGGAGCAAAGGTTGGAACTTTTTTTATTCTTCTGAAAAATATATAAACTATAAACCTACTCAGGCGGCGCATGAATATTTGAACAGCACACGGCTCTCCACTCAACGCGAATCGACAACTTTGCCTGGACATTTGAGGGAGAAGCCGAGTAGTCAGGCCGTTTTGAACAACACCTTTGATTTGAGAATGAGGCCGATGGAAAATAAAATTGAGACGGTTTGTGAAACATTTCGATTTTTTAGTTTGATTTTTTTTCAACTGGAATCTATCAAAGTATCTGTGGCCTTATCAATCTCCAACAGAGGGAAATCCGCTTTTTTTGGTTTCGCAAACGAAAGAAGTAATTTTTTTAACTTATAAGCTTGTTTAAAATTCTGTTGAATATTCCTCATTCTCGCAGAATCGGCTTCGGTTTGTTCAAAAATTAGCTCCTTTTTCTCGAAGTTTGAAAAGCTTTGAAATAAATAATTATCAGACCGCAATTTTTTACTTCCCTATTTTCAGAGGATAAAGCCATATCTGTGTGCTCGACCTCAAAACGCGGCTCCAACAGTCGCATTCCGGAAAACTAAGCGACAAAAACAAAAAACGGTTGACGACGTGGTTTTCGTCAATTTGTTACAGCAAGTTCGCTTCATTGCTGAGCATTTTCGTCACAATGAACTGGAAGGAGAGGTTTGCGGTTTTTCTTTATTTATTTGTAATCGGCTAAAAGCCTTTATTTTGATTGGAGTAGAGAAGTAACTCTTGCAAAACTTTGATATGACCTCACTTTTTAGCGTTAAATTCAATTTTTGTTTTTTTTTTCGTCTTTCACGGCTTTCTTACTCACAATTTTTGGGTTAAATTTAGTGAAAATCAAAATTAAAATTGTAAGTTGGCGTTTGACGCGTTGCCAGCCTTAAAACTTAGAGACATTCATCAAATTTTGACTGGAAGATTTAAGCCAGACTCTTTCAAAAAATGAGAAGAAAAAGGAAAGTCTTTATGAATTTTTGCCTTTATTTAAATTATTCCAGATTTCGGACGATTGGACGTTTGTTGCAATGGTCCTGGATCGACTATTCCTCATTATCTTCTCAGTTCTCAATGCTGGAACTATTTTCATTATCCTCGAAGCTCCATCTCTTTATGATCATTCTGAACCCATGAATGTCACAATTCCCAGCAAACCTCTTGGTCAAGCCAACTTCTACAGTTCACAACTGAAGTTGTAAATTTCCTTCACGATTCGTTTTCTTCCATTTCCTGCCTCAACATTTTCTACGAGTTTATTTTTCGATTTGCCTGATTAAAATTTGTCAAACTTTATAGCAGAGAAAATTACATGGAAGTGTAAAAAATTCAAAAGAGGAGATCAAGATAGTCGAACTTATCACAGTAGGAAAAAAACAAGTATAAAAATTGGCGTTGCAAGTCGGAAAAATGGAAAATTTTCATTAAAACCGGAATTTAGGCTTTTTAGAGCTGTAGACTTTTCTTCCTCCCAAGACCTGGCATTTGCGCGAATTTGTGCTGCAGATCATTCGAAAGTTTGCGAGCTGAAAAAAAATATATATACTTGACAAAGACAATCAAAAAAGAGGATAAACAATTACATAATTATGGATAATCACCTGCTTCGCGGAAAGCTGGACGGGATTCATTAAAACTGTCCAAAGGACATTTTCAGAGTACGGTGGAGTGGTCAACGATCCTTCGTAGAAGAAGTAATCTTTGTCTGGAAAACTTCAGATTTCCGACGCCTTTTTCAAAAACTTGCTGATAGGAAGAAGTGCAGCGGCGTCAAAGAATGGAGGAATTTTGAATATTCCGTTGTTTTCTAAAGCTTTCCGAATGAGAGAGGTGATGTTGGAGTAACCGTCGTTGTATTCTCCTTCCTGAAAGTATCAAGTTTCCCTTTGATCCGAAGAATAATGAGGTTCAGAAGACGTGGAAGATAAGTGACCTTGAAAAAGGCAAAAAAATTTCTACCGGAAATGAATATTTGAACTTGCAATTAAACTCAAAATGGTTATTTGAACAGTTACTACAAAGTCAAAACTATTTTTCTTGGTAAATAATATAGATTATCGTGTATTTTTTTATTGAAAGGGGACGAGGAGAACTCGCCTTCAGGAAAAACGGCCAACACGGCCAAGCCCATCTCTATGATTTTCGGCATCATCCATGCTTCCATATTTGGTGTTCCAAAAAACGAAATGGCACTGAAACTATTTTTTGTTATGATTTATATAAATATCCAGATGAGATTGGAAGGAAACATGAAAGCCTGAAACAAAACCTTGCACGAGTTCGTGAGAGGACTTAGGTCTTACCGTACGTTTATTCCCTTTTCAGAAGCAATAATGGAACGAGTAAACTGACAAAATTCAAAAACTAACCTCTCCTGAGAAAGAATGGCCATCGATTTGATGTTCAGAGCCCAGACTGGAGTCTTCTCCCCAGTGGAAATGGAACTGGGCCAGTTTGTAAGTTCCAGGTAAGTGGCTGCAGGTGAATGCTGAAGTCCGAAAATGGTAGTTTGAACTCTGAGTGAGAAATATTACTTGAAGAGCTGCTTTGAGAGGCGTAAATCTTGCATACACCCTCTTGAGCTTCGAAGTAGTCCGCATCACCTTGATTATATATAAATTCGAACGATGATTCCTTTAAGTACAGCGTTCAGATATTGACATCGGATGGAAGTTACCTGACACTTTTTTTCGTCGACTACACATTCTTCAGAAGGAATGTCGATAGGAGACTGTCGGCAGTGCTTGATCGAAGCCAACAATGATCGGTACATTCCCTAAAAATGATTGAATTTTATGACGAAAAGGAGTATTCAGAACAAACGTCAATCAAATAGCAATAAAAAAGAAATTTTCGGGCAAAATTAGAATCGCCTTTTTGAAGAAAAAATATTTAAGTCACCGAATTTTTGATTTTTCAAAGCATATCTGTTCTTTTTTATCATCAACCTTTTTTGCAGTTTCTCGAAAAACTTTTTTTTTTCCGAGAGCTGGACCTTGTCCTTCACCCTCCTGTCTGCATAGAAAATCTTTTTGCAGGGGTTGTGATGAGGAAATTCATCGAACTTGGAAAGCCCTCAACCTTTCGCATGACGCATCAAAATTTTCAGTCTTGAAGGATTTTTTTTGACGATTTCAAAAAAGTTTGAGCTTTTTTCCTGAAAGCAAAATATCCCAATCTTGTATCTTTTCTAGAAAAAGTCAGCTTTTTTGAAAATTTTTTTTAGATAGTCGATTCAAAGCGACCTCTTTTTATACAGTTCAAAGAATTTCGAAGCACAGAAACCTTACAGGACACTTTTCGCATTTTATTTATCCATTCACCCTTAGTTCATGCTCTTCACAGCTTTCGAAATTCGAAGAAAAAGTGAAGAGTACCAAAAAAGAAAAACCAACGGAAGGAAGCAAACAAACTCGAACTCGAATAATAATAATAATACGCTTCTCAAACGCAGACGCTCCGCCCTCACCCCGAGGCGCCGGAAAACACGCCCCAACAACTTTTCTAATTAGTGCGGCATACTGTGGCAACAACACGAAACTGAATGTTTTTGTATTTTCGAAGCAATTTGAAGAGAAAAAAATGTTGTTGAACGTTGAATGTACTCGAGAAGTTCTTTTGAATACATCGTTATTACCCATTGATGGAAAATCTTATCATGGAAATATTTTTTCAAAGAAGAGGGATAATATTTTAAAAAAAACGCATTAAATGAGTATTAAAAAAAAATCATAATTTGCGGAATATAGAAGTTTGAGGGGTAGAGATTCATGATTCAAACGAGGACTGTCATTTTATTTTGCGGTTGGGAGGAATTTTTCGAAAATTGGCCAGATCATTCATTGTTGAAGCAGAAAAAAAAATCCCTGATGTCTAAAATTGCCCGGCTCCCTCTTTTTTTTTTTGAAATGAGAGCTCGAAGGCCGAAAGGTCTATTTCAACGCATTTTGAAGATTTTATTTTATCTTTAGAGTGCCCTTTTTTTCAAAAGTTAGGAAATTGTGCACTTCGAGGATTTTTTTGGTACTTCAAGAAATTGTTAAATGACCTTTCCTTCGAGGAACTTGCGGAAAAAAAGGTGAATTGTATTTATTTTTTTGTTTTTCAGTTTAACTAATTAAAATGAAAGTTAGAAGAACGAAGTGCTCAAAAACCAAACTTTGAAAAAAAGCGTCTGCAAGGCTTTGCTGGAAATAAATTTAATCCTTTTAAAAAAATTCCAGGATATCTTTTTTTACTGCAGTCCATTTCGTTGTGACTCAAGGTCAAAGTACTCTACAGAAAAAGAACGACTAACATATGAACCAATAAAAAACATGAGAATGGGAAAATGCTCATATGACGAACTTTTTTGGAGAGTTCGTGAGAAGTAGGAATTAAGTTTCCAAGTTTTTTTCACACTTTTTTTATCAGGAAAGTATGAGTTTTTGAAAAGTTCTTTCAAGAAAATGTGAACGTTTTTTTCGTAATGAGTAAATGGAAATGTGAAGCCCATGTGATATACTTTTGTTTGAATTGTGAAAAGAAGCAATGAAATTTTCTAATGTCGTTCAGTTTTGTTTCCTCGAAAAATCCAAAGACAATGAAAATAATCTAACAAAGCTGTTTTGTGTGAAAATGTAAAAATTCTCAAATGAAGACTTTTTCGAAGTTTGTCTGAAAGCTGAACCAATTGTTCAGGTATCGTTACTTCTATGAACTTCTAGAAAATATAAATTTTTTTAAGAAGTTCATTCATAGGGCAGTATAATCGATAAGAGAAGGCGTTATTATCATGCCCGTAGGAGAAAACAGAGCAGAAGGCTCTTTTTTCAAAATTTTCAACAGCGCGAAATTTCGAGAACATGAACTTTAAGGTCTTTCTTGTCGGTTTCCAATGTCTATGTTATTTTTTTTTCAAGCTCAAAACGGCTAGTGAAGTTCTCCTTGTTTTGTTATATCCTACATTTTTTTCAGCATTTTTTTCATATACCGATAAAATTAATTTTTGATTGTTTTCATCAAGAAAAATCTTCAGACAATCGAAAAAAAGCAATGAGAAATAAACTAGCAAGTGATTTTTGCGGATATCTCATAAAAAAAGCGTCGTGAGAAGGCGGAAATGAGTGTTTCAGACTTTTTCATTTGAAAACACAACCTGAACTTTTACGGAAATTAATTCCAAAAGTCCAACTAATTAACTATGATTAGAAATGCAACAAAGATCGGTCATTATTTTTTTCAAAAAAATTGACAGAACTTTTGGCGCTTTTCATTAAGACTCTTTTAATGAAGCTCTTAATTATAAATCGAACTTTCTTTTTCTTCTTGAAAAAAACAAATTTTTTTGATGAAGTAAAAAAATAAACTATAGGTTAATAGCATAATTTCTAACCAGAAAAAAATAGAGTAGGCGCATATTTTATCAAAAATGTGTAGGATTTCCTGTTTGTTTTCCATAGGGGTGGTGGTTGTTCTTTGTGAAAGCCTTGCTAATAGGGAATTATAACAAGTCTCGAGGTACTCATTATCCAATTTCGCAATCTTCTGCGTTGATAAACTCGTTGTTTGATTTGATTTTTGCTTCCTAATGAAACAGGAAGTTTATCGAAAAAAGCGTTCAACTTTTCATTCCACATAACTTATAACTTCAATTTAAATTTTGGAAATAATTTAAAAAATGATAAAGCTGAATAGCTCCACGAAGTAAGAATGAAAACGTGTTTCCAAAAATATGAAAAAATGTTCCCAGTTTGATTAAAATTCGGGCTTCAACATGGAAAAAAATGTTCTGGCCAACTTTCAGATCATTATTGGAAAAAAAGTACAAAAAAAGTATGAATTCAAACAAGACCTTTTGTGCAGCTATTGAAAGACGAAAAGAAACAAAGTAATTCAGCAAAAACGAAAAATTTCGGCAATCAGAAAAAATTTTTCTGTTAGGCTTCAATTCACAGTTTTCGGAAATCTTAACCTAGAAGCCCTAAAAATTTTTCTATAACTCTAGGTTTGAGAAAAACATGACCTTATCAATTTCATCGATCAAAAATCAAGCAACGCCATTTTGGAAGAATCTAAAAGTTTGTTTTGAAAGTTTGATTTCCAGTAGCAGCTGAAATTTTTAACAGCTCCGTAAGATTTTTAGTTCTTCAGTTTTTTTCTTTCTGCACTTTTCAGAAAACACTGAGAATGCTATAAATTTATTATTATACCACGTGCGAACCAACGAATAAGGCTTCTGCTTCACTTAAGTATAAGGGTAATAACATGAAATCTAGGCACAACACGAAGAAATACTTGAGACTTGGAGGGCAATGGTAAGTGTGTTCATATTTGTAATTGAAAGTGAGGGATTAGGGTAATGACTGCGATATTTGGCATCTTATCTATTTGGCACGAAAAGTAACAAAATTACAAGAATGCGAGAAGTTAAAAATTACAACACTTTACATCATTCGACTTTGAAAAATAAAGAATACAGAAATTTTGTAGAATATCAGATCTCAAAAATAATTGTTCCATTATGTGGGTAATAAAAGTTTCATCGGGATATATCATAGAATATATATGTGTTAAGTAGTGAGAATTTAGGCGAAGGTGATCGAAGAACGGATCTGGCGGCCGCAGAGATCCTGGCACTCGCGGTGGTTCTCAGCGACGATGTTGCGCAGGACGTTGAGCTGAAACAGGGAACTGAACTGAGAAGGGAAACTCGCAGAAAAGTTGGATTGCTTTTCTGTTGAAAAAAACAGCAACGAATCGAGAATGTGTAGAAAACGCTTCATAGGTATTTTTCTATTCAGAAATTTTTAGGTTTTTGGCTCAACATTTTTCATTTTTTAATATCATCAGATTCTTTGTTGAGTCAAAACGAAAAAAACAATTAAATTCAATTGGAAACACTGATTTTGTAACTTTCAGCAATCGGATAACATTTTTTGGCGGGAGACAAAAGTTCAAAAATTTGGAATATTCGACCTGTTCTTTTTTCAAAAAAAATTATGTTCTCCTTCGTCTCCTTCCTCCATAATAAAGTACAGAGAAATAGAAAGACCTGGTTTTTTGAAAGTTGATAATATTATAGATAGGAGTCTAGTTGAACTAGACGCGTGATTTTTTTTAAAATAGCCTGTTTGAGCACTTTTTGGGATGCATTTTGAAATCCAACAAAACAGAACAAGTTTTCCTTTTATAAACCGGAAAAAAGCAGAGATCTCTAACCTGTCCGTAGGAGATCTCCACAGGAGTCGTGAAGACAGTCCAGATGACGCACTCGCTGAACGGCGGAGTGGTCAGCGAACCAGCGTAGGTGACGAAGTCACGGTCGTCTGGAATTTTGATGAGTTAATCAATTGAAAAAAAAATTCAGGTTTTGTGTATCTGATCGTTTACAATCCAAACGTCTTCAGGGTTTTGAATGTCTAAAACATGGAAAATTGGTTATTTGCCGAGAGGGGCAAGAATAGCAGTAAAACAGATTAAATAAGCTTTTTATCGGCAATTTTTATGAAAATGTTGAAAAGTTGTTGATGATTCGAAATACATCTTTATTAATTTGCAGAACAAAACAATTAGCTCAGCTTTTTCTGAAGCATGAATTCAAACTTTTTTGAGCCCCAGAGTACCAAAAAACCGTTTGTGGGGATTCCTCGTTTCCAATAATTTGAAGGAAAGTAGCATTAAATTTCTCTCAAAAAAAGCTGATTCAAAAATGAAATCTGACCCGGAGAAGGAAGAAGCTTGATGAGATCGAAGTCCTTGGGCATAGCAAACGGCTTGTCGCCTCCAGCAGCCTTGCGGATGGTCTCGATCAGCGAATGGTAGTCATCGTTGTGCTGGCCCTCCTGGAAAAAAAAAACTCATGAAACCTCTAAAATTCATTTAAAAAAATGAGGAAATTTCGTTTTCAACTCCAATTTTTTTCTTATCTAGCTTATTTCTTGGTTGTTGAGAGGATCTGAATAAACATTTCAAAATCCGTCTGGAACTACTTCAACACTACTTGGCAGTTCCGTAACTACCTCAACTTCTTTTTTCAGCCAATAGGTACTCAAATTATCAACTCCCCCTCCCCCCATTTTCTAAGTTCCGAACCAATTTCGAATACAAATAAATCATTTTTTTCTCTTCAAAAACGTTTTTTTTTGTTATTCTTTGAGTTTACTTTGATGACCTGTGAACCAAAAATGAAATGTGTCAAGAATTTCGAGCGCCCCCTCATCCAGATCAAATAGTAAAAAGTCAATATTGACCCGAAGTATTTCCCTAGACTTTAGTGAGAATCTCTTCAAAAAGTAAGGAATATTATGAGAAAGGTTTTTGTTTTCGGAGTTCTAAGTGGGATTTTTGAAAACAAAATGTTGTGGGAAAATCAGGAAAAAGCACTTATTTCTTTACAGAAGCTTCTTCAGAAATAAAGGTCATTGAAGCTCTCTTCTTCGTTTTTTCAAAAACTCGAAAATGTCTACGAACCTTCAAGAAAACGCCGACGACGGCCAAACCGTCTTCCTTGTTGAGAGCCTCGCAGAACGAGCCGTAGTTGGTGTTCCAGAACACGAAATGGACCTGTCAAAATAGAAGTTTCATTTTATTTTCAGAAAGTTTCTTACCTCGCCACTCATAGATTTTCCATTGAGAAGGTGCTCGGATCCCTTCTGTCCGTTGGTTCCCCAGTGAGCATGGAACTGGGCGAGCTCGTAGGTCGCATCTCCCAAATGGTTTCCGGTAAGAGCTGGAATAACGTTCTTTTTTTTGGTGAAACTCATGAATGGAGGGGTACTTGAACTCCCGGAGGAAACTATTGAAGAAATCAAAAACTAGGCTGAAAGTACTATTGAAAGATTCGAATCCTGTTTCATTACCAAGCTGGGTCCAATTTTTAACAACCTTTCCGTAACTTCCTTTTTTTTTTCTTATATTTTATTCGTTCCAGGCAAGTGATCTATGTCATATTCCCTTTTACAAAAATCTATTGAGTGTTGTTGAAAAAGTTAAGCTTGCGGAAAATCCACAAAAAGGATTAGTGAAGCAGAACGAGGTCATTTTTTGAATGGGGAGCCAGGAATTTTTGTTTATTTCGCATTTCGAAAATTCCATGGAAACCGGAATTTAAAGTTTTTTGTAGAGCAGAGCTATATATTTTGAAAAATTAGTATATCTTTTCAAAAATTTTCTGCTCCATTGAGTGATAGACTCTTCTTGGGAATTTCTTTTCTTTTGAGCTTTTTTTTTGATTTATGAATTTGATAAATTCAGTTTCATTGTGAAAAAAAAAACTATTGAAAAAGGGATCACATAGCCGTGAAATTTGAAAAACCAAAAGATCTACCATTTTGTCTAAAAATCTCTGGGGTATAAACTTTTTTCTGTTAACGTTCCAACAGCGATGATGGAAAAACAAGAATTTCATGTTCTCTTTGTTTTTGCCTTGCTCTGAAAATTGAGTTGACAAGCTCACTTGTGGAGCAGCCGCGCTCGACGTTCACACGGAAACCGCCGGCGTTGACGATGACGTCACAGCAATCGCCTGGTTTATAGCTGATGTTGAGCGTGTCGACCTGAAGATTGATGATTTTTGAGCCAACAGGAGCAAACGAGACACGAGAATTGGTGAAGATCCGCTTAAAATTTAGGCCTTTTTCTGCTTTTTTTCGGGATGAAAAATATGTTTAAAATACCGATATTCTTTTGAGTAGAAAAAAACGAAAAAAATAGTGATGATTTTCAAAAAAATTGATGTTTTTTTCAGAAAAATGATGTTTTCAGATATTTTAAGTCATGAGTAAAAGGAAAAAAAGCTTTCCGTTATATTGTTTCCCAAATAGTTTTAGGAGACTCCTGCGAGTTTCAACCTGGGAAAAATGAACGGAAAGAAACAACAACATGAAAAGGAGAAAATCATAGAGTTTATCTGGCGATAAAGCGCTTCAAACGGATCATTATAACTTTCCAAACATCAAAAACCAACGAAAAACGATTAAGAAATAAGATTACCTTGCAAAGATCAGGATCATGGCAAACGGCGCCAGGAACGATATCAATTGGGCTTTGGCGATGAGTGGCGGCTGAAAACAGCAAATTTCCCATTCGGGATTTGCAACGTCGCGACCAACTTTTTCGCCCGGCTAAGGGCTTTTTAAGCGCCCTCGACGCTTTGGCCTTTCTGACAGCCTTCCCCGGAAGGGAGCATTTATCGAGTTTGGCAGCAGCGATGCGTGCCGACCTTCGCAACTTGGCCATTTACTTATTTATCTTTTTTCGGCGTTTTAGAATAAAATTGTTGAGACACAGGGTTGAGCAGGGAGTAGAACCTCAGCAGAGAGGTTGAACCTGAGGCTTTTAACCATGAAGCTTTTGGCTTGGCGTGTGTTTTGGCAGAGTTCCACGCGCCTAAGCTATTCGATATCGCGCGTTTGTTGTGCATGAGCGGGTTTTTCCGTGAGCCTTTTTTTCTCCCTCCGATGCATGTGAGCTTTGTTCTTCAAACAGCAGCTGTTTTGCGGGAGGCCCATTTGGCTGCTTTTTTTCTCACTTCATTCCCACGAGGTCATTTCGCTTGAAATTTTTTTAATTTTGAAAAAAATATTCGAAAAATACAAAAAAAGTGAAGTTTTTTTCCTAAAAGCTTCAACAGCTTATTTAGAGATATATATTTTATTTTTTTCTCATTCTAATTTTTTTAAAAAAAGTGCAGATTTGTGTGGAAAAAAATTATATTATTAATAAAGACATCTTCCTTGTGTAGGTTTTTTTAGCTTTATTTATCAAGATGCATTCTTAATAGTTTGAAAATTATCAATTTTGAACTTTCCTCCAAGCCTCATTTAAAAAGATTTTTTGAAACTGTGGAAGTTTATGCGCATTTCTAATTTGACCCCTTTCAATAGTTTTACAATAATATCTATTCTGACGTTTGAGGCTTGAAAACAAAGCTCAAAAATTTTTCAAAGAGTCACTAAAATCGGAATTTCCGTAGCAGTCGATTAGCAAAAAAGTTTAAAAGAAATCCGAAATTGAGTTTTTTCTTGCAGTTCGCAGCTTAGAAGCTAAAAGATTCACTTTTTTGCCTTTCTATGACGATTTTCTTCAGAATTCATGCATGAAAAAAAACTATCGTTTATGAATTTTCGAACACTTTGACCTCTTGCATTTTGAAATAGAAATGAATCTCTAATCCTCAAGCCGGAAATAGCGGAAAAACTGAGCTTTTTATTCAAAAAAAGACCACGTTGACACTTTTTTTTTCACTTTTCTTCCATTCAAATTACTTTCAAAAGCTCCAAAAAAGCTAGAAAATCATAAATCAAAACTTTTCGCATCTTGGTTGACCTTATCTTATCATTTTCACCGCAATCTAACGCAGCGCAAAATTCTTCATGCCCAAAAAGAAGAAGGAAAAAATGTCCGCTTACCCATTCTTTAGAAGTGGTCGGTTGAAAAGCGAAACTTCAAGAAGTCCTGAAAAAAAACGAGAATCAATAAGATGCACGTCGAGGATGGCAAAGAAAAGAATACGACGGGAGCCTCGAGAATCCCAGGGAGTTTCAGAAGTGAAGAAGGTACTTGCTCCACAACTAGAGAAAATGAAGCAGTTCGGAAGATTTTTCAGCTCAAAATGGAGAATCGAAGACGTTTCTGTATGAAAAGAAGAGGGAAGGGAAGCTGAAGAAGAGCTCGGAGTGGGAAAATAATCAAGTTGGTGGAGTTGGGGTTAATGAGATTTTTTGCCTGTGAAGAAAGTCGGAAATGAGAGAGAAGCGAGAAAAATCTTTATTATTCTGTTAATTATGAGATAAAATTTAGGTGATTTCAACTTTTTTTCTGAAAAAGAATTTTTTTCATGAATGCAAATTTGGAGAAATTTCTTTCGAAAAGCTTCTTTTTCAAATTTCAATTTTTAATTCCTCCTCAATATCTGACTTTTTCATGAGCTATCAAAAATCGAGCAAAGCAGACGAGAAATGGACTTGCCAGTGAAAAAAACCTTTTGAAACTTGAAACCGCTGAGTAAAAGTGCAAAAAGAGAAAAAGAAAGTGTTCCAATGAATGCGTTTCATTTTCAAATTTTTCAGACTCTTCAAAAATTTTTTCAAAGATCAATGAGAACTTGACCAAAAAAATTCAAACTAAACTCAAAAAGTGCTTAAAAAAATCAAAAAGAGTGAAAATAATTAGGATTATTTAAATTTTGAATTTCTCCACAATATCTGACTTTTCATGAGCTATCAAAAATCGAGCAGAGCAGACGAGAAATGGACCTCTTTACACTCCGAAAACAACTGCACTTTCCAATTTTTCCTGTTTCACTGAAGGTTCAAAAAAACCAGAAGCAGCTGTATAACAAAAATTGAGCACGTTGAAAGAACAAAAGAAGGAGGTTTTGGAAACTTGAAACCGCCGAAAAAGAGATCAAAAAGTGCGGATAGAATGGACTTTGACCGAAATTTCAAAAATGCTTCAATTTTTCATTTCAAAATACCTCATTATTTTTTTGAGTTTGAAAGTTACCTGGAAACAAAAAAACCACTCTTACAACTAGTGCCCCTTCAAACTTTAATCTTCGTCTCTCCGAAATGTCAAAAAAGTTCAAAGACAGCTGTCAAGCTCTCTTTTCCGCTAGTATTTATAAAGTACTTGAAATATGAAAAAATACCGCTTTAGAAACTCGAAACCGCTGAATGAGAAAAAAAGCACGTAAAGTGCGGATGGGACAACGAATGTCGGAAGGGACTTTGAATGAAAAGCAACTGGCGGGTGGCAGATGGAAACAACGTCAACACTTGCGCAAAAATTTTTATTGAATGGGTTTCGGACCTCTTGGTTTATTTTTTAAAGCGGAGTGGCTGGAGAAAATGGGAACACTTCTCAAGAATGAAATATTTATTGGGCTATTTTAACCTAAAAATAGAAGATATACAGATTCTCAGGGAAGTTTTTTTTTTCTCAGGAAGGGGAAGTCGCAATGAATATACTCTTAATTGAAACATGAAGGGCAGGCCATTACGAAAAAAATGGGAAATGGGCTTCATGATTTTTTTATGATTTGAGGTAGAGAAGAAAACTATCCTATGAAATGATTTCTCTAAAAAAATATTTTTCTTAATCATTTCCCAAAAAAATTAACTGGCACTAGAACTAAAGCTATTTTTTTCGAGGGCGGTAAATGAAAACTCTGAAAAAAAGACCTTACTTTTTTTAATTTTTAAAAAAAATTGAATATTATTGGCTTTGGTTCAAATCTTTTTTTAACTGAATAGTTCTGTGAAATGGAACGCCAGTCACATCAAATAGCGTGACTGAATACTTTAGGAGTGCCAAAATTATTAAGAATTATTTAACCAAAAAGCAGAATTTTTCATGGAATTTTTGACAAATGACGGCAGAATTAAATTATTTTCGAATGAAGTTCAAAATGGAAGTTTCTTGAAATCTTGACAGAAGAGAGAAACGGAAAATTGGAACTGCTTCAGAAAATGACAGCTCGGAATTGCCCTTTCAGAACTCAATTTATTAGAAACTTTTTGGACATGAGTTATGATTTTTCTCAGAGTTTGAGAATATGACTTGAGGAAGAAAAAGCAGTTTCACTTATTTCGGGATAAATGTTTTCTCGAGTTTTTATACTTGGATTAAAACTACTTCAAAACTGGATAAATTGAGAAAAAGTTGTAAACGATTTCACATCAAATACATGCACCAAAAAGCTTGTCCCATCTGTCGCAGTCAATGAAATAGCTTCCAAGCTGTCAAATAAAAGCGAAAAACGACTGCATCCACGAAATTGGGAAATTAGTAGTTTTTTATTTTCAGAAACTAGGGAAAGGAAGCATAGTCCAGGTGCTTAACCCAATTTTTGCTGTGAACGGATTTTTAGTTGAGCATATGAAAGTTTGTTTCTTTTTATGAGTTAGAACTTTATAAATTAAAGCTCAAAAAAAAAGGCGTATACTGCAGATGTTTTCAAGCAGTTGAGGAAATCTTGAAATTGCGGCGTTTGCTCTATTGGGACTGAATTTCTGGTCTAGAAATTGGGGAAAAGGCTCAGACTTTGGAATACCCACCATAGAAGCCTTTTTGAGATCCGAAACTGAAAATTCCTCCATTTTTATTAGAGAGCTGTCTGATGAACTGAACCTAAAGACATTCAGATGATCAAGGATTTTCATAGATTTCCAGAGGTCGGGTTTCAAACGGAGAAAGCCTTTTTTGGGAGTACCCATGCAGAGAAGGGATTCAGAGACAAGTAATTCTGGAAGAAATCATCACCAAAAAACAAAAAATGCCCGTTGCATCTGTCGCCAACTGAAAAGAGCTGCCGGATCTTGAAAGGAGAGGGAAAAAACGGCTTGTCGCATCTGCCGGGAACCATTTATATGTACCAGTCGCGAATCTGCAGACGGAAAGAGGCGGTCCCCGGTTTGCAGAGATCAACACCACGCGTTAGGAAAAAGGGAAAAAGAACTGCCGTCACAGTCACGTTGATTTGTTTGAATAAGTTATTTCCATGCCAATGATACTGGGTAGAGAAAAATGAGTCTAGGAATGGTGAAAAATTGAAAAGTTTGCTCAGTTATGAAATTCTAACTTTTAACAAGATCTTGTAAAAAAAGGTCAACAGAATTTTGTCTTACTGGGAAAATTTTTAGGAGCCAAGGACTACTAGGAGAGGACACTAAAGCGGCCACTAAACCCACCTCTATAGGGACCACTCTAGAGGTTCTCCATTTAGTGGCCACTTCAGTAGTTTTTTTCATACAGTATTCCTTCCAGTAACTCTGATAATTTCAAAACACACAGATTGGACCAGTTATGATGATCCATTGACCCCTGAAGTTGCCACTAAAATTTTGAGTGGTCTAGTAATAGCACTTATACCTCTACAGTGGTCACTAATTTTCAATCCCTCAAGTGGCCACTAATTTTATTATTATAGTGGCCACTAAATCGTCAAAACCCTATAGTGTCCACTGAAAGTTTTCCCACTATCCAGAGAACTGTTTTGTGAAACTTAATCATGAAAGAGAAGAAAAAATGATCGTCACCGCCACATTGATAGGTCACCGATTTGTTTGAATAACTTCTTTACTTGCCAATGATACTGCGGCTAGAGAAAAAAAAACGCTGATAAACGATTTCAAAATATTGGAAAGTATAAAAAAGAACTCAAAGAGACTTTTTTCTGGTCTGAGAATCAGAAGAGTTTCAATAGGCGTTCAAAAGCAAGCTGAATAATTTTCGATACAACTTACAGTAAATTAAAGCTAAGAGAAATGGTATGGCTTCGCTCGGATTTTGCTATCTGCGTCTTTAAATACTACTTGAAGTTATTTTTGAATAGACTTTGGTCTCAAAAATATGATTTTCCCTATTCTTATATTCAAATTGTTGGGTTTTACTACGCAAATCCAGTCTTCTCTCAAAATGCAAATTTTTTTAACCCACGTTTTGACAACTCTAACCTCAAAAAAACCGGAAAAAAAGTCACTCCGAAAAAAATGTAAAAAAATTTAAATAATCTCTTCACGCGGTGAAAAAGACGCTCACTGTCGCAGATCAATAGATTATTGGTTTTCAATTTTTTTCGGTTCTTTGAAACAGGAATGAAATACAATTGAAACTTAAAGAATAGAAGAGAACAAAGAATTCAATAGATGCCTTTTTTGAGAAATTGGTATTGTTCTATTTTTGATCGTCTTTTTCGGTAGCACAATACCATTTGATGTGTTTTGAGAGCTCGTAAAACCGAAATCCTGACGCCCAGCGAACAATCCATCAAACCTTTGGATCAAACGGTCAAGGCAACAAACATGCGTCATCAGGCAGTTCTTGCGCAATGAGTGCTTTTGTCACGTTTTTGGGAAATTTCAAGAAAAATGAGCGCCTTGTCGACGAAACAGAGAAGTTATCTATGATCTCGATCAGTAGTTTTTTTCTTCTAGTGGCAGAGATCGCTGCTAATTTATTTGCAAAGGAAAGAGAGACACCCATTTCTGTCTTTTTGATTTTTTCGTGTCACTTTGTGATTCTAAACTTTGCCTTTCACAGAAGACAAAAAGGAATACCTAAACAAAGGTTTTGGAAAAAGAACCTCGGATTGTTAAGAAAGATGAACGAATCACCAAACATGAGGATAATTCAGCTTTAATTTAGTCACCTTTTTCGAGAACTTCAAGAAAAATGAGCGCGTTTTCGACGAAACAGAGAAGTTATCTATGATTCTGATCAGTTTTTTTCCTTTTTAGAGAGAACTTGGTACTGATTTATTTGCAAAGGAGAGAGATAGTAGTTGTAATTTTTTTTTGATTTTTCGGACTGGGTAGCCGTTTTTTGAAAATTTGAAGGTTTGCAACGAATACGATTTATGACTTTCAAAATAAATTATCAAGAAAAAAATGCTGTCAATTATAAGAATATTCCAAGCTCAAGTTCTTTTTTGAACCAAAAAAAAAACTATTTTGCCTAAGGACATTCCGACATTTTCCTACTAAAAAATGGGTTTTCAATACCGTGAAAGTCTAAATTGATTCTATGAAACTGTAAAGTTGCGTTTGATTTCGAGACTTTTTTCTTCGAAAAACAGAGATCGTCGTTAATTCATGAAATTGAGAGATAGGGTAATTGACACCCGTCTTTTTTTACGACGCCTTGACTTTCACGCACTTTTTTCGTGTTTCTGAACCAGTTTGGCGTTGAACGAGACGTATAGAAACCTATCTAAGCAGAGAATTCAAGCGGAGTCTCGAAAAATGGAACTACAGGAAAGAAGGAATCTAAATAGAAAGTTATGTTTCTTGTGAAAAACAACGAGATTTCTTATTGCTCCTATTTAAAAGCTCATCGTGAATCATGTTTTTGAAGCAAAGAAAAACAACATTAATGTAGGGATCCATTAAAAGATTAAAAATAGAAAACAGTACGACTTTTCCATTTTTCTGGAGCTTTTTGAAAAACCGTCGACTTCTGGAATTCGAACGCCCACCTAAATTTTGACTAAAAGCTAGCTACCGTCAAAAGAATTCTTTTCAGAACTCTAGACCAAAAAGTTCCTTACAGCAAATATAGACGATTGGAAAACAAAAGCTTTCTCTCCCACAGAAAAATGTTGCGTTCGTCACTGAGAAGTTCAAATAACTATATTTACCGAAACCTATTCGAAAAGGTTGTTTACTGTTTCAAGAAAAAAAAATAAAGTCATATTTGGCGTACTTTTAGGAGTTTACCATGTTTGACTTAAAACTAGAAAAACGCAAAACTGAAACTAATTGGATATGGGGTGTTGCGTGTGGACATAAATTGAACCGAAAACCTTTTTTTTCTGATATTCAGTCAGGTTCCGAGTCCTGAAAAAACAATTTCGTAGTCGGCAAGGAAATATATACAAATGAAATTTTGCGGCAGTGGCCATCCAATTGAGTCGAATGGGATCCAATAAAACGCAAAATCTCGTTTAGTTTACTTTACGAATTTCATGAGCAAACCTCAAGAGCAAACAGTTGAGGAAAAAAACTTTGGCTTCGATGTTTTGAAAATTTTTGAAAATATTCTTAGTTCATTTTTGAAAAAAACAAAAAAATTGTGATGGAAATAGTCGATTCATTCTGAAAGCTCGTTAAAAATTCCAAATTGGATTCTCACAGGGAGTCAATTTGAAAGAATAACAAGAGCTGCGAAAAACAATTATAAAGCCTTGGAGCAATGAAGTTGAACTGAAAAAATAAAGCCGCCGTCTTTTTCAGAAAAGAAAGGCGAAATGAATGCTTGATAGGCGAGGACCGTTTAAATACCCCCGCGGCTCGGCATTTCGCGAAAACAATGATTCATATCCGATATTCGAACAACGTGACTGATCGGATATGCTGATAACGAGCAAATGTCCCGAAAAAGTCGCTTTTTCGAAAAAAATCAGTCTGCCAAAGCGCTAAGTGACTCATTCCGTTTGCAAAATTACTGACCATAGCCGATATTTTGAACAATCAGACTGATTGGATATTATAAGAGGCGGAAAAAAGATGTTTTGCAAGAGAACAGTTTGCCATGTGACTCAGCCGAATCTATTTTTAATCTCTTCATAAAGCCTTTTTCGAAACATCTTTACACTGTGAATTTAACAAGAAATAGTCTTGCAGCAAAGATTTATTGGACTGAAGCGTACAAAGGAGCTCAGAATCGAGGATCGAAGCCGTAGTAGGGCTGGGAATGGTATCCACCGTGGGAGTAGTGGGGCTCGTAGCCGTAGTGAGGCTGAGGTTGGTAGTAGGAAGGCTGAGAATGGGCCGATTCGTAGCCGCGACCGTAGCTGTCGTAGCCCTTTCCGTGGTAACCGTCGGCGTGAGATCCTGAATTTGTTCAGTTTTCGAAGATGACAACACGTTTTGAACCGTATTTGGAATCCTTGTCGCCGTAGTAGTTCTTGTGTCCGGCATCCTCCTCTCCGTAGTTGGAGTGCTCGTTTCCATGCTTCTCCTGAGCCTTGTCTGAAGCTCATTCTTACTAGCTGCATTAATTAGAATCAGTAACCATATCCTTGATAACCAGCGCCGTGGTATCCGCTGTTGTCCTTGTGCTTCTGGCCGTTGGAGTGTTCATCTCCAGAGTATTTCGCGGCGTGTTTCTCGTCGGTGTGGAACTGTTCCATGTGGTATTGGGGCTGGACGTAGTGGTAGTCGAAGAATCCATAAGTCTTGGTCTTGACGTCTAAACATTTTTTCTTTAAAGAAAAAGAAGATTATGTAGCTCACCCTTGTTGTAGTTGGAAGCGTCGTTAGAATACTTGCTGCCGGCGCCAGAGTTGTGAGCCTCAGTCTCGTGCTTGTGGCTGGCGGCGTCCTTGGCGGCAGCGTCGTGAGCAGAAGCCTTCTTGTCGCCATAATATCTGATAGTTGGAGTTCAGAAAGTGTAAGAAATGAAAAGCAACCCATGATCTCCCACGTCGTGACCGCTGTGCTCCGATTTCACGTTGAAGTCCTTCTTGTGAGCAGACGCACTGCCATAGCCAGATTTTCCTCCAGCGCTTTCATAACTGAAAAAAAGAAGGGTTATTTGTTGAATAATCAATTGAATATTGCCTGGAATGGTCGATCGGAAGGGCAGAAGCCGTCAGGACGACGACCGACAGAAGGACGAAGCGAGCGAACATCACCGAAGCTGCTGTGATGAGGCTGAAGATGCCTTTCTGCCGTCGATTCGTCGCTTTTATATTTCTGGGATTGAGGTCGCTCGAAGGGAAGAAGTAACCGTTTTTACATGACAAAATGACTCGGGCCGGTTTGTAGCTATACATTGTGCGTTGCTGGTTAACTACGTATGACTCGCGTGTCTGCCGCCGACGATTTTTTGTCAGATGATATTGATTTGAGACTTCGGAGTGGCAATGGATACAATTGCTCGCAGAAAAAAAATCAAATGGGTAAAATTCCTCTGGCGAAAAAAAATGTAATTTTTCTTTTTGAAAAAGTGAAATACTTAAAATTGATTCTTTCTGACCTTTTTTTATTTGCTTTAAGACGGTCGATCGATTCAAAAGCAAAAAAATCAGAGTAAAAAAATGGATGTCAATAAAAAGCAAAATAAATGAAAAAAAAATTCTTTGAAGAATCGCAACGAAAAAAAATCAAGTTATTCCTTGAAAAAGTTTATTCGAGTTTTTTTGGAATTTTTCCTTCCACAAATAATTTTTTTTCTCTTCAAATGATTCAAAAAAAACGTTTTGAAAATCTGAAGTTCGTTAATTGACATCCTTACTCTACAAATAATTCTTATCAATTTGGTTTAAAAACCAAGAATTTGATCTGAGAGACTTCAATCGAAAAAATCTCGCTTGACCTTTCAAGGAAAATTTATAAACATTCCGAGTATCGATTTTTTTTTTGAAATAACTGCACCTAGTTTACTTCTTCTTCTTCTTCACATTGCCTTCTTTTTTTGTAATTTCAAGGCCTACATGCAGAGTTTTTAATAATATAACAACTTCGAGAAACCCATTCTACCACTTTTTCAAAACCAGATAGAAAAGTTTGTTTCTCTTTTCATTTCATTTCAAGTTTCATTTCAAGTGTTTATTCGCCATTCCGCAATCTGCACGACGAATACAAATGAATAAAAATTTTGATATGAATGCCAATTTTTATTATTTTCAAACTCTCCTTTTCTTAGCGTGTCATTATCTTTGTCAATTTTCCAGTGATCTCAATTTTCCGTGGTCGCCTTCATAGTTTGGCATACTTTCCCCGCCGCCGGGCAAAAACATGGCTTTTTGTCTTTACCAGTCGACCTCAATCTGACAGGTATAAAAGAGACGAACAGACGGCGGAAAGGCATCTTCAGCCTCATCACTGCAGTTCCAGTGATGTTCGCTCGCTTCGTCCTTCTGTCGGTCGTCGTCCTGACGGCTTCTGCCCTTCCGATCGACCATTCCAGGCAATATTCAATTGACTATCCAATAAAATCCTTTTTTTTCTTTTCAGTTATGAAAGCGCTGGTGGAAAATCTGGCTATGGCAGTGAGTCTGCTCACAAGAAGGACTTCAACGTGAAGTCGGAGCACAGCGGCCACGACGTGGGAGATCATGGGTTGCTTTTCATTTCTTACACTTTCTGAACTCCAACTATCAGATATTATGGCGACAAGAAGGCTTCTGCTCACGACGCTGCCGCCAAGGACGCCGCCAGCCACAAGCACGAGACTGAGGCTCACAACTCTGGCGCCGGCAGCAAGTATTCTAACGACGCTTCCAACTACAACAAGGGTGAAAAAAAATGTAGTCTATCCAGCAATTCGGAAAAATTTCAGACGTGAAAACCAAAGAGCACGGTTTCTTTGACTACCACTATATCCAGCCCCAATACCACATGGAGAAGTTCCACACCGACGAGAAACACGCCGCGAAATACTCTGGAGATGAACACTCCAACGGCCAAAAGCACAAGGACAACAGCGGATACCACGGCGCTGGTTATCAAGGATATGGTGACTGATTCTAATTAATGCAGCTAGTAAGAATGAGCTTCAGACAAGGCTCAGGAGAAGCATGGAAACGAGCACTCCAACTACGGAGAGGAGGATGCCGGACACAAGAACTACTACGGCGACAAGGATTCCAAATACGGTTCAAAACGTGTTGTCATCTTCGAAAACTGAACAAATTCAGGATCTCACGCCGACGGTTACCACGGAAAGGGCTACGACAGCTACGGTCGCGGCTACGAATCGGCCCATTCTCAGCCTTCCTACTACCAACCTCAGCCTCACTACGGCTACGAGCCCCACTACTCCCACGGTGGATACCATTCCCAGCCCTACTACGGCTTCGATCCTCGATTCTGAGCTCCTTTGTACGCTTCAGTCCAATAAATCTTTGCTGCAAGACTATTTCTTGTTAAATTCACAGTGTAAAGATGTTTCGAAAAAGGCTTTATGAAGAGATTAAAAATAGATTCGGCTGAGTCACATGGCAAACTGTTCTCTTGCAAAACATCTTTTTTCCGCCTCTTATAATATCCAATCAGTCTGATTGTTCAAAATATCGGCTATGGTCAGTAATTTTGCAAACGGAATGAGTCACTTAGCGCTTTGGCAGACTGATTTTTTTCGAAAAAGCGACTTTTTCGGGACATTTGCTCGTTATCAGCATATCCGATCAGTCACGTTGTTCTAAATATAGCAGAATTTTCTCGAAATCTAGTGACTCAATTTCCCTCTCCATCATATACAACCATCTGGTTGTTCTATAGATCACCTCGGATTAATCATCAAGGAAGCCATCTGAATCATCAACTGTTTCGGGGACTTTTTTGAGAAAGAATATAGGAACTTTCTCAAATCATAAACTCAAACTTATTCATCTTCAATTGAATTGAAAAGGGAACGTCTTGCCCCTGCGTTCATCTGAACTTCCAAATGTATTCAAATTCGGTTTCGACTACATTTACATAGAGGAAGGAGTGCTCGAAATGCAATGCAGTTTTCCTTTTTTTGTCCTTTTTCTCAGACTTATTATCCTGAAACTTCTAGGTAATGTGCGGGAAATCCGCGCAAGGAAAAATTCCGAAATAACTTAAAATTAAAAAAACAACAAAATAGAACTCTAATTATTTCTCGCCTAGGGCTAATTGAAGAAGGCAAACAGAATTTGACCCGTTGGCCATGTTCGATCCCTGAGAAGAAGCTGAAGGAGAAGAAGAAGTGCAGTCACCGGCAAAAACATCTTAATTATTCTTGTGACGCAACCAAAGAACAATTAGCCATCGTGGCGAGACCCGACCAAACGGCGTGTGAAAAAACACCCTTTCATTTCTCGAAAAGAGCCGATTTCCGGCAATTTTTGGGGATTCTGACGGTTCCTAGTGCAGTTTATTTTCGTTTAATAGCCCTGCCTGGGTCTTGAACTATTTCTTTGTTGTCCTCTCTGCTTCCGGATGCTTTTTTCTCGAATCCAGTGATTGTTGAGGACAACGGGAACTTTCAGGCTCATTTTTTTCGCGTCACCTTTTTTTGAGTTTTTTTGACAGATTTTTTTCATACTTTATGATATCATTCATCTCTTAAACTTCCCTGTAATTTTTGTAATTAAATAAAATGGAATATCAAAATCCCAGCCGTGAAAAAAATGAATCATATTATTTGAAACTTCAAAAATTTACAAAAAAATTGAATATTTAATAATTTATATCATTTTATGCTAAGGTGCTTAGATTTTGGATTTCATTCTTGTTTTTAAATTTTCATTTGGTTTGGCCATCTCCTTTTTCTGCAAGACGCCCTGGGCGAGGACCTGTACCCGTGGCGGAGAGACGCGTTCGCTTACGACCACATCACGTTGAAAACACGCCATCCCGTCCGATCTGGCAAGTTAAGCAACGTTGAGAGCCGGTAGTACTTGGATCGGAGACGGCTTGGGAATTCGGCTTGCCGTAAGCTTTTTGCATTTTTCGACCACTTCCGGCACAGTTTTTTTGGTCTTTCAAGACTTTTAACACATTTTTGATATGAAATCATCATAATAATTGTTTTTTTCGTGTTGCTTTTGGCAGGTTCAGAAATTTTCAGGCTTTTTGTGGCTATTTTTCGAAGTTTTTGAAATTTTTTTCTAAAATCTTTTTAGAGCTCTCGTTTGAAATTAAAAATTGAAGGGAGGTCATTACAAAAAAAGGAAAAAAATTTCCAAATATATTATCCACTTATTTTTATGGATTTGAAAAGTTAATTTTTTTCATGTCATTCCTAAGTGAATTCCCCTCAAAAAAACGTCTTTGAAAAAGTTTCCCCGCATTCTGAGTTTTAAAGACCGTCAGGAACTTTTTGGAAGAAAAATAGTTCGGTTGGATTCCCCTGACCCTTTTTCAAACTTTCAAATTTTTCGATACTTCTTTTTTTGAAACTTACTGTAAAATTGACTGTAAATTAAGGACTTATTTTTCTCAAAATCTAAATTATCTGTTTCTATTTTTACAAAAAAATTGTTCTGAGACGTTTTTCTGGACCAAGAATTTTCTATAATTTTTTTGATAAAGTCAAACATTAATCATTTTATGGAAAAAAATTATTTTTTTGTCGTTTTTTTCCAACCTTCTTTTTATCTTCACGTGTGTGTGTGTGTACAAATGAACACTGAATCCCTCTAACAGCTACTCATAAATCAACTCAAAACCACTGGAAGATTTTCGAGAACAAGAAAACGAAGCAGATGTCAGAATGAAGACGTCTTTTTTCCCTCGTTGTTTTCGCGTTTTGTGCCATTCTACTAATGTTTTTGGGCTCTGAACTTGTGATCACATAAAAAAATCGATTGCTTTCTGGTTTCGATTTTTTTTTAGGTTGAGTGATTTTTGAGGAGCGTAAAACGATAATAAGTTGATGTCGCGGTCAGAAACTCGGTTTTTTATTTTTCGGATTATTTTGAGTGGGTTCGAATTATTTTCAGACTCGTTTACTCCGAATTTTGCTAAATTAATAAAATAAGAATGATCATTTTTGTAACACAGAGCTCTTTCGAGATACCTTAAAAGGACATATATCTTTGAAAATGGTTTAAAAATCGGACAAAATTTCTTACATTGCACTAAAATAAGCTGCTAGTGATCTCTGAGCTTTCTCATCTGGTTTCAAATTCTTCTCCTTCATTTTTTTTCTGAAAACTCCTCACTATCCTGAAAAACTCTTGTTTCGTCGGATTCAAGGCAAACTTTCAAAAAAAAAAACCTTGATGATTCGGGTTCCAAAGGTTCAATTTGAAAAGCTCTACTTCCTGCTAGACACCATTTTCAAATAAATTCCAATCAAATG